ATAATAATTACTTTTTTTTTTGTTGAGGCCCGCTGTTTTGGACATTAGCACCCAGCTTTATTTTATTTTTTTTTTTGTATTTTTTGTGTCTATCTTTTGCCGTCTCTATCTGGTTTAATTAATCTTTTTGTGGCCGCTGCCAAAAACGTTTTCTAAACCGATCGAAATCGAGCGCTGACCTTGAGTATTTCGGTTTGATGTTATATTGGATTTTATAATATTTTCACAGACGATGGTGCTCGGAAATGCATTCATTTTCGTTGACCGCGACGGGGTTTGGCATTTTCGTAAATCGTAAATTATTTTCTGGCGGCGGCACGCACTTTCGCACTAGCCTGAAAATTTATAAATTTTTTTATTTTTTGGCACGCATATGCCCCAGACACACGTTCAAGTCAGAGAAGCCCCCCTCAGCAGAGTGCCATTATAGGCGGCAGTACATATCTTACTTGTCGACGATCCTGACATTAAAATTTTTTTGCAGCCGACAATGTCAGAAATGAGGATGGGCTGTGAAAAAATAAATTGCTATACTGCAATAAAATTATACACTCTAATTTTTAATTTTTTTATAAAAATATGTCATCTAAATTACTTACAATAATATGATAATCCTAATAATATCATAAATACCATAAATTGTGGTTTAAATTCATATTTTTATTTGTCAGCATAAGATACATGACTAATCAGTTAAAATTTGTAATAAAGGTGACAAATCTCATTACAAATTCCTTAATATCTTAACAAAAGAAAGGGTATATCTTGAACATCTTGCAGTTCTCTTGCAGTATTTTTGGCCAACTTTGTGGATGCATGTGTGGATGTGGCATCTTCTTTTTATTTTTTTCTGCTTTGTCGCCTCGAGGTCATAAATATTTCGTTTTCGTTTTGAAAATAAAAATTCACTTCTGCAAAATAAACTTTTTGTGAATCTCTTTGTTTGGGGAATGGGTTTTTTTTTCGTTTTTTTGCTGCCAGGCTAAAAATTTGCATATCAACAGAGTAGAGTCTTGCCTCTGGTAGAGTTTCTTCAGCATAGAGTCAGACACTACGCGACATGTGTATATGCTCATAAAGGGCTATAATAGTTTCCAATAGATGCCCAAGTTTCCAAGGAAATCCTATAAAATTGTGATTTAAAGCCTTTTACAAGAATGCATTATTGTTCTCTTACCGACACTGGCTGTGTGCTGCTGTTGGCCTGATATTTTTGTGTATTCAACGAGCATTGAACTTTTGTGCCTCCCACCGTCTTTTGTTTATATCGGAAGGCATAAGAAATTGAGGCAGGTTGGGCCTTACATCCAAGAATTTGACTTTCATATCAGATGGAAGTGAGTGACAGTCACTCACAGAGAGAGAAAATAATAAAGGTTACTCTTTCTTCTTCATGATCTCATTATATTTATTAATGAGAACTAATTCGTCTAACTTATTAATTTATGACTTTCCTAGTCTCTTTATCACCAAAACCAAAAATATTTACAAACTAAACACTTTTCTAATCTTTTGGAAAATATTATTTTAATCAACACCTGTTTATGTGATATTTGATATAATATTTTTCTCTCCTGTCTCCCTCTTTGTTTACTATTTGTTTTTACGCTCAAAAAAAAAAAAAATAATTTGCATAAAATTTCACACGCCGGCCCCCCACTCACTCACACACTCACTTACTCACACACCCATGACTAAAAACTCTCACTCCCTGCATATAGTGGAAATGCACTGGCTGCTCCACTCTCCCCCCCACACACGCTCACTTATTAGCTGGCGCTCCTCTCCCACTTGAGCGCCCCAGTGGGCAGTTACTCTCTCGCTTGCGCCATCTCTTTCCGCCTTGTGTGTTGTTTGGCTCAGAATGGGGAGCTCGTTTTCATTGTATTTTCTGCTCTGCCCGCGTGCGTTACCGCCGCCGCGACTCGCTTATAAAATAATATAAACCGTAAATTAATTTTTTTGTTCATAAAAAAAAACCTCCATTTATAATCTTTGTTTTGTGATTTTGTGCCACGCTTTCTTGCCCGCTCTCACTGCGACTCCGCTGGAGCGATTCTTCTTTTAAGATTCGACACACGGCAAAATAATTTTAAGATTCCATCAGAGACTAGAATATATTTCGTTATTATTTTATTGAGAAATCAATGTGCAAATGACAAGTTTGCTTAGAAAAGATATATAAAATTATAAAGAAAATATTTAATGATATTTTTCAGTGCAGAGGAGACAGCGAACTCTGAGACACGACGGCAAGCAAATTTGATTAGGAGCTATCAAAAATTGTATTTCTTTCGGTTCGACGTGTCGGCATTTAATCAGCAATTCATTTCGGTGTTCTCAATAATTGGCCGAAACGTTCAAGGCCCTTAACAGTTCCGCTTACTGCCTATTCAGGTAACAGCCAAAAGCTCAGATCTTGAAAAATATTACAAGTATTGATTTAAACATAAAAGTGCTAATAAACAGTGTGCTGTAATACAAATGTGTATGCAAATTCATAAGCTCCAACTCTGTAAGTTTCCCATGGCGTGGGCTGAAGCGTGTAAACAGATTCAATTCGATTCGGATATATAAACAAATGCCAATCGAATATATACACAGACCCCACAAATACATGTGCGACCATAAAAAAGCAAACAGCTGTGCTAGCTGTTTTCACAGTTGGCTTGGCTTTGGGCCCGACTTTGGGACCGACTTGGGCTCTTGACGGATCTGTTGACGGTTGGTCTCGATTTTCGGTCGGTCTCGTCTCATTTGCTTTCAAGGGCCCCACATTTTGACGCCTGATTGAGTTACAAATGGCGCCCAACAACCGGTCATAAATCATCTTTTTTTATTATTTAAAAATTTATTCAAAGTGTGTGCTAAGTACAGGTAGACTTGGATAAGGTTTAATAAACAAAATAAACTAAAAAATAAAAATAGGATATTTCAAGGACTAAATGGCGCCCAACGTGGGGCCTTTGTTCTTTTACAAATTTTTTCTAAGTCTTTATACATTTTGTTTAAAATTACAAATTATAGCCTATCTTAACCACTTCGTTGATGTTCCACTGTACCTTCAGTACAAAAATATAAAAATGTAATAAAATAAATACTTTTCGTTCCACCCATCACTAAAAAATATTACATAGTCGTCGGCCTCTTTGCACTCTGCGTGATCTTTAATTATGAATAAAGCCCAGCTGCGTTGAATACTCACACAATTACTGGCACTGGTACTGGCAACTGGGTACTGGGTACTGGTATGGTAATCATTTGCATGTCGTCGCGGGATTCATTTCATTTAACTTCCTTAAGGCTGAAAGGTCAAGCTTAAGTCAATGCCACAAGTCAGGCCTGCTGGCTAATTAGCGCTGCACTGCCAAGAGGCGCCACTAAATATACTATGTACACTGTAATTGCACTTTATTTGTATTTTAATTACCATTCAGCCGGTCTCTGTGTCTTTCCGGCCTGATCGACAACGTCAAGACGGCATCAGCCACGTTCGTCGATGCTAATTTAAATTTTGATTTATTATCACGTTCGTTGACTGGTTGCAGTCTTTTTTCGAAGTCAGGGTCATCAGAGCTCCACTACCGCTCCCCTTAAAGTTGTTTTTTTGTAATGAGTTGGCTTTCAGCTTAGAGTTTAGCTTTCAGCAAGTGATAGAGATCACTGCATGGCGTGCAAGGTCCTTAAAAACGCCCACAAACAAAGGGGAAAGGATGCACTGAGAAGAAGTATGTGAAGTTATATTATGAAAAGCTTAACAAGGCTTTATACTTGTTTAGAAAAGTCTGTGCCTTGTTCTTATGTCCTTAAAGAGACTTATTTTAATAGAATCCTGATATAATTTCTCCCTGTGTAAAGTGCCAAGTGGGGCGGGTTCTAAATCACTGCCATTACTGACCTCGCAACCGCCTTTCCGAGCTTCTGCCTTTCTGGCATGGCTAAGTGCAGTAAGTCGCCGAGTGTTGAATGAAGACCCACATGGCAGCACTGCACTGCACTGGCGTTGTTTGAAGTCGTTTCTAGTTGCCAACAAATCACCCAACCACCCAACTATATAGTCTCTTAGAGCACCACCACCACCCCCCTTTCAAGGTTCGTGGCCAGTGGTGGTCAGACAAACGCCTCATTTCGGTTTGTTGGTTTCTGGGTTTCTGGCAGACGAAAGTGAATTCTAGTTCCACTTCTAGCTGCCACTTGGGGCACGCAATCCACTGACTGGCATGTGTTTTATTTTGATTTTTATTGTGTTTTCCACTCATACCCATTCGATTCAAACGACTGTCCATGCATGGCGCACATAATTGCCGCAAAACACCCAAATAGACGGCTTAGCTGGCTGGCTAGAGATGATGGCGTGACGAGCGGTAATCCTTCCAAGGCAAGCACCACCTTGGCACTTTTCCAGCAAGGCCTTTGACGGGCTATGAGGTGTAAGGATAATGGCCAGATAGTTGATTTCGATTAAGGGCTTCATAAATCAAACAATACCTACGGAATGTGTGTCATAAAATATTAATAGTTGGAGATATAGCTCTACCTTTCTCTGGTATTGGGTTTCTGATGGATGCTTTGGAGCTTTATTTATTGTCTCGAGTATCTTGTGGATACATGCCTGCAGGCTCATCATTTAACTCCACAATTTGCCAGGCAATTTGTGAGTGTTGTTATTGGCTTTATGATCGGATCGGCGGTAGGCGGTGGATTTTGCAAACTCATCGCCCGATCGTCGAACCCCTCTCTATATAACTCTCTATATAGATTCCCCGCCCAACAAATCGTTTCCATCCTCCTCTAAACACAGGCCATTATGATTATTATTTGTCTTCTTTTTTTTTTCGCTGGCTATTATTTTTTTTTTATATATATATTTTCTATCAAAGAGTTGCTGGCAACAATGTAGCCGCTTTTATAAACTTTTCGTATGTCACTTGTCTCTATCGCCTCCCTGGCTATCCCCACCACCACCAAGTCCCCACAATCATCCATCAGACTGGTTTCGGGTGGTTGGGATTCGAGCCATTGACATTCACAGCACACTCCCCTCCCATCAGTGGCTGGCAGTGGCTTTTGTTTTCAATAAATTAAATAGAAACAAAAAAAAAGAATAGTTTATTAAGGAAAAAATAACTTAAAAAAATAAAGAAAAGAATTCTCAACAAAAGGGAAACTTGAGCTACGTGGGTTTCCAAGCAATTTCAAGTAAAAAATCAACATTCTCTTTATTTTTTAATATCTTGGACTGTCTTTCTCTTGTGAGTAATGGTAGTCTCTCGGATATCCTCGCTGGGCTGATCCTTGTCTCCCCATCCCCACACGGGATGCGAACCATCGCCTGTTCGGGTGACTCGCTTCTTCACCAATTCCGGAGACACACTCTTCAAGTCATAGGCCCATCCTATCCTGGCGCAGCAGTTAATGAACCAGGTATTAACGTCCCGCGAATAGGGACCCAGTTCGGAGCACTTGTAGTCCCACGGGAAGACATGGTGGTAGTTGTGGTAGCCCTCGCCGAACCTTATCCAGATCAGGAGCTTCTCGTTCGTGGGACTAATCGACTTGTCGTAGGGCCGCATGCCGAACACGTGGGCGGAGCTGTTCACCAGCCAGATCAGGTTCAGGGAGGTGCACCACCGCAGCAGGGCGAGTATGTGCCAGGAGCAATTCAGCGACTCACCCCACAAGTACATGGGCAGGACGGTGGGCAGGATGAAGGCTATCAGTGGCATCAGTATCATGTAGTACTTTTTCTGGAACATGACCAGTGGATCCCTCTCCAGGTCGGAGAGATCGATCTGCTTGCCCTTGGCCGTCACTTCCGGGTGCTTCTTGCAGCACAGCCAGCCTATGTGGGAGAAGAACCATCCTCGCCGGGAGTTGTACGGATCCGCATCCGTATCCATATACTTGTGATGCATTCGGTGATCCCGGGCCCAGATATACACCGCGTCCTGAAACGCAAATGTATTCGTAACTAGGTAGAAGAGCTTCAGCGGCAGATTGGCCTTGAAAGTCCTGTGCGACCACAGTCGATGTGCTCCTCCGGATATTCCGAAAGTCGTTAAAGCTAGGCCCATCGGGAAGGCCACCACCGTGGCCCATTTGGCCTCCGTGAAGAGCAACCACACACCGTAGAGTGAGGAGACATGGAGGATGATGAACAGTATAATGTTGCGCCACACAAGTTGCAACTTCCGGCCATCCGTGGTCTTCAGCTGGGCCAGGTCCTTTTCCAAACCGCCATCCTGGGTCTCCGCATCCGACTCGTAGAGCACTCCGGTGGTTTCGCCGCTATTTGGTGGCATTGCTGGTCAGGTTTGATTGGCAAACTGTCCCAACCTTTCACTTATAAAGACAATTTCGGGTTTACCTCATTACTTACTTATTGGCGATTTTAATCGCGACCTTGTGCTTACAAATGCGCATAAAATGGGGCGTTTCTAAGCTAAGCTATGCGCATAACATTTGGGACTATCTCTACTTTTGTATGGTATATACTATATAGTTAGACCCATTTCCTAGATTGTAGTTTTAAAGAAAGTACTATACATTGTAGGGCAGCATAGGGCATGGAATTTATTGACCAGGTCAGGGTTTTTAACAGAAACAGGTAGTAGTTGGTAAGAAAATTAAATTCTATGGTCTATGGTCATTTTTTCATAATATAGACTGTAGATAGATACCTTCCCTCAGATTCTAAGATTTCTAAGATAAACATAATCCGACAGATTGTCTTGTGTTTTGACTTTAAACCTCCAAGAGCTGCCCACACTTCCTCATGACAAGTATTGTTTTCAATTTCCAAAACCTTTGATTTTAAATACTTATATATATGTAAATATATATATTTTACTATAATACTTGAATCGTCATCAAAACGTCGTCATCGTCAAGCTGTTACGCCCATATTTGGTAACAGATTCAAATCAGCCAGCGACAGTCTCTCGATCATTTTATCGACAGTTTTTATCTGGTTTGGACTGTCTAGTAACTGGTGTTGTTCTAAGCCTTGGGCACTGGAGGGTATTACTCATGCACGGCCTCTGTTTTGGTATCTGCCCCCGATAAATGGGCTTTATTAAAACAAATATGTATGTATATGAGGAGGATATCGTATATAGAAATATGAGTACGGGTATTATACGGCGCTAGGGTAGGCGTTTCTCGATAAATTACAATAGAACTTTATAAATATAAAGAAATACCTTTGAAATCGGAACTCAATAATAAAGACATTCCATATTGGAGATCTACTGAGGCTTAGATTTTTTATGGAGATTTCGATATATAGATCCTAGAAGTTATAGCCTCCTTGACAAGTCTGATTTGTATTTCAAAAATTATTACAACCATCTAAGACCCTCTCATCAATGTTGGCTTAATGATGGCTATAAATCGTTACTATTATCCATTTAATGACATGACTTTCATGACGAATATTAAGTAAATCAACATTTGCCTTATAAAGAGCTTTAATGGATGAAATAAAAAAAAAAAAAAAAAAAAAAAAAAACGATAACTAAAGTCATACCTGCGCACAGAACGTGCAATTATCGAGTTACAAGTGAATTTATTTTTATTTTTCCGTTTTCCTTTCGGCTGATTATGGTACTCAGAGTGTCGGGTTCGTGCAGTGAGCCATAAATTACATAATTGCAGTACGTTTATCTGTGGGATATTGCAACTGTTTGTCGCGATATACTGCCAACCTGTGATCTGTGGCCTTTGTTTGGGCTTCAGGAGGTTGAACGAACTCCACTGTTAATGTCTTTGTTTCGGCCAACTTGTAAAGTCTTCGAGATAAGATCTATAAAAAAGTGTAACAAGCTAGAGATCGATTGATTTATTCATACGTAAGCCCAGTCTCTTTGTTTTCCAGACAGATACAGACTTGGACAGCCATTGCACACGATTTGCATGATTAACCACTTGATAGAGTATGGAGCTTATTAATTTTCATGTTCAGCGATTTGTTAAGCCGTTGCGCCTTTGTATGCAAATTCAATCAAAGAATATAATGCTTAAAAGCATTTAAAAAAAAAAATGCTTAAAAAATGCTATAAACAAATAAATTGCAAATTGCTCGTGCCTAAGAGTTTTTCCGTGTTTACAATTAGATTTAAAAGTAAATATTATAGGAATATATTAAAGACTTTAAGATTTTCTTGTTTTTGCAAAAGATTTTGCTAAATATTTTGAGGTTAGGACGTTCCAATAAATAAAAAAGGTGGGAAACCTGGATGAAATCCCTTAAAATCACTTTATAAAAGTGAAAACTACAGCCTATATAACCTTTTAAGAAGTATGAAAAAATATTATAGACTTTTAATGGGTTTGCTAGTTTTGCTAGAATGGATTTTCCTTTATATTTTAAGTAGAGGATGTTCCAATATCAAAAAAAGGTGGGAAACACGGATGAAGTCTCGAGGAATTATCCAAAATCACTTTGTGAAAGTGGAAACCAGAGCCGGCCTATCCTTATAATAGGTATAGGAACATATTATAGGGTTTTTTAAAGGCCTAACTTGCTTTTTGGAATGGAATTTCTTACATATTTTGAGGTTAAGAACTTCCATTAACTAAATAAAGGTGTGAAACCCGGTTGAAATCCCGGAGAATTATCGAAAATCACTTTGTGAAAGTGGAAACCAGAGCCAGCTTAGCCTTCTAGAAAGTGGATAACTTTTATAGACTTTAAAACACATTGGTTTGATTTTGGAATGGATTTTTCTTTATATTTTGAGGTTAAGAACTTCTATCATCAAAAAAACCCGAATAAAAGCGTGAAAATCCTCAAAACTCCCTCTATGAAACTGAAAACCAGAACACATACCCTTCTAGAAAGTATCAGAACCATGTTGTTTCTTGACTTCTCATAAATATAAATATATCCTCACCTTTTATATCCACTCTCGGCGAACTGAGCAAATATTTGCTAAATAAATATCTTTAAAAATATTTATTGTTTACGGGCAGGTTCGCTGAAATACTCAACTTTAGGAGTGAGAAGTCAAGGCGCTTCCCAAGCAAACTGTGCAAACAGAGAAAGCCTTTAAAGGTTGCTGCTTTTTTTTTTTCAGTTGACTAATTCCACTTAGCCTCGACAGGTTCTCATGTCCTCGTATTGGGTTTCAAACGAAGCGCCTGGCCAGCTTTTGCATTCACTTGCTTCCGAGATAACAAATTGGAATTGCAATTGAAATTTAAATTGAAATTCTATATGTTTGCTTAGACTGGAAAAGGAAGCTACTGAGTCGACGAGGGTCAAGCCTTTGTTATTTTAGCCTGCGGTTTGTGGGTGGATGGGTGGAATGGGTGGTTGGGTTGGGTGGCACTTTAAGGCGTTATTAGAATAGACTGGAAGTCAAGTCAAGTGGCGGTGCGATTGGCTGACGTCAGCTGGGATGTGTTTGCATTTTAATGAACAGAAATTGTTTAATCAGTCAGAGCCACAGACACGGTATAATCGGTTGGCTTTTTTTTTTCAAGAAACTTGGACTTGATTTTAAGATTAATGAAATTTTTAAAAAAGAATAAAAGTCTTTACTATTTTAAGTAATTTATTTAAAGCTTAATTTTTTTTTTAATTCTTAAATCATTGCCAAAAAAGTCTTCCATCAAAAAAGTGACATTTATCATTAATTTTCATTTCCGGTTTGGATGCGTCAACTTCTGGATACTTGTCTTAATGAGACTTTAATTTTTTTTTTTGTAAATAATTGCCAGTAGGTTTAAAATGTTAGCATTTTGCATTTAAAGGCAATGAAGATATATAGATATAAAGATACTTAGATACTTAGATAGTATATAGTACATAGATACTTTTTTTTAGAGTCTTTTTTTATTCCGTGTGAAGTAATTTATTTTTTCTCTGTTTTTTATTTCTTGTTGCAGTTTAATTGTGCAACAACTACAACAACAACAATAGCAACGGCAGCGGAGTCTCAACAATTGGCACAATTGGCGATAAATCAGCAGCAGCAGCACCAGCCCTACCATCACTGGTGTGAACTTTAGCAGACGCAGCAGAAAAACACAAACAAACGAAAATAGCGGTGCATTACAACAAAAAAAAGGGAAAACGAATAAATCTACGAACAACGAAGTGCGAGAAAGCCAGATAGTCCAACTTATTAGCATTGCAACTCGTGAGAGTAAAAGTGCAGCAGAAAAAGAGAAGACAAGAGAGTGATAAGAAGCTATTAACTCAAGAGAGCTAATCACTACCACCCTAACAAGAAGAAGCAGCCGAAAGTGGGGGAGTGATAAGCTGTCATCTCCAAAGAGCGAGAGAGAGAGAGTGGGAGTGGGAGTGGGAGTTCATCTCACAACTTGAGCCCAAGTGGGAGGTGGAGAAAACAACTCAAGAGAAGGGCCACCGGAAGCAGGGGGCAGGCCACTTGAGTATCGATTGCGTTTTGGCCAGGTTCCAGTGTTGGCAACCGTTGATTGACGTGCAGCGGGCGGGGATCGGGGCTTTCAGCATGTGGCCCTAGACAAAAGCTACAAAAAAAAAGAAAGAAAGAGAAACAAACTACAAAAGTGCAAGGGAGAGCGGGAAGGAGAACCACTTGGCATTCAGGCAGCGAAGCATAACCAGGCGGTTTGGTTAGACCGGAAAAGCGTCGATGAGTTGAGTTCCCTCCGCTCCTCTACCAGGAATCCCCACCACCAGGCCTCCCCCTCCAAAAAAAACCCGTCCACAATGGATGCATCACCCATGTCACCGGAGCAGGCTCCGGCTTTAAGTACCGGAAGGTCATTGGACCAGCAGGTGGACGCCAGTTCACCGAACCACTCGAACTACTCGAATCTCACGAACAGCACCAGCGGCAGTAGTGCCAGCAGTCCCGCCTGTTCCTCCTCTTCGTCTTCCACATCCTCGGCGCCGCAATACAGCGAGGACATACGGCGAGGAGCAGTGGCAGGGCCAGCCAATCCTCATGGCCAGCAGGGGTCCAATGGTTCCACCAAAACCTGTGAACTGGATGTGGGCGAAGAGGAGCGGGACACTTTCTCGCCCGTTTCCAGCCCGGACTGCAATGGAGCCGCCGCCTCGGTGGATGTCCTGCCCTCCGCGAGTGGCTCTGTGGACAACAAGATTTACGAGAGAGGCAGTGCACCCTTCAAGCCGCCGTCAAAGGAGGAGAAGCAGCGTCAGAACGAGGAGATCGTCTGCATGGAAACGTCGACAGTATCCACGGAAACGGGATCCTGGGAGTCCATGTATCCCGCAGCAGCGCCGGTAGCAGTTCCCGACGAGGAGGAGATCGAGGAGCCGATATCTACGTCAGTCTTTAAAGGAATCACCGCGAGCTGTCTGCTGCGAGACCTCGAGAAGCGGGATCAGCCCTTGTCCACCTCCGGGACGAGTGCCTGCTTCATAGACGCCTCCTCCCTGCGGGATGAGGACGAGGTGCTGTCGTTCCCCAGCCTAGATGGCCACGCTCAAGAGGAGGAGACTGAGGAAGCGGCTGCCGAGAAGGAGGAGGATCCAGAGCCATCCCCCACCCAGCAGCTGGAACAGTTCCATAAGGCCTTTGCCCGGTGCAAAGGCGGCAGACTCAGTCAGGATAGGGAGCAGGAGGAACCGGACAGGGAGCCGGATCAGGAGAGGGAACCGGAAGAACTCTTGGAAGACCCTGTGGAAGAGCGCCCGGCCGCCATGTCCGTGCCCTATAGCTTCCAGCACAATGCCCAGCATTTCAGTGTGCATCCCCTGGGCAGCAGCCCCAAGTTCACCCACCACATCCACCAGCACCAGAACCACCACCATCAGCAGCAGCAGCAGCACCACCCCGATCTCAGCTACACCACGGACTACTCCTCGAGCAGTCCGGCACCCAGTCTAGCATACCAAGGAGCATCTGCTTCCGCCTCCACGCCCCACAACTCGATGGTTCATATTGAGCCCGCCTCCGCGGGAAGCAACAACTCCTCCATCCACAGGGACTACACGCTATCTTCCTCGCTGTCGCACCACAGGGACTCTGGAGCCTACTGCAGTGACGCCACGGACTCGCCGCTGCCTCTGCCCCGCACCCCGAAGCGGAGTTCCAAGTTCGACGAAGCGAATCCCATTGTCTCCGGCGGGGCGTCCATCGAGGACTTCCGGGAGAAGCAGTGCGAGAGTCCGAGCATCAAGCGGCGCACAGACACCTGTCCGATCGTCTCCGGAGGCTTTGTGTCCCTGGACTTTGCTCCCACACGCCCCTTGGCCGATGAGGACGACGACGAGGATCTGGGCGAGGATGCCGAGATAGCTGGGGTGGAGCTGAGAGTCAAGACGGGCATGCCGAGGAAGCCTGTTTCCGGCATAGCCTCCTGGGTGGTGGACATGAGCGACTGCCGGCCGGAGCGGCGGCGGAGCACCAGCAGCACCACCTCCAGCTTCCGGGAGCGCTCCGACTCCAACAGCTCGCACAAGAGCGGCTGTGGCTTCTACGTTTCGCTGGATGACATGGACAGGAAGCCGTCGCAGGAGCAGCAGGCCAAGCCCGCCGCCTCGGCCACTCCCTCGCAGCTCAGCAAGTCCTACACGGCGCCCAAGTCGGCCGGGTTCTTCGTGGACCTCTCCAACAGCGGCAAAGAGGAGGAGCAGCCGGAGCCGGCCCAGACCCAGGAAGATCCCAAGCCGGAACCCAAGAACATCTTCAGCATGTTCATAGACATTGGAGATCAGAAGACTCCCCGTTCCAATGGCCGCAAGGAGCCGCTCAGCCTTGCCCAGAGACTGTCCAGCTCCCTGAGCTCATCGGCTGGCCGGAGAGGAGACTCGGAGGTCATGAAGTCCAGTGCCAGCTCCACGGAGACCCTCATGGCCAAAAGCGCCAATCAAAAGGAGCTGGGAGCAGGATCCTCGGGCGCTGGGGCTGGTGAGAGCAAGTCGCTGGATTACAGATGCAACCTGGAGCCACCTCTCACGGTGGCTGCACTGCGTCGCCTTTCGCAGCAGCAGCGCCAGCAAAGCGATCCCTCGAAGCGCCACAGCTGGGGCAGCAATGGTCCGCCCGAGCAGGCGAATGGATTAGGAAAGGTATCGGGAGTCGGGAATGACTGCAAGAGGTCCATCAGTCTGACGGCGAACGGAGTCAATGGATCGGACTCGGGGGCGGGACTGATGAGCATCATCGACAAGCTGCCGATCATCTCGAAGGCGTCTTCCCTCTCCATCGACAGCTCCATCTCGCCTTACGACGACTACAGTGGCTCCAACCCCGGCCTGAGCAGTGCCTCCGAGGAGGAGCAGGCCCAGGTGCAGGGCAGGATCAAGAAGCGGCGGCGGGATGCCCAACTGAACGAGACCTACGACAAGAGCAGCTTGGCATCGGTCACCGAGGGAGTGCTCTCCAAGGACCTTTCGCCGGCTTCCAACACAGACACGGACGACCTCACCTTCCAGCAGGACGAGCAGCTGGCCAAGGAGCAGGCGGAGTTGATGCCCACTGTACCGCTCCAGCTCAGCAGCAGCTCCAATCGTACCAGCAGCGTGATGGAGACCATCATCGAGGCCAAGGAGACTGCGTCGCCCAAGAAGCAGGTCACTCTCAGCAATGGCCACACCATGGAGTCGCTGCACGCCACCATCGAGAAGCAGAAGCAGCTGCTGGAGACGGTCAACGAGCATGGCGAGCAGCCAGGAGGTCAGCAGAAGCATCCGCCGCCCTCGCAGATTCCCTCCAGCTTCGTGAAGCTCTCCGACATGGACAAGCCCGTGAAGCACGATCTCCAGTCGCCGGATTCGATGAGCAAGAGTGTGGGCAACAATCACAGGAGCTCCCAGCTGGGTCAGCGCCTCTACCGGGATGACAACCACCGGGGGGCCCGGCCCCACTCCTGGGCCATGACCCGCTCCACCGGCAACACGCTCCAGAACTTCACCAACTCGGTGGACAACATTCGCAGCCTGTCGCGACTCTTCCCCAACTTCTCGAAGGAGTTCTCCAACTCCCTGCCCAACGACATGACCCTGGAGCAGGGCCAGCAGTCGGCAGGACAGCAGGTGGACTACATCCAGACCGATCTCAGTGCCGACTCCAGTCTGGCCTCCAGCTTCAGTCGCTCCGGCATGGATGAGTCTTCGCTGAGCTGCCGGCAGCCACGGCGCCTGGGGGAGGACTTGCTCAAGATGTTCCTGCAGGAGATAGCCACCGACATGCTGGTGGAGGTGCACGGGCGCCGCATCCGCGCCCACAAGTGCATCCTGCGCTCCCGATGTCAGTACTTTGCCGCCATGCTAGCGGGCCACGGGGCCCAGAGTGTGGTGTCCCTGCAGGGTTACTCCTACGCAGCGGTGCACTTTGCCCTGTGCCACATCTACTCCGGCGCCTCGCATCCTCCGGATGGCATTAGTTTGATGGAGCTGGCCGCCCTCGCCGATCTCCTCGGCCTGGAGGGCCTCAAGGAGGTCACCTCGCACGCCCTGAAGACGAACTACTGCCACAACTTCCACAAGCCCTGCTCCGGCTGCACGGATGGCATTCTGCAGGTCCTGCCCGTGGCCTTGAACCACGCCCTGGACGATCTGTACAGGAAGTGCCTACGCTGGACGTGTCGCCACTACCTGAAGGTCTGGCCAACCAGGCAGTTTGCCCAGCTCCCGCCGGATATTCTGGGAAGATGCCGCCAGCAGATCGTGGCCTATTTGGTAAGTGTTCTAGATTAGGATTCTTGGAAGGATTAATCCAGATTTCTTGACTTTCAGACCTCGGAGACGGTGCTGGACACAGTGCTCGACTGCGACCACCTGTTGGCCCAGCTATCGGCCTACCGTTGGGGCCACGTCTGCGAGCAGCTGGTCCGGGACATCCTGGACGCAGCCTACGCCTATGTGGGTGACCACTTTGCCAGTCTGATCGCCAGCGACGCCTTCCTGTCGCTCGGACACGACCGCAGCCGGCACATTCCGCGCCTGGAGACGCTTCTCCTGCACACCGCCGCCGAACTGACTCCGGAACAGGCTTGCCGCAGCTACCAACGGGTGACCCGCTTGAACACGGTGCTGCAGGCCAAGATCATCCAGATGCCGGCCAGCTTGGGTCAGTCGGAGCTGGCGCGGGAGCTGCAGGGCCTGCAGGAGGAGCAGCTGGACTGGCAGCCGGAATACATTCGGCTGGTGGGCGCCCTCGTCTATGCCGTGGAGCAGTGCCTCATCCGACAGTGCTCCCGGGCCATGCGGGTCACTGCCTGGCAGCGCATGGATCTGGAGCTTCGCAAAAAGATTCAGACCCTGGCCCGACTCACCGAGCCCCTGGACATGAAGCGTCAGAATGGCAAGCCGGTGAGCAAGGCCTTCTCCTTTGGCGGCAGCACTCGCAGTCAGGATCTGGTGCAGATCAAGCTGGCCATCCAGGCGCAGACTAAGCGAGCCCAGGCCCTGGAGACGCAGCAGTACAAGGCCACCCAGACCCAGGAGGCGGCCAATCATGTCCAGACGACGGAAAGGGGTGTGCAGGCCAATCATGAGCCAAGGGAGAGTAAGTGTTGCAGGATTATGGGATGCCCACTAGGGGATAGGAAACTATTTTAATTTCCTTCGTTAAAAATTAAACGAAACTAATTGATTTAAGGGAAAATATTTAAGATTTAAAAATAGAAGCTTGATCTTCAGTAAGGTCTTGTCTTTCTGCTTGGAATGGTGGTCACCCTCTAATCCAAATGGAACTTGCTGGAAATCTAAACAATTTTAAACTAAAACTATCCTCTTTAACAATTCAAATAGATTCGGCATCTTTTGGGTTAAGATTTGGTGGGCATTTCAGATTATTATTCTTAAAAATATTTCTAAAAAAAAAACTAACAACCCCTTCTATCCCTCAGATAAAATCCTGAAGTCCAACTCCAGGGCCTATGTCCCTCATCGGGCCAGTTCCCAGGTGGCCTCGGAGCGAAACAGCTTGAATCTGCATCGTCGCACCCAGTCGGAGGCACCACCAGTCACACACAAGAAGCAGGCTTCAGTGACCGCCACCGCGACAGCCAGTGAAACCAAGAAGGAAGCCCCTGGAAAGGCGCCAGCCAAGTTGGGCGAAGTTCGAGCTCGTTATCTGGAGCCAAGGAAGCCAAGAGCTGCTACTACGGCCACCACAAATGGCGGACCTGTGCGCAGTGCCACCAGCTCGAGTGTGCCAGCCAATGGCGGGAGGAAGGCACCGGCCAAGAACCTGCACATCTCCTCCAGCGACAGCTCCAGGAACTCGAGTCCAGCGGCACGAAGAATCCAAAATGGGACGCGGCTGGGCAACAAGTCGAGTAACCTGTCCATGGACAGCTTGGCAAAGAGCGGCTCGCGCGGACCACAGGATCGCTACTCCTCCGACCAGAACTCGCTGGCGGAGAGCATGAAGAGCTCGGTGATCACCAACAAGACGATCTCGCACGAATCGCTCTCGGGCAGCTCCAAGCTGGCCCGAGTACAGCAGTTGAACGGCCATGCCAAGGGAGCTGCGGTGGGCAAGGTCAAGGCCACCCAACGAGGATCCACGGTGGGCAACAAGTCCACCCGCCAGCTGAAGCAGCAACACAATGCAGTGGCCTCGAACGGCTCCAGTCCCAGCTCCGTGCACACCACCAAGTCGGCAACGAGTCGCCTGTCCTCGGTCAGCAGCACATTCTCGACGCGGGAGCTCTTCAAGCAGCGATCCATTTCGGTGCCGGCGGGAGAGAAGGAAGCCGCTCCGGCCAAGGGAAGGCACAGCTTCCTGTCAGCCAAGTCCCGGGAGATTCTGGCCAAAAGGGCGGAGAAGAACAAGCTCCAACAGCAGCAGCAGAAGCAGACCCAGGAGGACCAAGTGCAGCTGCGTGCCTCCGCCGGGCCCTTGCGCTCCTCCTCACATTCCGCAGTCACCAGCATGCTGCAGCAGCACAATCTGCGCAACAGCCTGCCCTCCAACATTCCCACCCGACGCCCGAACACGCTGCACCTGAAGAAGACCACCGCGGTGACCAACGGCACTGCCAAGACCACCACGAACGGCCTGACGAACGGCTCGTACAAGGCTGCCCAGGCGGTTAAACAGAAGCTGGATCTGCTCATCGATGCCCAGATGGTGGGGGAAAGTGGGGCGGCCGTGGATCGAGTGGAGTCCAAGCTGGAACGCTCGAGCACCTTCTGCAAGGAGAGCGCCGATCTGGATATCAGTGAGCTGCAGATTGTGGAGTAGGAAAGTCAAGAGGTGGGTGTTTCCATAACAAATCATGAACCGTGAATAATTTTTGTTGATTTTCAGGTCGTATCGAATATGGCCCCAGATGGAATATACCGAATCCAGAACCGAATCCGTACACGTCCCATAAGGCAACACTAGTCAATAATGTAGCATGCAGCTGCCGTTGCAGCTGGCGCATGAAACCATTTAACAATAACGATAATAACCGAGTGTTATTACCCGAAAAACGGACAACCGCGATTATTAAATACGTTATATACGAGTCCGAGCCCCAAGCCCGATGTTATAACCCCACTCCGGATATATAATATTATTAGCTTATTGGAAGAAAGCGAGAATAGGGATGGAAGGCAAGAGAAAGCTGAAGAAAACTATGAAAGAAAATATGGAAAACAAGTATTTGGTGATATTATTTAGAGTGCGCTTTATGTTTACGTTAAAGGCTAAGCTAAGAGATGTGCTTATGTAATGTGACCCGAACCCAAAACCGTCTACTCAAAGTACGATCGATCTGGCGGATCTAAAGGATGCTCTACTATATTTATATGTATATGCTTTACGCGCTTGGCAGGCTGCATTTAAGGTCTACTTCTACATCTCTCCCTCTACCGCTTTATTATCAAAGCCCCCCTAAGATACACTACAATATCTAGATACATGCAAGTCCTGTATATAATATATATAGGAAATGAATTGAAGAAGAAGCACCTCTGAAATATTTTAGGCTTTGATCTTTTTATACTGTTGGTTTTATTTAACTCTCGTACTCGTAATAATGGCGCATTACTTCAGCAAGGCAACCAAGGAAACGTCTTTTGTTATTTCATACAATTAATTTATACATTTTATTAATTATAATTAATTAATTTTATTATTTTTTTGGTAATCAGAGAACGAAGCAAACGAAAAGAATAAAGATTTTTGTAAGCAAACGGCATTGACACATTGATATATTGATAATGAAGTGGAAGAGTAAATAAATGTGTGTATTTATTAAAAGTTACCATAAAAACAAGACTTTATTTTTATCTTGGTGGTTTTAAATATAAATCAAATTCGATTTTATTTTGTGAGTTATTTGTTATTCATTAAAATTGATTTATTATGAATTAAAATATTCTAGAAAGCGTGTCATTCGTGATACAGACTAAGATTCCACACCGATGCTCGGATGCTCTTTACAATCGAGATACTGGCACTACAATATTCATAATTATCGCACTCCGGAATATATATGTATATGTATATATTCATAGGAAACGTGCAGCTTGGCAACTAAACCTAAACAACTAGACTAAGCCTAGAGGATGATGGGGATGGGGATGGGGGATTCAGTCGGACGTGGCTACGAGGGTGAGTTCTTCAGTGTGAGCGCCCATTCGTTGAATACATTCCGGCAGTGGATCACCACGCACTCGTTGCTGCAGTACTCGTCCTCCCAGTCCGGATTAATGATCGCCGGCTTGTTGCACTGCTCCCGGGTGCACTTCTGCACCGTTGCCGCCTCGTTCAGCAGCTGTATTTGATCTGGAGGTGCTTGAGCCGTCGCTACAGTTGGCTGTTCCTCCAGTGGCTCTGGATTGACTTCCACTTTGGGCTGGATTAGTGGTGCTGCGGCTGTCAGTTGGGGTGCCAGATCCGGAGCGATTGGCGCCTCTTCTGTCGTGTCCAGGTGCTGCCTGTAGTCGCGCATCAGCCGCACATAGTCGCGCTTCTCCTGCTCGTGCCGTTGGCTGTAAACGTTCTTTTGCGTCTCATCCAGGGACTCCCACATGGTCTGAACAATAACCTGCATTTGCTCCAGCGAGCAGGCGGGATTCTGCTGCTTGATGGCCGTCACTGTGTCCCGAAAGAACAGGGCGAATGGAGCCAGTGGCTTCGGTGGCTGTTGGGTTACAATGTGTGGTTGCTGTGTCACAAGCTGTTGCTGCTGGACCTGCTGGTGATGTTGCAACAGTTGTGGCTGCTCATCTATTTTCACTAGATTTTGCCCCGAGCCGTATGAATGGCATACCTCCTCGTCATCGTCGTTGAACGTGGAGTGATCCAGGCTAAGCATTCTCCGCGACTATAAAGAGATAGGAGAACACAAGGGTTATTAGGTTATTTGGCGTATTCTAATGCCAGCGAGCTCACTAAAAACTTCTTCATCGAGCAAACAATCCCAATCACTGAGTGAACAACCAAACTAATGTACAAATCGCTCGCCCAAGCTGAGTTCAGCTGGACGGACGGACGGACGTACGGTCGGAGGGGCGGGAGCTGAGTGGGTGTCAGGGCGAAGTGCGGGCCGGGTCGGGCCGAAGCGGGCAGTATGTGGTAACTGCTGCTGATTGTGTAGCTGCCTTTCGTGGCTGTGTGCGTGATGTTCGCTGATAAGAAGCTGACGCAGCGTATGTGATTCGTCCAACGATAACCCCCCTCCCCCATCAAAATGAGGGCTCATGGACGGGGGCTCGGCGCAAGGGTGGTGGGCGCTTTGGCTCCATTCATTAGTGCGAGTGTGAGTGTGCGCGAGGAGTTCAGCTGGACGGCGAACGCCAACGCTCGACGATGCCATTTCCGATTCGGATCTCTCGACGCGGCCGCCGGTCTCATTATAATACCATTAATCGGCAATTAACGAGGGCGGTCGGCTGTGCCACACAGCAGCAACCACATCACTTCCCGCTCAATAATAAGCTTGTTCTGGCGAGGATTGGGCTTGTCTGTCGATGACTCCGCTCATATTCCACTTACACTCGGTTGCGGGCTCTCCGCCGGCTGTACGGAGTCGTTCAGTTCGAAGACCTCGTCGCCGAAGGAAGGCGTATGGAACTGATTCATGTTGGGGTCTCCTGCAAAGCTCCTGGGCCTATTTACAAATAAAATTAAACAATTTGAGGGGTTTTATTGTCGTGTGGGGTTTAATCAGTGTGACCGTTTTTGCATGGCCAAAAAAATACTCGGAACTGGTGACTGGTACTCTTCACTGGTTCCGCTGGTTCCAAAGCTTTAAAAAAATATGGTTTATTTATTTTTCTAGTACTATTTTCTTTAAATTTGTTAATATTATGTTTGTTTTATAAAAAAAATGCATACAAAATATAAATTAAATACTAAATGCCATTTTCAAACCGTTTTATTAAGAAACCTTTTTAGATCAAGTTTCATTTTGTGAATATTCAGTAACCATAGGTTTAATTGTTTGAAATTTTAAATTTTTTACTTTGTTACATTAAATTTGACCCATTGCAAATTGCATTTAATGATGCATTCTGCATACTCGTAAAAAATTTGTTGTTTTATTTATATATCCGGTCCGGTTTCCCCTCTAAAAGGCAACGGTTTTCTAAATGAAAAATTTTTTAGAAAAATTTTAATTTTTAGCATACCAAAATTGTTGCGTTTAGCTGAGATTGCAAAATGACGTTCTACCCTGCTCGTGTCCTTTTAAAATTCACTTCACCACGTTTCCAGAGACTCTTTTCATCTTCAAACAACGAGGGAGCTGGAGGCCAAAAGCCAGGATCTCACATGGGCACCTTCGACTGGGATACTACTCACATAAATTCAGATGGATTCTCCAGTGCCTCGAACGCCAAATATATGGAGTTCCTGTACGCCAAGTGGATAAAAGATAATAAATCCATACATGAGGTTTGTGAAAAAATGATCCATTTAGTTTTTAAAATAAAAACAAGGTCCTTGTATAGTCCTGGCAGAAATTCTTTAGCAAACTCGAGGATGACCAGGAGAAGCCCGAAAAGAATTCTTCAATTACTAAGAAGTCTACTTCCCGGAAGAACTTAAGTCCTAATATATTGGAGTGCAATCCAGGTTATGGCTCTGAAAAGAAAAGCTCTAATGGTTCCACAACGAACATTTCTATGCCATTAGCTCAATATTCTATAGAGGATGGAAGGGGATCCTTTGGATTTACTCCAATACCAGGACACAAAAATGTCAAAAAGCCAAACGCAGATAAGGAAATTAATTTATAACCCAGTGCTCTATTTGATCTTAATTTCATGTCCAACAAATTTTTTGTAATTACACAACTTATTTTCTAAAAAGAAGTCTTGTTTTTGAACAAAACATCTGTTATGAATTAAGATCAAAATGGTAATTTTTGGGAAATTAATACCTAACTTTAATACCTTTATTACTTTAATTTAGGAAGGAGTTCGTCGACCTGATAAATCGGAAGTAGAGAAAAGAAGGAGAAGATCCCCCAAATCTGACCCAGGGCAGCCTCCCATATCTAAGTTTGAAGAAACTGAGGTTCATTACTTCCCTATGCCCGATGTCTGGAATCCAAGCAATAATGTAGATTTTTCGGAAACTAGCTTTATCCCAGCTTCCCCTAGTAGCCCAAAATTAGAACCAATAAAGTCTGTGAAAGAGCCAGATTCTTATGATAATTGTGAAGCCACTTCAAGCTTTGATGAAATATTGAAAAATATTGAAAGGAGTCAAAAGAAAAATATATCGAGAAAAATATCGCAAGATATGACTTCAAAAGAACCTTTAAAAAACGTAGCCTCCAAAGACTTGAAATCCTTAAAGGGTCCTTTAAAAATGATCAAGCCTCCAGAAGATTTAACAAAACCGACTTCTTTAAAAAGTGAAAAAGGTCCTCAAAAACCAAATGATCACTTCAAAGAAAAGACTAATCCATCTCATCAAAGTTCAAGAGAAAACCTGGATGTTGCTGCCCGAAAATCTTATTCAAAACAAGAAGTTGAAAAAAACAAAATTCCTAAAAGTATAAATAAAGGTGGAAACCAGCATAAGCTTCCAAAGGCCCCTTTAAATCCATCCAAGAAAAATGATTATAAAAATGAGAGATCACCCAAAAGGGAGGATCCTAAAACAGTTAAAATTGAAGCTGTGGTGGAGGTATCCCCAGATTCTTCTATTAGAAACCTAAGACAACCTTTAAAATTTCCTGAAAAACCTACAAAAACAGACAAGCCCGAAATCAAAGTAGATAAAAATATTCCACCAAGAAAAGGGGTTATAAAGCCCGCTTCCCAACCGGATATTACGCTTCCTCCTCGTAAAAAGGCCAGTTCAAATGAAGAAAGCCCATTAACTGAAGACAAGAATAATAAAATTGCAACAGAAACCGAACATAGGACTTATAAAAGAAACCTTCTGGAAAAAGTGCTCCGACGGCTTGAGAAGAATCCAAAAACAATACCGCAAGATGAGCTCCCAAATCGAAGTTCTTTTAAAAGTATTGAGGAATACACGGAACCCAAAGTCTTTGAGGGAATCGAACAGCTAATTAAAGATTTAAAAACCATGCCCTGGGCTGGCACACCTCAGCAGAGAAGACTTGATACGATGAAGAGACTTCAAAACTATAACAATTCTTTGAAAAGTGCAAACGAAAAGTTGAGGCGATTAGCCAACGAAAGAAATAAAGCTTTTATGAAGTGTGTTTTAGCTCACAGACAGAGTTTGGTGGGTGCCAAGCCAAAAAGGATAAAAAAGGATAATTCAAAGTGTTCGGAAAGTCCTAGCTTGAAAGCCACTTTGAGAGACTCGCCCAGAGTCTTTGAAGCGCCTGAAAGATTATTCCAGGACAAGCTAGACAATAGTCCTCCGAGACTCGGGCTCACTGAAAGAGAGAAAATAATTTTATTTGATCAAAACCAAAAGGCCACGAGTGCTCTGAAATCCTCCTTGAAGAAACTAGAAGAAAATAAAAGCAAAGTTCTAATGGGGAAAGCAAAAGAAGCCTCCATGAAAGAAATCCCCACTTTGGAAACCAAAGACAAAAAGGACAAGCCGGAAGACAAGCCACAACCTTAATAATATAATAATCGCAGCATGTCTTGAAATAAATGCAAATTCTAACTCTTAACTTTGGTTTTTCATTCACAACTTTCCTAGCCTTTAACATTTTAACACTTTCCTTCTAAACATTTTACGAAAATCTTCAAAATTGACTGCACTTCTACAACGTTTCGGTTTCCCTAGGATGAACCAATGCCGGGTGAGGGGTCTCGTGATGATCAGAAGGGATCTGGCTCGCGGGCTGCTCGGCTGCTGTAACCATCGAATCCAGCAAGACCACCTCCTCCTTCTTCACCCCCAGCTGGCCCGGTTAGCCCTCCGTTGTATGCACAGATCCGGAAAGGATGTGGACTCCATTGTCAACGGATGCAGTGCGAACTACATAGAGGGATTGTACACAAAATGGAAGAGGGACCCGCACTCGGTGGATGAGGTGAGTTCTATTTCCGACCTAGATGTCAGACCGTATTTATGATTATAATCCTTAAGTCATGGGATGAGTTTTTTCGCGGCGGCGATGGAACATCTTATAGAAAGTTAAGGGTCATCTCAGATTCTCGTAAGAAACACCGTGTAGCCGGAGGCGTAGACCAGGCAGTGATTCCCCTTCACACAGAAAAGAGATCCGCTTCTGGCGGTGGACCAGCCGCAGCACCAGCACCCGCCGGAGACTGGAAGAGCATTGATGACCACCATACCGTACAGGCCATCATCCGGGCCTATCAAATGCGAGGTCACCTGGCCGCCAAGCTGGATCCTCTGGGAATTATAAATCCGGAACATAAAAAATCTATGGATGGCTCCCAACGGGCCGCCAGCGAAGAAGTTCTCCGGGAACATTTCAGTTATATTTTTAGTGGGTACACCCGATCATCCTAGTCCTGATTCAGATTTTAGCTTAGTATAATTTTCAGATGATTTAAATGCTAGTTTTAAGCTGCCCTCTTCCACAAAAATTGGCGGAGACGAGGCGTTTTTGCCCCTCAGGTGAGTTTGAGTTATGGATTAGATTCCCCTCCAGCAGAGTCCTTCTTGTAGAGAAATATTGGATCGATTAGAGCGTATCTACTGCGGTCATATTGGCTTTGAATATATGCATATATATTCATTGAACAAAACCTATTGGCTACGGGATCGCGTTGAAAGACCAAATGCTTTTGCCTTGGACAAGGAGGAAAAGAAACGCATCCTGCAACGACTAGTCCGAGCGACGGTATTCGAGAATTTCCTGGCCAAGAAGTTGCCCTCCGAGAAGCGGTTCGGCTTGGAAGGATGCGACGTTATGATACCCGTCATCAAGGAGGTCGTTGACAGGTCCACAGACATCGGTGTGGAGCATATACTTATTGGTGGGTGTTGCGATTAAGTTTAGATATCTAGCGATCTTAACTCGAATCTCTGCAGGAATGGCCCATCGAGGTCGCCTCAATGTGCTGGCCAACGTCTGCCACAAGGCCATCTCCGACATTTTCGCCCAATTCCATGGCTTGAAAGCCACCGACTCTGGTTCTGGAGATGTGAAATACCATCTGGGTGTGTTCCAGGAGCGGCTTAACCGACAAACCAATCGTATGATGCGTATTACTGTGGTGGCCAATGCCTCGCATCTGGAGTATGTGAATCCGGTGCTTTTGGGCAAGGCACGCGCCGACATGTACCTGCGCGGCGACGACCAGGGCAACCAGGTGCTGCCCATCATCATCCACGGTGACGCCTCCTTCTGCGGACAGGGCGTGGTCTTCGAGTCGATGCACTTGTCCGACCTACCCAACTATACCACCTACGGCACTATGCACATCGTGGCCAACAACCAGGTGGGATTCACCACCGATCCGCGCTTCTCCCGCTCCTCCCGTTACTGCACAGACGTGGGCAAGGTGGTGACGGCACCGATCTTCCACGTCAATGCCGACGATCCGGAGGCGTGCATCAACTGTGCCCGCATAGCCACCGAATATCGGGCCAAGTTCAAAAAGGACGTCGTCATCGATATCGTCGGCTACCGACGCAACGGTCACAACGAGGCGGACGAGCCCATGTTCACCCAGCCCCTGATGTACCAGCGCATCCGGAAACTGAAGCCAGCCATGAACCTCTACTCCGATAAACTGGTCAAGGAGGGGGTCATCACGGCGGCCGACTTCAACGGGATGGTCACCAAGTACGACAAGATGTTCGAAGACGCCTGGAAGAGTTCCAAGGAGTTAAAGTCAGTTAAGGTGAGTATATTATTCCATCCTTCTATTATTCGTCTTGAAAGGAGTACTATCCGGACAGAACTCTTCATGGATTGACTCGCCCTGGCCGGGATTCTTTGAGGGACGCGATCGTCTGAAGATTTGTCCCACTGGCATAAGCATGGAAACCATGAAGCGGATCGGCGAGACGTTCTCCAGTCCCCCGCCACCGGAGCACATGTTTGACGTGCATAGAGGCGTCATGCGAATCCTGCAAGCTCGCAGACAAATGGTGGACGAGAAGGTGGCCGACTGGTCCCTGGGCGAGGCCTTTGCGTTTGGCTCCTTGCTGAAGGAGGGCATCCATGTCCGGCTCTCGGGCCAGGATGTGGAGCGTGGCACCTTCTCGCACCGGCACCATGTGCTGCACCACCAATCGGCCGACAAGGTCGTCTACAACGCATTGCAACATCTCTATCCGGATCAGGCGGAATACTCAGTGTCGAATAGCTCGCTGTCGGAGTGCGCCGTGCTGGGCTTCGAGCATGGCTACTCAATGGCCAGTCCGCACGCTCTGGTCATATGGGAGGCACAGTTCGGGGACTTTGTTAATACGGCGCAGTGCATCATTGACCAGTTCATTGCCAGCGGGGAGACCAAGTGGGTGCGGCAATCGGGGGTGGTACTCCTCCTGCCGCACAGCATGGAAGGCATGGGGCCGGAGCATAGCTCCGGGCGTATTGAGCGATTCCTTCAGTTGAGCGACGACGACCAGGACGTCTATCCGGATACCTGTGATTCTGATTTTGTGGCCCGCCAGCTCCTCAACATCAACTGGATTATCACCAATCTGACCACACCGGCCAATCTGTGTCACGCCCTCCGCCGCCAGATGCTGATGGGCTTTCGGAAGCCGTTGGTCAACTTCTCCCCCAAATCCCTGCTCCGACATCCCTTGGCCCGTAGTCCCTTTAAAGACTTTAACGAGTGCAGTTCCTTCCAGCGCATCATCCCGGACACAGGAGCTGCCGGCAAAAATCCCGGAAATGTAAAGAAGTTGGTGTTTTGTTCGGGAAAAGTTTACTATGATCTTGTACAAGAGCGGGATGATCACGAACAGGTGGATTCAGTGGCGATCGTGCGGGTAGAGCAGGTGGGTTGTGCTTTAGTTCTTTTTTTAATAAGTTTTTTTAATATTTTTTTATCCTTACCTTCAGTTATGTCCCTTCCCCTACGACCTGATTAGCGAACAATTCACTCTGTATCCCTCGGCAGAGCTAATGTGGGCCCAGGAGGAGCACAAGAACAATGGAGCTTGGACCTATGTCCAGCCCAGATTCGATACGGCTCTGCTCAAAAATGAAAAAGAAACGTAAGTACCAAGACTGTTGTCTCTAAATGCCAAGGTGCAATGTCGTGGACCTTGGGCTACTGGGTGATTCAATTCAGGTGCGATTAGTGGCGACGCACCTTCAAAGTGTCAATCGACGGTGACGACTCCTCCTCGATCGACGATCGCTTTGAAATCCCCGAGAGCGCCATGCCACGCCACCTCGCCGTGTGACGCCATCTTGGTAGCCCGCAGGCGGTGACATCTAAACCAAAAAACCAAAAACAGAACCCATGCCAACAGCATCGGTTTTTGGGGGATTTTCTGTTTAATTGTTTGTGCTTTTAATACCCAGTGGTTGTTAGGGATATCCAAAGGGTATATCAGATTTTAAGAAGCATTCAGTTTAGGACAAGTAGTGAACCTTGTGAACCCTTTCTTGAGAACCTGTAAGGAGAAATATCTCAAGCTTTCAGAACCTTTCCTCCTACATAATTCTACATAATTTCCTCAGCGCGTGTCTGCAAGAATCTTAAAGATTTCCTTGCCAAAGATTTATGGTGGCTTCCATATCTGGTTGTGGCCAAAATATCTGGTTGTAAATCAGGCTGCTGGCGGAGGTGTAAACGTACTTGGCCTTCATAGAGTTCATCTACTTCTGTGTCTACTGAGTGTTTACGTTATGCCCAGAGTATGCTGGTGCTTAGTGGCCGAATGAAGAATGTTGGGGTCATGATCGGGGCTGTCGCCTCGGAGGCGATTAATTGGGCAGCACGCCCGCCATCCGCCGAAGGCTCCAATAATTCGTTCATTTTGGCAATTGCGTTGTTAGTAATTGGCCCGGTCCGAACGACCTCGTTTCCAATCTCGCAGAGCCATGTCGATGTGGACATCGCATTGTGTTTGCGAATAGAGCACGACCACAAAACTGGCGCAAGGAACTTGGCACAGTTTTCGATGTGAAAGCACACACTTTCCCCACCTCTCTCCATCAATTCATCTCTAGTGATGTATCTAAGTGATATTGTGAGATATCTGAATATTCGCAGTCGCGCCATTTGATTCGGATTCGCATCCAACAATGGTCCTGCCTTCTGACCACTAATGGCACTTATGCTCCGCTAGATTTCTGAACTGATTTATGGAAAAAGATAGAAATTCTGGGAAAATGTGAAAAATATGTTCAACAATATAGAGAATATATGTATATATATTTTATAAATATATTCTATATAATTCATGTGTAATTGCGAGGACTCTTGTCTGCACTTGAAATCTTTGATGTTGATGTTGCGGATGTTCTTTGGTCTTCATAAGTGTTCTTTTAACTATCGCTCAACTCAAAATTCCGAACATATAGAATGAAATGTTTTCCCAATACACTACAAAATAATTTTATCAATTTTTTAAAGTTTATTGATCCCCAAACTTGTGTATATTCCCAACATATTATTATATCACATTGTTTTGCATTTTTCATTTAAAAGATGATCGTTGCAAGTTCATGGACGGTTTAAATGTTCTTTGTTTGCTCGTTTTTGCAATAAATTCATTTAATTGAACATTATTTTGACAGGCAAACAATAAGGTATTTAAAGATGGAATTTTTTCCGTGTACTCGTCGCTGCCCAGACACATAATGTCTTGATCGCTAAGAACATATAGTAGCTACACTCGGTTGCCAGCCCCGAAAATTTGAATGAAATTCTCGCCCAAGAGGCCTTAGGAATTTAGCATATTCTCAGATCGGTATCGACTATATGGTATGCCTCATTCCCTCTACTATATGTTTATGGCCGGCATGTGGTGGTCTAGTGTCTATTTTTTTCGAAAATGTTTCTTTTTGTCAGCGTGAATTAAAATCTCTTGTGCGACAATTACGAGGGAAAAATTCCTAAAGCGCCAAACGCCTTGACAATCAATTATGAGAGATGTCCGATTAATGTTTCGTTTTTTGGGGAGCATGAGGCGGAGGAGGAGGGTCTGCTGTCCTCTGTCCGGATGCAGGCCAATGCACAGCTAAAGCCCGCCAAAGTTTTATTAATGGCACGCATTTTTCGGCCCCAGCCATCCCACATCCGACATTGATGGAGTGAACGAGTGGGTGGGTGGTATCTATTTTGTTTGTGGCAAATTTTGATGGTTAAATGGCCATGGAATGTACATATTTGATTTTATTTTTCTTTCGGGAGAGACTTCAACTATTCGGATAGCGCCTTCTGGCCTTTGTTTAATGGCCACCCAGATCTCTTCCGATCGGGGGCAGCTCTGGGGGGATCTATAAATACAATTTGGCTAAAATCGAAAAAAAGGGGGAAGCATCAATCGGCAAATTGAAAACATCCGAATAAACAGATTCATAAAAGTTTTATGAGTAATTGGCTTTGGAATACAAAAACCCCTCAAAATAGAACACACCAGCGCCAGCCAGCTCTCATAACTGAAATATTTCACGCTTTATTTAACATTAAATGGCTTGCTGTTGCCATGTTTTTTGTTTAAAATAAAATTACACACATACCAGAGTACTTAAAATGTAAACCGAAACGAAGCGCAGCTGGAATATTTACACTAAACACTAGGATAACTAGGATATACATACACATACGTTAGATTAGACTAGGACACTAAAGACTAGAACTGAATGTCGTTGTTGAGATCCTTAAAAAATCGTTCGTTGGCAACAAATTTTTTAATTCCACTCAAATATGTGACTGGACACTGGACACCACTAAGGGTATATAGCTTTTGTGATTGGCTGGGGGATTACACCTCTCATCCTACACCATGTTCCATATGCTGTAGCTGGCCGCTCGGCGCTCCTCCTCGGCCACCTGTTCGTAGTCGATCTCCAGGTACTCCTTGCCCCCGAAACGAACCTTGCGTCCTGTGTACTTCTTGATGTAGCTGACATGGGCTGGAACCTCTTTGCCCTCGATCTCCAGTTTGTACGAAATGCTGGTAATCCTCTCGAGCACTCGTCCCCGTTTCCAGCGCACTTGGGTCTTGCGATACCGTTCCGCGTATAAGATTAGATCCCCGATCTTGTATTCCCTCACGTGTAGGCAGGATTTTCGGGGTTCCGGCTCTACTTTTTCCTCGGGTTGAGGCTCTGGCTCATCCTCGTCATCGGTCACGTAGGCTATGGCCCGTTCGATGGTCTCGATCTCAGGAATCTGGGGCTCCTCGGGCTCCGGTTGCAGGAAGAATGTGTCGCCGATGGAGAGACGGCGTTTCTGCCGCTTGATGATAACCTTCTTTTTGACTTTTCGCACTTTTTTGGGCACGGGCGCCGGCTCGGGCTCCGGTTCTGGTTCAGCCACTTGCTCCTCTTCTTGATCCTGTACGGCTTCCGTTGGGATTTCCTGTGGAGTCTCCTCCTCTGGCTTTGGAGCTTGCTCCTCTGGTTTTGTTGGCTCTTCTTTGGGTTTCACTTCACGCTTCTTGGGTGGCGTTAGTTTATTGATCCTGGAGGACAGCTCGTTGATTTTGTTTTTGTCGCGCAGGATATTGCTGAGCTTGGTGGAGTCCTGTTTCTGCTGCTCCACAACATCCTTATCCTTCTTGTCAATGGAATTCTTGCGCACTAGCTTCTTGAGGTGAGGCGTTGCTGTCGTTGGTTTCTTTTTGCCCACCACCAGGGGCTGATCACTTTTGGCCACATCCAGGGGCTGCTCCACCGTCTCGATCTTGACGGGCTGCACCGGACCGGCGATCACTTTCAGCTCCGGCATCGTGATGGCTGATTCTAGACTGTCCGCGGGTGCTGATTGTTCGGCGACTTTTGTAGCTTCTACCGATGGCTGCGCTGATGACTCTTCGTGCCTCAATGTCGCTTCTATTTGCGGCGCAATGTCAGCGCCGATGGCCACCTGTTGCACCTGTACGTGCGACTGCACCTGATTGATGGGTTCTTTGGACTCGTCGATAGAAGGCAATGCCTGTGCCTGCGCCTGAGCCGGTGGCTCTGGACGAAGAGTTTGTGGTTCTGGTGCTGGGATGTCTGATTTACCCGCTGGCACCACCAGTGGCAGTGTTCCACCCACCAGCTCGTCTAGTTTCAGGCTGGCGCGTCTGCTTCGTTCGGGAGATGGCGCTTGATTGCCACTTTTTACTGAATCGCCATCGATTGGTTTTTCAGTTTCTGTTGCGGCTGCTGCAGTTGCAGTGGCTTCGGTTGCTGTTGTCGCTTCTCCTTGGCCACTTTTGGCAATAGCCAACTTGGCTGGCACTGTCTTGGCCTCTGGCGACGTTGCTTGTTTATCCGTCCTCTCCCTCTGATAGCCGGAAGTTGTTGAAATTGTTGCTGCTGCTGCTGCTGCATCTGCAATGGGGCCCATTAATTTCAGCTTCTTCTTGCGCTTGACAATCGCCTCGGAATCGGAGGGTCTCCTTTGTGCGATGAGAGCATCGCTCTGCTCCACGGCCGGTTCCACCTTGATCTTGGACGGTTCCACGGCGGCAATCGAGGCACGCCGCGAATTCTTTACCTTCACAATGACTTTCTTCTTGATCTTGGGTGTGGCCTGTGCCTGTGACCCAGCTTGTGATGAATCATCAGTTACATCAGAAGTGGGTTTTTCAGAGTGCTCCTCTTTCTGGCTCTTGGGTGTGGGTTCTGTAACTTCATTGGGTTTCTTGTCGATCTTCTCTTTTGTGGGTTTGGATTTCAGTTCACTTTGCACTTTGGCCAGGAACTCTATTTTGGTTTGGGTTTTATTCTTTTCTGGAGGCTTAGAGTCTACTACTTCTCCATTAACTTTTAAGGCTTCTTTGGGTTCTGAAATTATTTCTGTTTTGGACTCCTTTGAATCAACTTTATGAGGAGTTGCTTCTGAAATCTGTTCAACCTTCTTTGGCTCTTGATTGCATTCAATTGTAAGTTTTGTTTCTGATTTTTCAATAATTTTTGTCTCTTGATTTTCTAAAATTTTCGAATCTTCCTTAGTTTGAACTTCAGTTTCTTGAAGGACTTCTTTTGAATTGGATTCTGATATATCCTTTTCTTCTAGTTTTTCTAGTTTGGGAAATGGTGTGGCTTCTCTTTTTATTTTGGTTTCCTTGACTTCTTCTTGGGAAACTTTGTCCTGATCCTCTCCAGCTTGCTCCTTTTCCTCTTCCGCCTCATCAAAGTAGCTACGTCGGCGTATTTTCTTCACAAATCTAAAGGGAACTGGAGCCGATGAAGGCTCTTTCTCGCCAGCACTGGAAGATGGCTTCGATAGCGCCACCACAGGTGTCTCCCCTGCTGCCTCCGCCTCACTCTCCGTGCTGTACTGCTTGATCACGTTCTTGACCTCGCTGAGGGCTCCGGAAATGCGTGCCTTGAGCTTGTTTAGCCGCTCGATCACATCCTCCGGCTTCTCCTCCGCCGAATCTTGGGAACGCATACGCCTCTGGCGCCGAAGCCGCGTCCTTTCCGGCAGCACGGATTCTGGATCAATGGAGATGTCATCGCGGCTGGAGGAGCTGCGCTTCAGTTCGCCCAGCAGGGGAGTGCTGGCGGTTGAGGTCGATGTGGGTAATCCTCTGGAAGTGCTTGTAGTGCTCAGCCTGCCGGCGGGTGCCTCCGGTAGCCTGGAACTCCGTATGGGCAGTGTTGCTGTCGTGGGGGCAGTGGTGGATCTCAGCTCGTACTTCATCTCGTTGCTGGAATTGGGATCACCGATCTGGCTATTGTTGTTGTCATCAACTTCTGGAGTATGCTGATCGAGTGGCTCGGGATAAACGTCGACCGTTTCTGAGTCCCGCTCCTCGCTGACCTTGGTGACGGTCATGTCACTCCGCTCCGATCCTTCGACCTCCTCGCTCCAAAGGTTACCCGTTTCCGCTTTTTCGCACAGCAATTCAATGGCCTCCGTTAAGAGATCGATAAGCTCCCAGTCCCAAACCGGCGGAGAGCTATCTTTGTCGTCGGTGTCGTTGAGAAAAGCGCGAACGGAACTCTTTAGTAATTCTATATTTGGCCGGGTTACGGTTATGGGATTGGGATACGGATTCTTATACGGATTTGGCTCGCGGTCTTGCTCTGGCGACGATTCGCGCGCGTCTGAGAGCTGGTGGTGGTTGGTGGTTTTCCGAATCCCATACCGATCTATATCATCTATTGTTTGTTCCCTGGTAAAGCATATTGACTGGCTCTGCTGCTGCTGCTGCTGGTGCTGCTCTTGATCTCTCGCCGATTTAGTCATATTTAGCTCATTATGATCTTCGGCCTTCTCTAATTTGCTTTGCTCGCATATTTCGTGTTTATTTTTGGCCAAATTCATGGCGTCGTCATTTTGTTTTTCTCTGTTTTCCCCGATTCTGCTGTTTTTGTGGTCGTGTAGCTTCTGCTTCTCCTTCTCCTGATACTGATTCTGACTCGGACCGAAGGCGTCATTAAAATTTTCCGCCTGTTGATGCTCGATTTCCCTTGCCACCAGCGCCACCTCTATGGTGGCGTTCAAGTTTAATGCTACCGCCGCTGCCCGCCGCTCATCATCCCACTCATCATCATCGCCGTGGCCAGCCTCGAGTTCATTATCAAACGCCTTATGTACATCATCGCCACCACCTTCTATGTCTATTTTGGTGACTTTGTCGAGGCTCGTCTGCGTCATTGTTGTTGCTTGCTGTGAGTTGGTATGTGGAGATGGATCTCCTGGTCCATCATTCTCATCATTATCATCATCAGTTCCATCATCGGCATTTGCCATTGGCCGATAATTGGGAAAACGTCGGCTCGTAACAAATCGTTTTTTAATTATGGGAAATTCCGGGGGTGCCTTTATAGCTACGGGTGAGCTAATCACCTGGTTGCGTCTGGTCATTGTGGTGCTTACTAGTGGTAGGGCATCATTATCACCCGAGTTCTTTCGCGGCAATTGCTTCAAATCTGGAAAAATTCTACCCAAATTCTCTGCGTATACGTGATGCAGAGGAAAGCCCAGTGCCGACTGTGCGTATACTTGATATATAGGAACAAATTCTTCTTTAATCTCTGGGGCTATATAATTATTAATTTGGGAAATATTTTGCTTGAGATTTTCCTGCTGAAGCATAGAGATATTCCAAACCTCCATGGGAAAACGTAGATTCTCGCTTACTTTCTGATGCATCGGAAACTTTCCTGATGCCTCTTCTGAATGGAAACATTGCTGATGGAAACCATTCACTGTCATATTATTGCCACTATTTTTGTAAATCGCATTTTGATGTTTTTGTTGATTCATTGGAAATCTGGCATCGTAGGTGATCCCTTGCCCCACCGGAAATTGCCCTGCCATTCCCAGCACTTCCGGCGGCGCCATTGACGAGAAAAACATGGCTGACTCAGCCATTTGATTTACGATGTCGCCATCAGCGCTGCCAGCAATCCGCTGCGAATTATTATTAATATTATTATTAGCAACTGTCTGCGACATTGATGGCGTCTTCGTGTCCACCTCCTCCTCTTGGGTGTGGGCCGTCATTGGGGGGGCGTGGCCGTGAGACAGTCTACTCTCCTGTTGACCTATTTTCGTGTCAGCCAGTTTGGGCTAATTTCTTCTATCAAATGTGGGCACTCGCGTATATGTTGCACTCAACACGTTGCAAGCCAAACTGGCCCAATCTGTCGGCGGCTGCACCACCACGGCTGCAAAGCGTCTGCAACAACAAAGCACCACCCCAATCCCTGAGTGGTTCCCTGTGGTTGCGCCTCGCTGGCAAGCATCCGATCATTGATCAGTCGGCAATCTATGTAATTGCAAATAAATTGTAGTGTCTGGGGCATGAAGATCAAACGAAACTCTAATGCCCTGTAAAGTGATTTTTAATGTTTCCTAAAGACATGATTTTAAAGAAATATTTGTTTCATTATCTTGGGGTTGTTTTGTTGTTTTTGTAAATATAATATCCTTTCTCTGATATTGATAAACTCTGAAAAACCTAAGCAGGGTGTTGCTAGTACTGATTGGGTCTTGTTGGACAATAGACTTTGCAGGACGGTCAAGTGAGGTTGCGCGTGTTTCGGATGCCACGACGACATATAAACGCTCTTGTAGCCGATCTATATACATCTAGAATCTAGATATATATAATAGTATATGTAGCTGCCACTAGTAGACTGAATAAATATGTCAGCTTGCCAAATTGCTTTTTTGCAGGCCACACGAAAAAAAGGGGGAAAAACAGAGATAGACGAGAAAGAGATTGAATAAAAATCAGTCTGTGCCGCCGCCCAGCGCCAATGCTATTGTTTAAATAGATCAACGACATAAAGGGTGTCCTTTTCAGAACACAAAATAATAATATTTTTTATCCCTTCCCACCCTTAGACGTTGCGTTTCCTACCATGGACGAGCTCCCAGCTCATCGCCTGCTACCGGAAACAAGGTGCAGCACAAGAACGAGTACAAGGCCTTCGTAACCAGCATTTTTGGTGAGCTAACACCGGCCAACAAGAAGCGTTTGGCGGACAAGGTCAAGGAACAGCAAGAGAAGGCCAAGGCGTCTACTTCCGCTCCCAAGGATCCACCAAAGAAGGGAGGAGATAAGCCTGGCGGCAAACCCAAAAAGAAGAGAGTCGACACAGGCGACGCAAGTTCCGAGCCTAAAAGAGGGCCCGGAGGCGCCACCAAAGGAGCATCTCCAGTTGCCCATAACAAACGTGCCCAGCTCGCTGCCAAGGAAGCTCCAGTTCCACCAGAACCTGGGTCCTCCCGAGTCATTGCATCGAAAGTTCGAATAGCCAGGAAACCTTCTCGAGGAATGGCTACAAAAAGTGAACCGGACCTTAAGGGCCCAGGGGAAGGAGATGACCAGACTTCGAAGCAACCCTAGTCTAGGGTTGAAACCCACTATTCGTTTGGATAACCGGCCAGCCTCAAAATAAAAATAGAAAAGATAGAGGAAAGTCAGATCCTTTTTCAAAATCCTTTGTTGCAGTTAATGAATTTGTATAGCCCTTGAGACAATAACACTAATTAAATGATTACACATATAAAACTTTACTCGTAATATCAACAATTTGCGTTAAAATACCCCGTCCTCCCCCTCCATTAAATGCAGAGTCAATACTTCCAGAAGTTGGGATTCTGTTCCATGCGCCGCTGAAAGTTTGTGAACCAATTTTGGACAACGGAGAAGGGCACAAAGGTTTCGCTCGAGGCAGGTGGTATTTCTCTAGCTGACACTCCAAAACTGGAGGCGTAGTTGAAGAAGTTCTCCAGCATTCGCTGGCCAAACTGTTTGTTGTCATTGGCAGTGGACTGTAAAGAAAGAGGACAAATCCTCAATAAACATTTCTTATATTTTGATAAAATCCAAGACCTACCACAGCTGGCGTTTGTTGGGCTACCGTAAGCTCCGGTTCCAGGGAAACCCCAATCTGGGCTATGTGGGAGATCTCCTGTGTGCCAAAGACCATGCCATGGGCCTGGGCCTCCAGTTCGTGGCTCTTCTTTAACTGGGCAATCTTAAAGATCGCCGAGGGCTTGTTGTTGTTGATGTGACCCAGGTACTGCCATGTGGGCGCCGCGTTCGCATCGGGCCAGCTAAAATATATGGCGGCAGCGGTTCCGGCGGGCAGTGGCGAGACGCCGGTGAGAAACACCACCAGGTAGTTGACGGATTCGATGTCGGGGACATTTATTAGGAGTTTTGTGGAGTCCACAGCCACAAAATCCGATTGAGGCAGACGTCCAGATACAAGCAAGCCGAAAAGAGACATTTTGTGGCGGGCGGACCAGAGTATTCCAGAAGAAACTATGCATTTGGTGGGGGGAGGGCGGTGGAATTAAACAGCTGTTGCGGAACTAGTTCAAATGAAGGTCGTATATTAAATGCAATTTTATACTCAAATGAATTATACTCACTCTTAAATGTTTAAAAGAATCTAAAAATATGAAAATAATCTTTAATATAATAATATATACAAATTATCCATATATCTGACTAGTTCATTTGTAATTTTGACATTCACTGAGAAATCAGCTGACCAGCTGACGCTGCCGCACTTCGTTACTCAACACTGGCCGAGCGCTGTGTCGTCGCAAAAAACAGGGACGGTGAAAAAGAAGAGGGAATTTATTTTGTTTTGACCTGGAGCGCTCGAGTAATGGCCGGATTACTTCACCTGACCAAGCAGTGCAGCGTTCATATACCCGCCCAGTACTGCCGCATCCGATGCTACAAGCTAGTCGCCTCCAAAGGAAGCCACGTGCAGGCACGAGTGGTGAGTACGCATTCAGCCGCCTTTTCAAGGCCACCTGCTCTGCTAGAAGCTATCTAGACCAGAGATTATGATTTCGTAATGTGCGCTAATGTACAATAATTGGCAGTTTAATTAAGTGGGTGGAATATCCCCTCAATTAGCGTAGAGAGCAGAAAGTGGTCAGGCAACAGTATGCGTGTGTGTTGTTTTGGCCCTTTTTCGAAACTCGAATTTGAATTAATTTGTACCTCGCACTTGCTTCTTTCGTTGCAGTAAGCAAAAGAAAAGCTATAAAGGAAGCCAAAACAACACACACGCAGACCTCGTTCAAGTCAGGGATTTATCATCGAAATGGGTCGCACCCAGCGTAAACGCCGCCAAAGGGCCAACCAACAATCATCAGAGGACCGCAGCTCCTTACGGGATCTCTATGTCCAGCTCCATTCACAGGGCTGGCAGAATGAAACCCACTTATCCGTCAAAAGCTACCCTCAAACTGGGCGAGGGCTCTGCTCTAAAACGGATACCTTTTCTGCAGAAGATGAACTTATTCGACTACCTATTAATAGCCTTATAAGCATAGCTACGCTGGAGTCGGATGAGGACTTTAAAGATCTTTTCAACAAGGACCTCTTCGACACGGATGCTAGGATATCCTTCCAAGCCTTGGTGGCTTGTTACTTAATGCACCAAAAGCATCTTATGGATTGTTCGCAAAGCTCGAATTACGCAGCCTATTTGGATACCCTGCCCAGAAGCTATACCACTCCTTATTTCTGCTGCATTCCCGAACTGCAGTGCCTGCCGGAAGCTTTGCTGGAGCGAACTGTGTCCCAAAACAGGCAAATCAAGGGATATTACGAAATTATAAAAGGCCTTGTTGGATTCCATAAATGTAACTGCTGTGGGCAGAGCTACTGTCAGGATATCTGGACCTTGGCGGAGTATCGATTGGCCTACTTCGCTGTTAACACGCGAAGTGTCTACCTCAGTTCTCGCTTCTTGAAAAAGCCAAGTTCTCACTTTCAAGGACTCATCAGTGGCGACACCAATCTAGCATTGGCGCCCTTCCTCGATTTATTTAATCACTCCGATTCGGTGCAAACCACGGCGGAGATTCATGGTCAGCATTATGTCGTCACCCTAAAGGATTTACCTTCTCCCAAAACCAACCTCTATGATCAGTTGTTCATCAGTTATGGGGCATTGCCAAACTTTAAACTGTTGACAGAGTACGGGTTCTGGCTGGAAAGGAACGCCCACGACTATTTTGAGTTCTCCATTCTGGACATAGAACACCTCATCAAGCAGAATAAGAAGCTATCCACGGAGACCTACCACCGGAACATATTTAAATTCATCAAGGAGCACAACTTGGGCGATCAAATGTTTGTCCATCTCGAAGACGGTTGCTCCCACAATCTAAGGGTGGTGCTGCATCTCATCTTCAAACAACAATCCTATTTCCCCAACATACTTAACCAGATAGCCTTTGGAGATGTGGACCAGTTTCAGGATGTGCAGCCAGAGCTCAACTATTTGGTGGCCCATAAGATTGTGGAGTATGGAGTTTTTGTGGCAGAACTGGATAAGCTTCCTCGGCTTACAGAGAGCGGCTCTGTGGCACGATCTTATCTGCTGGAGTGCATACGCTACCTAAAGGTTTTTCAGGCGGCGAATTCCATAGTTGATGAGGAATAATTTTTTGAAATCTTAACAAATCCTAACCATATTCTTAGAAAATAGGAGTAGTCTAAGAACAAGAGTAGATAAGAGTTTTTTTTTTTTCATATTACTTTAACTACTAATTTAAACGGAACTTTTCTAAAAATTAGAAAACTTCAACCTTAAAGGTTTATTTTTTTTTTTAGCATATACATAAGTTTTTATACTCCTAAATATACGGGCGACTATAACCCATAGCTGCCAAAAACCCTAACGATCAGAATTTTCATACATTTCGTACTTGTTCGGGTAAAAAGGGATTTTATAATTGCACTTCTGGACCTGTTTAAAAAATTTTCTGCGGGTCCCCTACAAATATATGGTAAAATGCATGGAAGGCCTATATGAGATACTGCGAAAGCTATATCTTGGCCAATAATCATCTGATTCTTGAGCGGATGGTCTTGTTCGGTTTGGATATCGATTCTCCGTAAATCTGCATCAAAATCTGGATAAAAATTATTTTTTAGATTTTTTGTCAAATTTTCTGGGACGTCCCCTCCAAAATCCTGAAAAATGCATGGAAGGCCTATATGAGATACTGCGAAGGCTATATCTTGGCCAATAATCATCTGATTCTTGAGCGGATTGTCTTGTTCGGTTCGAATATCGATTCTCCGTAAATCTGCATAAACATCTGGATAAAAATTATTTTTTAGATTTTTTGTCAAATTTTCTGGGAGGTCCCCTCCAAAATCCTGAAAAGTGCATGGAAGGCCTATATAAGACACTGCGATGGCTATATCTTGGCCAATAATCATCAGATTCTTGAGCGGATTGTCTTGTTCGGTTTGAATATCGATTCTCCGTAAATCTGCATAAACATCTGGATAAAAATTATTTTTTAGATTTTTTGTCAAATTTTCTGGGAGGTCCCCTCCAAAATCCTGAAAAATGCATGGAAGGCCTATATGAGACACTTCGAAGGCTATATCTTGGGCAATATTCATCAGATTCTTGAGCGGATTGTTTTATTCGGTTTGGATATCGATTTCCGTAAATCTGCATCAAAATCTGGACGAAAATTATTTTTTAGATTTTTTGTCAAATTTTCTGGGAGGTCCCCTCCAAAATCCTGAAAAATGCATGGAAGGCCCATAGGAGATACTGGGAAGGCTATATCTTGGCCAATAATCATCCGATTCTTGAGCGGATTGTTTTATTCGGTTTGGATATCGATTCTCCGTAAATCTGCATCAAAATCTGGACGAAAATTATTTGTTTAAAAGTCGTTATGAAGTAAAGGGTCAGTAAAGGCCCTTATGGGCCACAGTAAAGACTCGATCTTGTTTAATAGGCTTATGTGGGATACCTTAAAAGATTTGATTATTAATTTTTCATAATTTGGCATATATTTCAGCTCTTTTCTTCTGTGGCAAAGTTGGATGACCAGAATAGCAGCGATGCCAATGCCACGCGGAAGAAGATCACCCCCTTCACGCCCACACCGGGTAGTAAGTTGCTGGGCGGAGTGTTCGGCAAGAAGGCGAAAGGTAAGTAGTGGCGTCACTAACTCCGCACCCCTGCCCGGATCGGTGGGGAATTTGTATAGTTTGTTTTATGATTTTAAAATTACGCTACTCACGCTTCTTAAATCGATTGACTAACCCGAGATTGGTTTTGTTTTGTGGGATGAGTTCGATCGTAACTGCCCGATTGTTTGATTGTTTCTTTGTTTGTTTGTGCGCTTGTTGTGTTGAGCGCCTGTCTGAATTTTGCTGCATCCAAGTGAATTCGATGCAGGTGCAGTCCCAGCAGCAGCGGCGGCAACAACAACAAATACAACAACAACAACAGCGCTACAGTGGCCACGCCCACAACATAAACCTCACCAGCAACAACTACAACAATCTCGACAATGTCACGTTCATATAGGGGGCGGCAGCGATGGCGGATCTGGACTGGGTAAGCTGGACGCACCGGAGGTCACATCCAAGGACATGCTACGAGCTATGATGGCCTACATCTGGCCCAAAGAGGATCCTATGGTGCGAAAGCGGTAGGTCTTTAAAATTATAATTTTTGGAAACTTAATCTCATTTCCTTTTTCTTAAACAGCGTTGGCATTTCCTTGGGTCTCTTGGCTGGCTCCAAGCTGTTGACGGTCTGCGTTCCCTTCATGTTCAAGGGAGCCGTGGACACGATGACCACCCTGAACATGGACACTGCCCCGGATGCAGTTCTCTCTACAGCCACTGCCTTGCTGTTAGGATGTAAGTGATAGTCAAGCTAGGAAGCTAAACTTTAGACTGATATATTTTCTTATCCTTCAGATGGCATTGCTCGAGCCAGTGCAGCGGGTTTCAATGAACTCCGCAACGCTGTGTTTGCCAAGGTAGCCCACCACTCTATCAGAAAGATTGCCAGCAATGTGTTCCTGCATCTGCACAACCTAGATTTGGCCTTCCACCTCAATAAACAGACAGGAGCTCTGTCCAAGACGATCGATCGCGGTTCCAGGGGCATTAACTTTGTGCTCTCCGCCATGGTTTTTAATATTGTGCCTACGATTTTCGAACTGGCTCTCGTGTCCAGTATTCTGGGATTCAAATGCGGATTGGCCTTCGCCGGTGTCAGCATGGGTTGTGTGGGCATCTATGCCGCCTACACCCTGAGCGTAACTCAGTGGCGCACTCGGTTCCGGGTTTATATGAACCAGGCAGAGAACGAGGCGGGCAACAAGGCCGTGGACTCGTTGATCAACTACGAGACCGTGAAATACTTCAACAACGAAAAATACGAAGCCGGCTGCTACAACGAGGTGCTGAAAAAATACGAGGCTGCCAGTCTGAAGACCAGCTCTAGTCTGGCGCTTCTCAACTTCGGACAAAATGCCATCTTCAGCAGTGCTCTGAGTCTTATCATGGTTCTCGCAGCCAAGGAGATTGCCCAGGGCAACATGACGGTGGGTGATCTGGTCATGGTAAACGGACTGCTCTTCCAGCTCTCCATTCCGCTGGGTTTTCTGGGCAGCGTCTACCGGGAAGTGCGACAGGCTCTGTTGGACATGCAGGCCATGTTCACACTGATGAACGTGGACAGTCGCATCCAGACAGCGACCAATGCCCAGCCACTGTTCGTGGACAACAGCAATTCGTCGATTGAGTTCCGCAACGTCAGCTTCGAGTATGAGCCGGGAAAGCCTATTTTCAAGGATTTGTCATTTACCATTCCGGCTGGAAAGAATGTGGCTATCGTGGGTGGCTCTGGCTCCGGAAAGTCATCGATGGTGCGACTGCTGTTCCGCTTTTTTGAACCCAACTCTGGCAAGGTTTTGATCGGTGGCCAGGACATCAGCGGTGTGGAGTTAGAGAGTCTGCGCAAGGCGATTGCTGTGGTGCCACAGGACTCTGTGCTGTTCCACAATACCATCGAGCACAATATCCACTACGGAAACCTGACCAAGTCACATGCGGATGTGCAGAATGCGGCCCGCATGGCAGACCTTCATGAGTCGATCATGAGCTGGCCGGCAAAGTATGCCACCCAGGTGGGTGAGCGGGGATTGAAGCTATCTGGAGGCGAGAAACAGCGAGTGGCTATCGCCAGAGCCATCCTCAAGAACACACCCATCCTGATTTTCGACGAGGCTACCAGTAGTTTGGACTCGATTACCGAACATGTAAGTGGTTTATTTTTATCCTGTTTAAGAAAGTACAAAATCGCATTTTTCTTCAGAACATCCTCCAAGCCTTGACCCGCGCCACCTCTGGTCGCACCAGCATTTGCATTGCCCACCGCCTTTCCACGGTGAAGGATGCCGACGAGATCCTGGTTCTGGAGAACGGAGCCGTTGGCGAGCGCGGCACCCACGCAGAGTTGTTGCAGCAGAACGGATTGTACGCCCGCCTTTGGGAAACACAAACCCAGCAATTCGACCCGAACCGATCGAGCAAGGAAGCAGGGTCCCAGAAGGCACGAGTGGCGGCGTAGACGAGGCTATCTGTTTATGTGTCCCTGCGTGTTTTATTTTCAAAAATTTCCCTTCTTTCCCTACCCTCTCCCCATGTCCTGTTTACTCCTTTTTTCGGCTATCCTTAAATTCACCGTAGAATCCTTCCGATCCGGAGATTCGCTATGATTAGGTTTAAAGTATCTTTGTGACGTTTGTAAATACAGTTGTAGATATGCGATAAGAAAAAATATCAGGGATTGTGGTACAACATATGGAACATTTATTATCAGTTTTATCACCCATACATTCGGTTATGCTGGTCAGAATCGGGGTTTACCTTTCTATAACTTGTTTGAAGGATATTCTTTAAAAATATGATTGAATTATAGCCATTAGAGTAAATCGGTTTATGACATACATATGTAGATAATACATTTTCTTATATTTTTGTATTAAATGCAGGTGGTTTTTAGTTACAAGTATCGTCAGTACTGATATAGTTGGAATAAGATTTATCATAAATTCGATTCATACAACAAATATATAAGTTTAAGTCTGAAGCTCTTAGATTTGTAACCTAAATGGTTTAAAAATTGTAGAATACCTAATATTAATAGAACATTAAACAAGCTAGGTAAGCCCCAAGTCTGGCCCAATAGTCAAGCTTCATTCTCAATCTCTCTCCCGAACTGCCAGCGGAATGGGCACATCGTAGAGCAGATACAGCAAACAGTTCCCTATGTGGCCCAGGAACTGTTGGTAATTGCTTACCCGCTGCTGGAACTCCTGCCACAATGGCAGTAGGGGTCTTTCCTCCCTATCAGTTGATGCTCCTTCGTCCAAAGACTCCATGTCCTGCTCCAGCATCGTTTTGTTTGTGTAGGTGAAGAGATACGACGCCGGCTTCTGACCAATGGTGGTCACCAAGTGTGTGATGTTGCTATCAAGGCATATGCTCTTGCCTGCCGTTAGGAAATATACCTCCGGGTCCTGTTCGTTGCTGTAGCGCACATTGCCTTCGAGGATGGTCAGGGTGCAGTTTATCAGATCCGGTGAGATGAAGTTGGTCAGGGTCAGGCCGGGAAAATCGGCCACGAAAACCACATCCGAGTAGTTATTCCAGGCCAGGACTTCGGTTTCAATGTTTCGCAGCTTGGGACGCATGTGATTCAGTTCTGTGAGCAGCGGCAGTGACCAGGAGGTAGCCTCAAAGGGTGACCACTTGGCCTTCAGTAGATCCACGCGCGGATCAAACGATCGCTGCTGGAAGCGGCCGTTCATGGAGCACCAGATGTCAAAGTATATGGAAATGTTGCTCCCGATGGCCGGGTGCTGAGCCACCTTTAGGTTTTCCTCTATGCACTTGGCATACTGCACCGCCATGTCCGCATACTTGGTCCATCGATCGTACTCCGTGAAGGCAAAGGGGTTGAGGTTGTGTACTTGCCGGCTCTCATTGTCCACCACCTGGATGGAGGTTTGTAGAGTATCGTACGAATGTACCATCATGTCCCAGGAGTAGCCATACAGCCCATTGGTCCAGTTATTGTAGCCTTTAGTGATGAAGTGGGAATAGGGTAGGAAGAGCTGCAAGGCACAATAGCCTATAATGAGGCAAGTGCGTAACCTGGCCAGGATTCCCGGCTGCTTTGGACCAGACGATCCCACTTGGGTTGAGCTCTTTGAAGTCCAAAGTCTTCGTGGCCAGTCGAAGCTAAAAAATAGCGGGACTTCCGCCAGGCAAACCCATGGAAACATTCCTGTTCGGGAAGAAGGTTTAAGGTTAAAGGTCAATATACTTTACTCCGATTACACTTACCAATCACAAATAATCTAGAGTTCATCAGATGAAAACTGATCATGAACGGTGTCACCAAGAGACGAGTCTTCTCCAGGGTCATAAAAAATGCTATAGACAGGTCAAAGAAAGCAGTAAACCAGTGGACAATTAATAGGTCTATCAGCTCGGGATCGAGCATTTGGCGGAAGGGAGCAAAGACCCAATGCTGACTGAGATTGGACATTGCATAGCCGGAGAGCCATTCCAGGGAGAACTTCTTCAAACCAGCGTACATGTACAGCACAAAGAACTGGAACTTGATGAGGAAGTAGTTCCAGTAGGGTATGCAGGGACTCCGCCGGGGATGCAGCCAGTTGTCCAAAGAGCTGGAAAGGAATATAGTCTATTTTAAAGTTAAAGTTATATATTTTATGGCTATACCCACCAGTACGCCTCCGCCTGGGTGAACAAGAGCAGTGTACCCACCAATCCAAACAAGTAGCTATGATTATTCCACGTCGGCTTGTCCAGCAGGAAGATGTACCAGTAGGGCACCAGGAAGGCCAGGCAGCTGACTCGAAATCGATAGCCCAGCATGATTCCCCAGGCCCCCAGCCACATGCAAAGGTAGACACAACCCATCAAGGGATAGTCCAGTGCCCGCATTCCATTGATCAGCGGAAAGTGGCAGTGAAGAGGCTCCCCAAATCTCACATCCAACTGCCCGCCACCACGCTCCTCGGCAATGTCGATCAACATGGCGGCTCCATAAAGCATCCGGAAGACGCCCAAGGCAGCTCCATCCACGGGTCTCTCCAGCCACCTGGTAAAGTTGGTTACACTCTTGAAGTTGTCCAAATCATGGCCAAGACCATCTCTGAAAAAGCCGTTTAACAGTCTACAGTCCTTTTTTGAACCGGATATCTCATCTGTCTTTGTTTTTTCAGCTGTGCTGGTGGTTTCTTTATCCAAAGTGGTATTGGTTTCCGCAGTATTGGCTTTCGTTGGTAGCTTACGCTTGGAATTGGCCATAGTGCTTCTAAATAATAGAACATTTAGAATATATAATACAAGAACATACGACTTCAAAGACAACGCCAAAAAGCGTGCTACATTTTTTTTCAAAACACTCCCCACATGAAAACTTCCATCATCTTTAGTTTGTAGTTTTCTTTTTGTAGAATTTATTGAAAAAGTTGACATAAATACATGCATGCATATTGGTTGTATACTAAATATATAATATATGTGTTTTACATTTCGTTTGCTGACTCTTGCATAAATATCTATGGTTTTCTGTTCGGATCTCTTGGCATCGCCACGGAAAATATTGCTGTCTTATGGATTGATGTGGTAGCGACGCGGGTTCGCATTAAAAAAATATATCAATTACGAAATGTACATCCATTATACTCGATCATTGAGTTATTATTGCAACAGATTCGCCCCGCTTCGTGTCATGGATTGTTTTGAATTTCAAAAATCCCGCGCGTCTGGCTAAACCCTCAAACACAACGAACTCCGGAGAGTCGCAGTTTTATATCGAACACGATTTATTGTTTAACTGGTTTTTGTGGTAAAATTGTAATGTGGATTTTGCAATATAGTCCACTCTAGATTTGAGTTTATCTTTTAAATACGCCTGCCGGACGAATGCTCGAATACATATATTTCCGTTCATTAAATGTGAATGGTCTGGCCTGCGTTGGTTCGCAAAATGTCCAAACTTTTTGGTTTTGGGAACAGGAACAAGCTTTGAAAATGCCTCAAACTACATACATATACGAATACGAATACAATATAAGCCGTCGTTTTCGCTCTGCTTGAATATACTTGGTTTTTTTTTTGATACTTGGTTACGGTTAAGTACTTAATGTGATAGATATCGCACACACGCAATATATATAAAAACTTTCTACCGATTTTTCACGAGGAAAATACATTGGTTTTATATAGATCTGGGATCTGTTTAAATTTTGGAAAAACCCTCGCCGAAATTTGCGAGTTATTAGTATTGGAAAATATAAATGTATTTAGGAGGGGTGGAGAAATTTCCTTTTTTCTGATGTCTGGTCTATAATTAAATTGAATAATAAACGATTTAAATACGCGCCTGAATAATCAATTTCAATCTCAGTGTGTGATACATTTATTGGGTTTTTTGTGTGTTTTTTGCTTGTTAAATACGCTTAGTTTTTTGGTTTTCAGTTTACTTTAATTCATTAAGTACGACAGTTATGCATAAATGACTAATATTTTTTGCTTCACATCTATTTTAAATTGTGAGTTTTGCCATTAAAATACTTTTGGTTTTGTTTATCGATTTCATTTTCGTTATTTTTACGCAACGCTAAAACATTTTAAAATGCATTTTCAAAGTTAATTCAATAAATATGCTTGTAGGTTTTCCATTAGTTAGGTTTCTGTAAGCTTTTAAAGATCTAGACAATGTTTTTCGAGTGCCCAAAATTTGCATACAATGTTTTGGAGGGTTGTCGGGCCGGGGGTCTCACATAATACCGGAGTATCATATGAAACTAAGCAAGCCCCCCAATCCTCCCAAGTCCCCCCACGTTCTCCACTGAGCCCCAAAGTGACAGTGTTGTTTTGGATGCGCTGGGGGCAGTATAGTGGTGTTTTTTTTCATCTTTTATTCTGAAATAAACCGAATAGCAACCCTACTCGATGCAGTTGCTCTCCTCTCCTCTACCCGCGCAGGCGCTCTTCTCTCGCTTTGGGCACTTATCATCCGGCTGCTCCCCCTCCTTTACTGCTTCACCCTGGCCCGGTCACCGTTCTCCCGGCCGCCGGGCCCGTCCCTCTAGAGGCGGTTCTGGTTCAGCTGGGAGCGCGGGGTGAAGGGAGAGACCATCACACCGCTGGGCCAGATCGCCTCGTTGAAGAGCTCGTTGAAGCGGTAGTCCGGTATGGAGATCTTGAACTTGCAGTACGACAGCTGGGACAGATTGGCGTCGTTCTTCACCAGCTTGGTGCACTTGACCAGGTTCTTGTTGATCTTCAGCTCCTCGGCCAGATGATCAACGACATCCTCCTCGCTGGTATTGGTGGCGAACTTGCCCACCTGCACCCACCGCCCGTAGTCGCAGACCACTTGAAGCCTGTCCGAGTTGCAATTGTTGCCGACCACGATGAGATTATTCTGCTGGGGGTGCTTCTTGCCGTCGAGACCGGTGCCACCGCCACCGGCAACGCCGCCGGATCCGACACCCAGAGCCTGGAGGGGCTGGTTGCCGAACTGGAAGTACTGCTGGTACATCCGTCCCTGGATCTGGTTGACCCCGTTGCACACCTTGTTCACCTTCTCCTCGATGGTCTGCAGCTTGGAGGCGAGGGCACGAGGCGATTGATTTTTGCACTCGTCGCAGTGGAACGAGACCATCGGGTTCTTCTGGATGGCTTCGAACAAGGCGTCGTCGATGTTGACGCACGTGCGGTGGAACCTCCTGCGGCAGTCGTCGCCACTGCACCCGATGCTCGTGGACGCCGCGTCCTTCGCTCCAATTGATTTTTTGCACTTGGGGCAGTTGTCGGACATCTTTGGATTGCTTTTATCCGGCTCTCGATTTAGATTTTAATATACACTTTTGCAGCGTATATACGAGTCAGCTTTTGACGTATTCCTCGGGCGGGGGGAAGAGAAATTCGCAGAAAAAAACACACACACACACAAACAGCAGCAGCAGTAGTGGCAGTCGAACGGTATACAGTGGGATATATACGGTAATACAATAACAAATGTACACAGGAATACGAGAAAATTCGAGCGAAAGTCGGCTGGTTGTCTCTCCCACTAAAACACACTCCCACGCCTCTCCCTACGCCTCCTTTTTCCTGTCTGTGTGTGCGAGAAGAGTGCTGAAAATCGAGGAGAAAGAGAAACGCAAACGCGACCGACTTTTCTCGACAACCGTACGCTTCGAAGTTTGCAGAGTAACTGTGCCCCAAAACGTCGAACCATAAACGAAGAAACCGAAACCAACCAACGAGTCATCCATCCAACAAACCACCCCTGCGAAAGCTGTTTTTCAAGGGTTGTTTTTAACCACTATTTTCTCCATATGATTTGGTTGCTCGTCGGCTGGGCGGCTGGCAACCAGTTTGATGAGCCACCGCCAGCTCACCCAACCTGGCAGTTCTCACAGGAGCCGGAGGGGGGAGATTTAAATAAAAACATTGCACTTTCGGCGCCCGGCGACAACCCTGTTTTAACTGCACTAGGACCTCTCTACACGACAGTTTGGGCATGCCAGTGCTGCTAAAGTGTTTTCGAAAAGTGTTTCAAAATGATTTTCCAATACTTGTTTACTAAATACCACGCCATACTTGTTTTTCCTTGATATTTAAATTTTTAGGATGTACGTTTGATTAATTAAGTAAAAATGAACCATTCTACAGGATATTCAACATTTTAGAAAAGTTTTTTTAAGAGAAGATCGTAATGTAAACAATATTGTAGTATGCACATATATTGAGTACCCACTGTACCGAGAGTACTTAAAGGGTGCGCACTGTAACACTTTGTTGCAGTGTTTACATTATCCAAGTTCCGGTCATAAAACCCTAAGTGGCCGAAATATGAACCGATCGATATGCCTTAGCCCGCACACAGAAAGTGCTAGTGTCAGCATAATCGTAACAAACGGTCAGCATATGCATACCCCTCGCGCCTCCACTTGAGAGCGCATTACAACATATATTATTATATTTCTTTATATATTAGTACATAGCCGTCTCTCTGCCGCCGCCTGCGAGCAGCGCTGCTACGAGACTTAGTCTTAATTAGACTTTAGAAATATTGTAAAAGATCAGAGACATTTTGATCGTTGGAGCGGCACCTCAGCTGCTCCATCTAAATGATGGAGCGGCACCTTTGCTGCTCCTCCTGAATAAAATCCAACTAAAACCAATCCCCTGGAGTTATCCTATCACATGGCGACCGTGACAGCGATGGAAGGACATCGAGGGATTAAAAGGATGTACCCAGGAGGATACCCATAATCAGAAAATCATTGGAAAATTACTGGAAAATTACTGGAGAATTACTGGAATATTACTGAAAATTACTGAAAAATTACTGGAGAATTACTGGAATATTACTGGAAAATGAAAAATAAATCGACAAAAATCTGAGTGAGTAGAGTAAAAGCAATGGGCAATCGCGGAGGAGTCGCGAAAAAAATAAAAAAGAGTAGCACACCTAAAGTGGCTACTCTACGTAAACACTCCACCTCCCGCGTGGGCTACAGCCCAAAAACTTCAAACAGAACTAGATTTTCTGAAAGAAGAATTATTAAACAAGAATAAAAGCCCAAAAATTGCCCCCACTCACTCAGTATCGATTAAGAAAATTAATGAAAAAATAATAACAAAACCTCCACCACCAAAGCAATTACCAAAACTAAAAAAGACGTGCCCGAAGGATTGCCCTGGACCACTGGACAGCCCTCACTGCAACCAAACCTGTGCGAGGACCGGCACCGGTAACGCCTGAGTCCAAAAGGCCCCGGACAGCAGCAGCAGCAAATAGAGTGCGGGAATACGCCACCTCCTGCGCCACCGAGGGAACGTCAGCGTAGCCAAACCGGCGACGACCAGCTGACGTGGGAAAAAAAAAGGAAAGCAACTGAGGAGAAATTTTTTTTACCCATGCACTGCGTTGCATAATTTTTTTGATTGCACTGCGATGCATATTTTTTTATACTATAATATTTTTTTGAAAAATTGAGCGGAACCTCTTTTGCCCAATTTGAAAGTATGGCCCGTATAGCTGTACAAATAATAGGTAGGAAAAAATGTTAGATAAGAAAAAAGACAAAATTTAGAAAAATTTTTTTAAATTAAAGGAAAAAATACGATAAATCCCAAAAATGTATGTAAAATTTTAATGAAAGAAAAAAAAATAAATTCAAAAATAGCATAAATTCCTAAAATTTATGAAACATTTTAATACCCTTTTAATGAGAAGTAATAGCATAAGTAAAACAGATCAAATAAATGATTCTGACTATTACTTCCCAGACAAATTAAGTTACATTACAAAATATGACTCAGAGAAAAATATAATTGAAATTGGAAAAACAAAAACATATAAACTATCTAAAATGGGTTTAGTAGACACGAAAGTCGTAGATTCCACGGCAAATGTCGTTAATAAAATTGAACCAGGAAAAATCGATCTTCAAACAATTACAATATTGTTAATGATAATCGTCATTATAATGTTAGCAAGCGTTTTGCTAAAATTATATAAATTACACAATAAATGTTTAAAGAAAAAATTCCAGAGTCAAGCAAATGACCTGGACAAAATCTAAATAAAAAACCAAAAAAAAAAAAAAAAACAAACAAAATTATTATACACAAATGTAAACACCTACAATCTAAGACAATGAAATAAAAGAAAATAAATATTAAAATATATTACGTAATTATCTCTACAAAAGTATGGCTAAACTAAAGGCATGGATTGGAAAAAATTGTACGAGGAGTTATCAATAATTAAAACAAATTTTGACAAATCGTACAAGTCCCTAACTCAGAATAGACCCATTCAAAAGAATACGGTTAGGAAGCACGTTGAAATATTAGTAGAGTGCTTTAATGAAGCGCGTATGCTAATACATGATCATAGAGAAAGATTAAATCAAGATCATTGGTCACAGGTATCGAAACTTTTGATACGACTACGATCTAATTTAATATTTATTAAACAAAAGTTCAGTTTAGAAATATCGTTACCAACCGTTCTAAACACTCCAATAGCAGTTGACACTGCACCTGACTCGGAATCAACAGAAACGAAAGAATCTAAGTCAGAAGAGCTTCCCAAAGTAAACCCCAAAATAGAAGATACAGATTTAAATAATCTTACTATTCCGGCGGTATACACTGATCTGGATAACTCTACAGATTCATATATTTCGAGTGTCATAGAATACAAGATAGATAAATCCATCACGATGGCACAATCAAATATTGATTTTATTAACACAGCATCTAAGCTTATACCAGTTTTTGATGGTAAGGCTGAAAATTTAACAAGTTTCATTGATGCTTTACAAATAATACAATCAATAAAAGGCGAGCACGAAGAATTAGCTATTTCCATCATTAAAACAAAGCTAAAAGGTGTCGCCAGGAATCTAATCGGTAATGAAACAACAATTACTGAGGTGATTGCTAGACTAAGAAGCAACGTCAAAGGCGAAACTGTTGAGGTATTATCAGCGAAGCTGATGAATCTACAGCAGCGCAATAAAACTGCTAACCAATACACACAAGAAATTGAGCAGATGACGAAAGCCTTAGAAGGTGCATATATATCAGATGGTTTATCTTTAGAGCTAGCCAGGAATTATTCCATGCAGCATGCAGTCAAAGCAATGACTAAAAACTGCACAATTGATAAGGTAAAACTTATCATGCAAGCAGGCACATTCAGTACTATGAACGAAGCCGTTTCCAAATTCGTCAATAGTTGCACTGAAGCAACTGGGCAGTCGACTTTACAGTCGAAAATTTTTAGGGAAAAGATAATCATGTAGCTGATGCGTTATCAAGAATAACCATCAAAGATCTACAAAATATAACTAGAAATGTATTAAAAGTCACTACTAGATATCAAAGTAGACAAAAATTCCGCGCGGAAAATCAAGAACAAGAATTGCCAAGGCAATCTTTAAATAAAGCTTCTAAGCCCAACGTATACGACGTCATAAACAATGATGAAGTACGTAAAGTAGTGACCTTGCAGATAAAAAATATGTTATGTTTATTTAAACAAGGCAGAAAAATTACTGCAAGATATGATGTTAGCGATTTATATACTAATGGAGTTATTGATTTAGATCAATTTTTCCAAAGGCTTGAAATGCAAGCCGGTATACATAAAATCAGCCAACTCAAAGTGGCACCGTGGGAAAATATCTTTGAATATACTTCAATAGATAAATTTAAATTAATGGGCAATAAAATATTGAAAACATTAAGAGTAGCGCTACTCAACCCGGTGACCCAAATAACAAATTTAAAAGAAAAAGAAGCAATTTTGTCTACATTTCATGATGATCCAATTCAAGGAGGTCATACTGGCATATCAAAAACTTTGGCCAAAGTAAAAAGACACTATTACTGGAAAAGCATGTCTAAAGATATAACTGAGTACGTAAGAAAATGTCAAAAATGCCAGAAATCAAAAATAACTAAACACACAAAGACCCCTTTAACAATTACAGACACACCCATAAATGCTTTCGACAGAGTGATAGTGGACACTATTGGTCCACTGCCAAAATCAGAAAATGGCAATGAGTATGCAGTCACTTTAATATGTGATTTAACTAAGTATTTAGTTGCCATACCTGTTCCGAATAAAAACGCCAATACTGTCGCTAAAGCAATATTTGAATCTTTTATCCTGAAGTACGGTCCAATGAAGACGTTCATTACGGACATGGGAACAGAATATAAGAATTCAATTATAGACGATTTGTGCAAATATTTAAATATTGAAAATATTACATCAACAGCACACCACCACCAGACAGTTGGAACAATAGAAAGAAGTCATAGAACTTTCAATGAATACATACGATCTTACATATCGGCTGATAAAACTGATTGGGACGTATGGCTTCAATATTTTGTCTTCTGTTTCAACACGACCCCCTCTATGGCACATACTTATTGTCCATATGAGCTAGTATTCGGTAAAACAAGTAATTTGCCAAAACATTTTAATAGCATAGATAGTGTAGAAGCACTATATAATATAGATGACTATGCTAAGGAGAGTAAGTATAGATTAGAAGTAGCCTATAAAAGAGCTAGAGTTATGTTAGAAGCAAATAAGAATAGAAATAAACTACTATACGATCATAAAGTAAGGGATATAGATATATCAGTAGGTGACAAAGTTTTATTAAAAAAACGAGACAGGTCATAAGTTAGATCCTAAATATACAGGTCCGTATATAGTAACGGAAATAGGAGATAGAGATAACATAGTAATAGCAAATAATAAACATAAAAAACAAACAGTTCATAAGGATAGATTAAAAATCTTTATTTCATAAATTGCACTTAGTATGGCCATACAAAGACACACATACATAGATAAATAAATACACATATTCTTTTAATAATTTCATTTTCTATGATTCTAACCACATAAAACAAAACAAATAAATAAAAAAATGTATTAATTAAAAATTTTTATTATCAAAATAACTTCATTATATTACGTTATTTTTCAAAAGGAGGGAGATGTAGTATGCACATATATTGAGTACCCACTGTACCGAGAGTACTTAAAGGGTGCGCACTGTAACACTTTGTTGCAGTGTTTACATTATCCAAGTTCCGGTCATAAAACCCTAAGTGGCCGAAATATGAACCGATCGATATGCCTTAGCCCGCACACAGAAAGTGCTAGTGTCAGCATAATCGTAACAAACGGTCAGCATATGCATACCCCTCGCGCCTCCACTTGAGAGCGCATTACAACATATATTATTATATTTCTTTATATATTAGTACATAGCCGTCTCTCTGCCGCCGCCTGCGAGCAGCGCTGCTACGAGACTTAGTCTTAATTAGACTTTAGAAATATTGTAAAAGATCAGAGACATTTTGATCGTTGGAGCGGCACCTCAGCTGCTCCATCTAAATGATGGAGCGGCACCTTTGCTGCTCCTCCTGAATAAAATCCAACTAAAACCAATCCCCTGGAGTTATCCTATCACAATATACCTTAAAATGTAAAATTGAACCGATCGGAAAATTTTAACACATAATGTATGACAAATGATAAAAATCCCCCAATTTTTTAACAAAAAATGTATTTTTAAAGTGGTAACTGAAACTAATAGTAATTTTACTTGTGTAATACTTATTTTATTTTTTTATGCTTAAGTATCTTAAAAGTTTAAATTTGGAACAAAGAAACTTTTCCCCTTCATTATAAGAGTGTCAATGACAATTTATCATTAGAATAGGTATGCTACATATATAGCTTAGAAGTGTAATAGGACACAATAAAATATACTTAATAGTTAAAGCTAACTTTTAACTAGTTTTACTTACTGTGTAAAAATATATTTTAAGTTTTAATAAACTAATTGTAGATGGAAAAATCGCGAATAAAATGTGTATTTCATGACGACTCTATAGATACAACCCGATTATTTCAACGTTATTAAATTACACACCCGCAATTTTCTACACTTCAGCCTGTAATTGGAGCAGGAATACCTCTACGTGCAACCTGCAATTTGCAACAGTTGGCCGTTTCGAGGACAAACTCCCGATTCGCGATGCCAGTGAACTGGGAAAAAGGGACTCGCGAGCAAAGCAACACGGTCCACCAACTGAAGCTGTGCGCAAATGCTGCGCCGTATTTATACACCGCTCAGAGATTTCTCCGCATCCGTATTCCCGATTCCGGAGCAAGGGGGTCGATAGTGAAGTGTCCTTAACCGGAGATGGGGGTGTTTGCGCATGTCCTCGCCGGGAAATTGCGACGAAGTTAATAACAATAAACAAGTAAATTTGTTAGTGTCCAATGTTCCGACAATAACCTTTCCAGGATATAATCCTGCAAATAATTTTCTGATTTTGGATATTAAGGGGGTAACAATTGTGATTAAATTAATAATCAAAACTTGAACATAAACTTTGAAAAAAAGAGTATATTATTATGCCACACTATTGTCTATTAAAAAGAAGGTATTTTTTCTCTATATCGTATATACCCACTTCCTATACTTAATGGGTATTAAAAAAGCAGGAAAAATGCAAATAAAATTTGCAGGTGTTGCGATGGCAGCTGGGCCTTCGACTCGACGGCTCTTTGCAGCTGTTATTGTTTGCCCTCCGCCCCCCCAGGATTTGGATGGCGGACACCTTTCGTAATTGGGTTTCATTAAGGGCCGCCAGTTGGAGCAGCTTAGGACATAAAAGAGCCGAGTGGAGGGCAATGGGTTTCCGTTTCCTTTCCGCTGGGAGGCTCTTGTTAGCGGTGCTCCAATTTCTCTGTCGCCTGCATTGTCAATAGATTTTAATCAGGTGTGGCAAATGTGGTAAACAGACGCCCCTGCACCCACCCAAATCTAGACTTTCCACCTTCCAGACAGGCTTTTATTTTCAGTTATCCTATTGGCTTGCTGTCTCCGTCCCAATTGTTATTTATATATGCACCCACATGTGTCCGGAATCCGGACACTGACTCGGTATCCCTCTCCTGGAGTCTAGTGAGCAATTTAGCTTTCCACGAATCGCGGCGCTGAATAATATGCTACACTTTTTGCAAGATCCTATTTTTAGGCGCATCCTTAGGTTTGATAATTTAAATGGTATGAGAGACTAAGAGACTTTAACATTAAACCCGCAATTAAGGCATAAAAACACTTTTTGTTTTATTTTTATTTATTTATTTAAATAATTATGTATTTTCGGGGTGCAATTAATCATTAAATTAATTAGTAATATTATTGTTATATACGGTTCATATATATATATATATACTCTCTCTTCCGTCTGTTCTTTTAGAGTTTGTTTTGTCTGTTCGGCTCGCCTACGGGATTTCCATTTTGTAAGGCCTTTCCCAGAGAATCCGAATATTGCAAGGCAATGTTCAGGAAACCCTAGCCCAGACTCTGTCTTTGGTGTCGTGTATACATTGTTTTTATTTGTTTTTTTTTTTTTTGCTTTCGGTTAAAATCCAAACAAAAATCGAAACGCTTTTCTAAACATTTGTCATTGGTTATTACATACATATATTGATTTATATCTGGTAATGGTTATATGCATGTGAAGTGTCTGGGTGAGTCTTGTAATGGACATTGAACGAGATTCTAATAAGCTTTAAGGGCGACATATTGTACATGCTACGAATATTGCTAAAATACCTGCATTTGGATTTGGATTTTCGTTATATTCCCATATTATTCAGGGGTTCATTTGTTATCGATTTTGTCGATGCCTTCATCATTTTGGTTTAGTAGGCAAAGCACTTTGGGCAGGCGCTTGTAGAATCAATTAGTAAATACATTAATCGTTAATATAGGTTTATTTATTTTTCTTTTCATTTTTCGAACAAGGTAAGTACAATATGTGCTACGACGAATGGGATGACGGGTCTCAAAGTTTCAAAGATTTTCTCAAAGCAATCGGTTCTGAGTCTTCTGATTTCTGATGATCGTTATGGGGTTCTGAGATTGTAGGTGGTGGAGTGTGTGAGATCTAAATATCATATCGTTACATGCATATACACACAGATATATCGTATATGCCTAGGGTATTCCTCCTCCGACTATTACTCGTAACATTGAAATATACATACATATGTTAATTGCCTCTGTCGTCTCGGCCTGCTTCGAGTTAAATAAACAAATCTGTTCATAACCAACGTATATTGTGTGTCTAGCGCTTAATTTTTAATCGTTGAACTGTTTGGTTTCATCTTTCAATCGAACCCTTTCGAACAATATGTTTCTTAAACACAACGTTAATGATTGCACAATAAACATAAAGCTGCAAATAAACCTCATTTGTATATTTTCACTAGATTTGTTTTCAAATATCAGATCCCTCCATGACTACACTTGCTTTTCTAATATGTTTTGTTACTTAGTAAAGTTCCATGAATACATTTAATTGTCAATTATTTTTGCATATTTTTAATTGGTTTTTTGTGTCGAGTTTTTTGTCCAAACCGATTGCAGGCTTCAGGCTATATGGCATTTCGATTTTGGTTTCTATATTTCTGGATTACACACTTCGAATATTTGTTTCAAATTTTTTGCGTAACTTTACTTAGGAACAAAGCTGTGTCTTCTCTATATGGGATTTTGTTCCGAAATAGTAGTGTCTCTTCATTTCATCTAGTTAGTACATCATTTATTTATATATATTTTTTTTAGATTTGCTAAGGAAACTGAGTTCAAAGAGCTGCGAACATCGGGAAGCGACCGCCTGTCCTCCTGCTCCACTGGCGCTCCTTGTTGCCAGCGGAGCCTAGAGATCCAAGTACAATATAGTATTAGTAAGTGGCATAGTTTTCTAGGGTTTTTTTTGGTTTTCTTTTTTCGAGTTACTCGTAAATATTTTCAAGTTCCATATATTTATAATTTATTTATATTTATATATACCTTTTTTTTATGCATGAAATAATGTAACCATAAACAAATTAGCAACAACTTTAATTTGTCCGGAGCGTCTTCTTTAGATTTAGTATTAATATTATGACATAAGTTACTTAAAACCTCTCTCCCGTTTCTCAACTCGTGCCCATCAACATCGTTTAAGTGGAAATTATTATTGAGTTATTTGCAATTCTCGAGATTTTCTAGTATAACTGAGTTTTCCTTTTTGGTTTGGTTTTCGGTTTCCGCCACATCGGCAATCGTCATCATCATCTTCAACGTCATCAAGAAACTCCTGGCTGGACCTCCTGGCTGGATGGCCTTACGTTACTTATACGCCACCGTGCTCGCCACCGGTTGATCCGGCTGATCCGCCTGCTGCTCCTCCGTCATCCACCAGCGACGACTGTCCTCCGGCGGGCTGCTGCTGCGGCGGCGGCGGTGGTGGCTGCATGTACTGCGGGGGGTACTGGTACTGCGGCGGCTGCTCCCCGCCTATGAGGCCGAGTTTATCTGTGGGCGGGCGGTAAAGGGGGTGGAACAAGTGGTTCTGATTAGTAGTCTGACAATACAATCATTTCTCCATTTCTTCAACTTCTTTCAGTCTCGAATGACAATCACATCGATACATCGAATATTATTACACTTCAATGGTTAAAAGCTCACTCATGACGCAATATTTAGATATAAATATATAGATATTATATAGCACATGGATTGTGGAGAATGGGAGGTGGATATGGACAGGGGGCGGGGCAGGAGTACAGCCTGGCTGGCTGCATCCAACGAAAAAATATTTACACAGAAGGCTGTCCCCCAACCACCAATTATTAGTCCTTCGTTAGCTTCCTTCTCTCAGCTGGTTGGTGCATTAAACTTAGGCCAATTCTCAGAATAAGTACAACATTGAATCGAAACAAATTATAGAACCATAAGATTACTAAGCACACAAAGACATCTATTAACTCACACACATGCAGCTAAAATCATACTAGAGAACGGAAAAGGAAACGAGGGACAGCGGAAATGGAAACGTAACAGAAACGGAAACGGTAACGGATGTTTGGAATAAAGCTCAGGTGTCAAAATACACAGTATGTTAATTTGGCATTGCATTTTGCTGTCTTTTGCTTACAGTGTATGTCGAATTAAGTCGTAATATCAATGGTACTAAGAAAGTGTGAAATGTTTTCTTTTCTTCTAAATTTTTTGTTAATTTTGAGACTATACGAGAGTATGTTTCTACGGATGCAGCTTGGAGGTGGTGGTTAGTCGATGGTTGCTTGGCTGAATAGTTTTAGTAGTTGTTGTTATTGTTGTTGCTGTTCAGTTGGTGTTTATAATTTTTCGGAATTTTTGGAAGCGTTCTATTGTCCAGTCGCCACTTCATCCGACGGACTCTGTGGGATGTCGGTCAATTTCTCGGCCAATGGTTTCTCGAGTGTCGGTGGTTCAGATTTAAGTGTATGGTGGTGTTGTTGTAGTTGTTGTGGTTGTAGTGGTGGTGGTGCGGCTGAATCGGGTGCAGATGCCGGAGGCAGAGCCGGAGCCACCTGCTGTTGAATGGCAGGAGGCTGCGGGGCAGCATTATCATCCGACATGTATGGTTCTACGAGAAATTGTTCGGTGAATTTATGTTGCATTTTGTTTTGCTTTCAATGGATCATATTTTAAAAGCAAACATATTAAATTTTGAGTGAATAATAAAAATCTTTAAACAAAAATATATATAACTTGGTAAATGATTTCTTCAACGGGTGCACCTAGCGATAAACGTTGCGTATAAAGGAAAGTTTCAACTGTCGTTTTTACCTCACAATTATAAAGTGCTTTTTTAATATTTGATTTAAAAATTTGATTTTTTTTGGTATATTGTGTTGAATAAGAAAATTGTACAAAGAAGCTAAGGCGTTCAGTGTATTTACTCTTCGTCTTTCTCTGTAATTGTTGAAAAAAATTGTACAGTGTATTGAAATATTTGAAATTAATGTGAAAATATTTAAAATAACAAAAGTAACTTAATGAAATTGCAGAACTTTATGCTTTTGCTTTGGTTCGGTGGCACAAGTATAGCTAGCTTTTATATTAAATTCAATTTTATTGGATGACCTTTGCGTTTGCTTTGAATTGAGTTTAGAATTTTGTAACTACCGGATAGTACTACGATTACTGGGTTACGGGAGTACGGGGCTACGAGTTGGGTATTTTACACAGGACATGGCACAACTGTGTGGCTGTGGTTGTGGTGCTACTGTGGCTGATATTGTTGTCTTTTTCTGCGCTTGCTGTTTGCTGTGGTGGATCGCCAATATCAGTTAATTAATGTTAACAGAAAAAGAACGGATAACGAAACACTGAACAAACCACAAACTTTACGGTTACGGCTTACTGCTTACGGCTTTACGGGAGTTACTTTAGCTAGTTAGAAACACAGAACTTAAGGTCCTACGGATACAAGCGCATATCGGTTCACCTCTAATCCGACGGGTTGCTGATTCAGTTTCGGATCGGATTTCAATGAATTTTTTTTTTTGGCAACACTTTGGTGGGGCAGAAAGAGGTGCGATTTGCGATTTACGATTTACGATTTGGAGCTAAAACAGCTTTTGAATTGTACAGGTAAGGCAACGATAACGAAACGATAACAACACACGACACGGCATCAAATCAAATCATTACCGAACCTGTGCTTATGCTCGTATGGAACCACATGATGATGTTGGTCTTGGATATACATATGTTCGATACAAGGTACATATATATACCATATTGTTATAGTTCTAGTGGTGGTTGCTGAAGCGCATGATATGGATGCGATTGACTGATCGATCGGTTAGCATTTTATATATCATATTTTGTTATTATTTAAAATTTTGTTTTTTTTTTTTAAATTTCGAGTTTTTGCAAGGCATCGAGTTCGAATCGGTTCAGCGAACGATCGTCAAGGGTCAGAGCTCTACTCATAGCGGTTGATATAAATGAGTTTGAATTTTGGTTTCGATTTGGATCGTAATTGGGTTGATTGATTGACTTTTGATTTTGGTTTCGATTTGCATTGCATTGCGGCTAAGTTACTAGTTTCTTATGGATTAGTTAGTTAGCAATCTACATAAAGTTACCTAGAGAAAAAAACGGTGGCAGAATTAATTAATAAAAACGCAATTTAGATTTAGTGTGTGTAACGAAGGCTAACGAAATCAGCGCTAAATCAAAAATGCCAACTCAGGAGACAAACACAATTTTGGTTTTGAGTTTTGGTATCGTTTTTGAATAGGTGTGGACGGTATCAGTATTTCCAGGTCTGGGTCTAGACTCTAGAGGGTGTATCTGTGTGTCTTGTATGTCCAGGATATGAGTAAGAGAACTGGATCCCGGCACGATCAACTTACTTGCAATGATACCCACGACAACCAGTCCAATCACGCCCATGATGATCATCATCTAAGGTTATAAGAGTTTGAGTTTCGAATTGTTATTATTAATGGTATCCATGAACAGACCTTCAAGTTCTGGAGCCAGAATTTCCTCTTGAGCTTGCCCGCCTGCTGCTCGAACTGCGAGGCACCCTGCTGCAAGGCATCGGCACGATCGTCCAGCTCCGACAGCTTACTGTCGCGCTCCAGCACCTTCTCCACATTTGTGCGCATGATGTCGACCACCTAGTCCAGAATGCAATATTATAATGATGATAGTAATATATATGATAATATAATTATATGAAACCCTAGATTAAGTGTCTATATTTAGATTAGAAAACTTTCCACTCACCTCATCGACCTGCGCCTGTGTCTGCTGGAGACGCTTCTGTGCCGCAATCTGCTGCGGATTGTGTGGCCCGCCCACAATCTCGCCATCGCCGCCCTCTCCGGCCGGAGCTCCGGCATTTGGTGGTGCATCGCCAGCTGGTGCAGCGTCCGCCCTGTGGAAGGAGGTGGCTCGTCATTAGTATCCTTACCCGCCAAGTGGTGCATAAAAATAGCTTGTACCAAGACTAATCAACTCCCTACGGGGGTTCAAATTAAATACGTTTTGGGCTTGAATTACACAAAAAAGAGTGGGTGTGTGCGTTGGGTTTCTAGCTTTATCTTGAAGATACGTGTGGATTATAGACTGTGCTGGAGTATATATCGTTTATATGTCTAGCCGGCTACCCTTAAAGAGCGGCACTTACGGTTCCTTGTTCTTGTCTTTCTTGCCCATTTCAGAGCCTCACAAAAAACTGAGAGCTTTACCTCGGTTTCTGTGCTCTGCTAGGGGGCCAAATGAAATTAAATAATTAATCATAAATAATAAAATATATTTTACTATAGTTTAACTAACAGTATGCTACTATTTCCGCATCTATTTGGCCAAGAATCCCCAACCCAAAATTAACATACAAATTGTGTATCACATATATCCGACTCTGCCCCCAACAAAGGAAAACAAATCAATATTTCAGCCTCACTCTTAGGGACGAGAATCTTTGCTTTTGTTGTACACTTTTGATGGATGTTTGAAATAAAATATTGAAGGAGCTCGAAGGTAAGAAAATAAAGTATAATTTACAGGTGCAATTAGTTACTTTGCATGTCCTGACTCATTATTGATTTTGCGGTGTGAGAGTCTTGGCCATGTGATGCGGCAACGTCATCGTCGCCGTCAAGTGATTCATTCTTGGGCTTGAAAGAAATTGAAATTGTAGCTACAGCTGCTAAGTCTGTTGTTTTATGGGTCTCGGCACTTGCGGAAATGAAATGTCCGACCCACGCTGCGTATACTTAATGCGGCTATCAAAATAAGAACTCCCCCTCTGTGCGAAAAAATACATAGGACCCTCCTCCAAAACGAAGAAAACAAATCAATAACGTCCACTTACATTTCTGTGTTGGGCTGTGTTTTCGGTTCGGTTTCTCTGAGTGGTTTCTTCAGGTGGTGCTCTGGCAGCCCGTGGTGGTTGTCTCTACAATTTCGGCTGGCGGTGCGACGATGATTCTAATGATGATTGCTCTATGCACTTGCTCTATTCCAACGTCGTCGCCTGCGGAGGTCGGAATGTGGTTGTGGCGGTGGTTATGATAGTGGTGGTATGGTGTGGGTGGTGCAGCTGAACTCGCTTCGTTGTTTTTGTTGTCGAGGGTTGCGCTTTCGCTTTCGCTCTCGCTCCGTTGCCCTTTCTCACTCGCTTATGGCCAGAGAGCTTTTTCGCCCCCAATCGTCAATGAATTTTCACTCCACTCCACGGGGGTATCGGCTGGATCTGGATCTGGATGTGTATGTGTGTGTGTGTATGTTGCCACGACAGCCTTTCGAAGGAAATTCTCTGGCTCAGCGCGCTGGAACTGTCACGGCTGCTGAATAGAGTGCGAAAATAGTTGTAACTATTTTTAGTACATCCAGCTTTTAAAAAGGTTTCTAAATGTGTGTCTATTTATCGTCTAAGACGAACAACTTGGGTGGTGCAGCAGCACGCCCACTTGTCCTGCAATTTAAGGACTTTCCCTGCTGCACCTATCTTTATTTCTGTTGCATGTCCCGAGGGGCATAAAGGACTCTATATCTTTGTGTGCTTATTTCGAGAAACACTTGCAAATGCTTTTGGGAAAAAATCAATGAAAATTCACATGCCAAAATTGTTTCAATCTTTTGGAAGAGTTTTCATTAACTTTTAAGGACTATTTGGTTACCGAGAAGTGGCACAATACTTTAAAACCCCGAGGACAACGCAAGTTTACAGAATTATAGCCTTAAATAATATTCTTAAAATTATTTTACGCAGCACAAGAAAAATTTTCACTTACGACGTTTTTAGCCAACTGGGAAAACTTGCAGCTTTCCTAACTGTTATGTGTATTTGGGGAAAAAGCTCGCTGGATGGACGAAGGCGAATTCCTTTTTCAGCGAGAAGCTTTTCCTTGCCAGCAACGAGTCAGAATAAAGGAGCGAGTCGTAAGTGCAGGAATAATTTGAAATCAAGCCGGGCTTTAAAATCTTTAGTTTATTTATAATAGTCATTACAACAGAAATATAAGCTTAAACTATAATTTATTAAAATTGCGACTAATTAAGGTAAAAAGTTTAGGGACAGGCAAAATTATAGCACAATATCATGGTAACTACTTTAAAACTAAAACAAAACTATAAAGGCTTTCTAAACTTTGTCTGAATCCAAACGCGATACATCTTCAAGCCCCTACCGCGGTTGACCTGCAACCGTCTGTCCACTATGAGTTGCTCCTCTAGCAGTCCCGCCTTGGTCAGCATATCCCGCAGCTCCTCCTCGGTGAAAAAGTACACCATGGTTCCATCACCTCGTACATAGAAGTTGTCTTCGAGGCACTTTCCCGTTTTGAAACGCAACTGCGCCAAGTCATATCTGCCATAGTCACGAAACAGGAGCAAACCTCCAGGCTTCAGGTAGCGATAACAGTTTTCCAGGACACGCTGCATTTTCTTAGGCTCAATGGCCGACAGGACGAAGATCATTACAATTATATCCTGCGAGTTTTCCTCGAAAGGTACCTGCCACTGGTCCAAAGTGGCGTCCATAACAAACACCTGGCATCTTTTCCCATCGAACTGTCGTTGACTCTGAAGGATTTCAATTGCTCTCGCCGAGAAGTCACAGCCAAAGACTTTAAGGTTTTCTTCAGAGCTGTGCTCTAGTAAAGGAAGAATGGTATTTCCCACTCCGCAGCCCAGCTCAAAGATACTGCGTTCCTGAGGTGTTTTCGTTTCCAACGGAGCCAGCTCTGGAAACTCGGTGAAGAGCCAGTGACGATCCTTAAAGAATCGATTGTCGTGTATCCCATAAAAAGAGTCCCAGAACTTTGGAGCCTCCGACTGAAAACGATCCTTGTCCTCCTGGTTCATCTTGCTGGCTGAGTTCTTGGCCACCGCTGCCTGTGCAGCCTGTTCCTGCTCCTCGTCCCATTGCACGTGGTCCCTGATGGAAAGAACGAATTTAGGGTTTTAATGAATACGGAACCAAGGATATGTACCAGGCATTAAACTCAAACACCTCGTGCGCGTCCGTGAGCAGCCGCCCACCTGCCCCGGCTGGCTTCTTGCGCCCTCGAGTGTGCTCCCAAGTTTTACTAGCCAGGCGCCGCAGCTGGAAGAGGGCATATTTACCAAGCATTGTGCTTGAAGACGTCTTCGCTGTTGGTGAGCAGCCGGGTGCCGAATTGTGGACGTTTCTCGGTCTCTCCGGCGGGGGTTTCAGTCATTGCACAAGGATCTCCAGCTACCTGTTGGAATTAACCATTAAAATTAAAACAAAACTATGTAAACAGCAGGCGGCGAGGTCGGCTCGGAATGGTGTGACCAGACAGTAGGCTATCGATACCTATCGAAGGTTAGGATACGAGATTTCATGACACTCGGAGAAAGGTAACGCCTAAATAGAAATCTAGACCGAATTTAGTTAACATTAAAATAAATTATTTGAAAAATCAACTAATATAAGATGCGCACAGTGCTGCTAAGCAAATCGGACGAGCTGTACCTGGAGAAATGCGCACAGGAAAACCAGTTCTCGTACGGGATCATTGTGGGCCATGTAAGTGCCACCGTCAGCCATCCGCCACGTAGATTTGTTGTGTTTCGTGCCCCCCGCTCATGTTTATCTGTTTTCTCCGGTTGATCCTACAGCAAGCCGACCTTACCAAGAGTATTGTGGTTCACCTGGCCCGGAACAATGAGGAGGATGGCGAACTGGAGGATATCAACGATGTCCGGCTCACAATCGCCGACGTCAACTCACAGGCGTTGGCTTCCCAGTGGCTGAGTGCAAGCAAAATGTGCCCCGGCTCTTTTGACGTCATCGGTGGGTTTGCGTGATGTCTCTTATTTATTTTTTTTGATATTCCAACCGGTATCTGTGGGTGTGATTTGCATGTGGCATATCAGCAGAGACAGGAGGTGGTGTTCCCACATTCTAAACTGACTAATGTATCTAGTAGATACTATAGACCTGATTCAGCTCAGATCTTTGTTCATAAATTAAATATTACTATCTTTGCAGGCATTTTCGTTTCATCAGTCAGACCCGATGTAGCCATTGAGCAGAGTTCTGAATTCAAAAATGCCAAAAAACTCTTTTCAGACGTTTATGAGTAAGCATTCTAATAGAATCTATATCACTATAACCACAATATCTTTATCCTACAGCTTGCTCCTTAAAAGCAACAGCTCCTTCGGTGTCTACACCACCGATATTGCACAGACTGACTACGTATTTCTATCGTACTCTCTAGCCGACAAAAAGGTTCTCTGCAAGAACTATAGTTACGGAAAGTGAGTATCAAAATCCAAAACATAAATATTTAATGTGGGTCTTGAGGTTACCCTGAAAACTCACCGTGTGTTCTTTCTCTCACCAATCGAATCGCTTACATTTTAAAACCCAAAAATAAACCTAGACATTGCAAAAAAACGTATTTTACGGCAAACATAAAATGCATCATATGGTAACTAACATGTTGAGAAGTATTTTTCTATGTAATCCTATCTGTTAAATGTTAAATAATCACTTACTTTGCTTCCCCAGTCCTTTTGTTTCTTATTTCTCGGAATGCATTTTATGTGTTAGTTAGCCCTTTTAGGATTGTTCATGTTTATATGGTAGTTTGATTTTAAATGATCCTTGATTTTCCAAAACTAAAACTTTCCGGTTTCTTTTGATAGTGGCGGAACATTTTCGAACATGGAACACAGGTTTGTGGATAAGCCCTTCGAGTGGATTCAGCTGGACTCGAACTACTATTTGGACGATGTGCTACCCATAGTAGACACAAGTCGTCGCGTCAACATCGAAGATCAGTTCCAGAACATCATAAAGGCAGTGCGCCAGAATCTGCTGGCCAGTGAGGTGTTCCTGCAAAACGAAATGGTCGAGGACACCATTGATTTGCAGATGTACATAAAAAAGAAAAAGACCAAAGGCGACAGACTGAAACCCTCTGCAGGAGGTACAGGTGCCAATACACCGGGGAGTACTACTCAAGAAACCCTACCAATGATTTCATCAGACGCTGGAGTGGGTGCCGGTGACTCAATTCGGGCCAGCATTGTGCTGCCCGTCAAGTGCCAACTGAGCAAGCCGACGGACATCAAGGTTCGCGAATTCAATGGTACTCTGCGCATGAGCGGTATCATTGCTACAAGGATATTCTGCAGTCCTCGGAACAGCATTGCGGATGTAAAGAGATTCCTGCGCGACGATGTGCTGCGCTCGCTAATCACCCGTATTCAAGTCTACTGTGACGGGCTCACGGACACCTATGTGACCAGCGAGGCTTTGTACATCAGCGAGCCGCCACGTAGAGTGTTCTTCAGTCTGCCTTCCGAGGGAACCAGCACATCGGTCGGAGCACAGATACAGTTCTCCGAATACCTGTTCCGTGGGGAGGCCCCCACCGTTGCCGTGGCCCAAGCCAAACAAGTCCTAGATGTTGAAATCGATCCCGAGGCAATTTCCGTAGAGGCCGAGGGTCTGCCCGACGACTCAAACTTCGCGAATGCAAATCAGTCCCATGACTTGGCGGACGATAGCCGCATCCTGCCCAGCTCGATGCCGAAGCCGGAACTCTCGCGCAGCCTGTACATGGTGGGCATTGCGGTGGCACTTCTGGTGCTTCTGGCATCGGTGGCCGTTCACTATGTCATAACCGGTCGGTAGGTCATCCTGCGCCCGCAACACCCTACTCTTGTAGCTCTTTATACGGAATGTTTTTGATACAGATGCATAATTTTCATGTGTGCTCGCGCACTCACCTCTCTCTTGTGATCGTTTGTTTTTTATAACCCATTGTGTACTCGTAGTAGTAAAAAATTTAAAGTGTTTAGGGGTCACGTTAAATAGTTTTATTGTGAAAGCAAAAGTGTGCAGCATTTAACACCAATATAATAAACTAATGAGTAATGTACACATCTGTGAATCTTTGGTATGCCGAAAGGCAGGGGTTGCTTCTTCCTTTGTAATATATTTTCCTATATTTAATTTATGGGTAATTTTAAGCCACTGAATTGAGTATTTTGATTGAAAATACATAAAAGACTTGCGCTTATTTCGATTTATACAATTATGAATTCTTTAGTTGTTTAGTTTCTTAATCAAGGGTGCAAGGTTTTTGTTTATTAGTTTAATTATTAAGAAACATGGGATTGCATACTTTTTGGATGTTTTATTTTTGATCAATCTCAGGATCGGTGCTTAAGACAACATTTAATCTAATTAACTTATGCAATGTTAAATTGGCTCTTGATTTTGTTCACTTAAGATTAAACATTACTATGATGTTTAGAATTAGAAAAAATATCGCAACAGGTGTTGGTTTTTAAGTTTGTTTATAAATATTAGCTTGTCTAAGTTTCGAATCGCCTTTGTTCAGAATTCCATTACGGAAACCCATCTATGTAACTTCTAGTTAACTAGCTTTAGGATCGTAAAATGAGCACATAATGAATTGTGACGTGGTGATCGCACGGATCGGGACACTTGAAGTGTATTTAAAGTGTTTCACAGCCTCTGCAAGTTGTCGGATCCACGACGGATCCGCGATTACTAAGTAAGAACTAATGCATCTTGCAGTTGCCATTGCAGTTGACAACCGACCACACCCAGTTCACGTAATTGGGCACCTTGGCATAGATCCCATACTTGTTTTTCTGGCCACAGCCATCGCCGAACGACGTGATGCCGAAGATGGTCCACGGATGGTTGGGTTTGGTGGTATCGCGACACAAAAGCGGGCCTCCCGAATCCCCGGCACAGGTGTCTATATGCCCCTTGTGATGTCCAGCGCAAAACATGTTCTATGGATCAATAAATTATTATTTTTTATAGTTCCTTATAAGACCATTTACTTACCTTAGTGATGGTATAGTCGTGGTAGACCCGTCGACAATGTCCCATCGAAATAATAGGCACGGTGGCCTTGTGGAGGACGTTGGTTCCCACCACATCCCGATTGCGACGCTTGCCCCAGCCAATCACCGTGCACTCGACGTTCTTGGGCAGCTCCTGGAAAGGCTGCGGCAGGCAGGAGTAACTTATCCAGGTGGTGGCATTCACTGGTTTGGGGAGCCTGGAGGAGAAGTTAGGTGTATTATAAGTGGATGGCTATATGATAGAATACAAACCTAAGCAGGGCCACATCGCTGTCCACAGTCCTCTTATCGAAATTTGGATGAGTGAAGCTCTTCAGGACCCTCAGCTGAATTTCGGTTCCATCCTCGTACTCCAGATTGTGTTCACCTGTCAATGATGTCTATGATTATCAATATTCCATCCTCTTATGGTCTTTATAGAAACAATCATACCTATTCGAACGTAAAGCACCCGGCGCACACAATGGGCAGCAGTTAAAACCCATCTGGGAGCAATGAGGGTGCCGCCACAGAAAGCCTCCTTGAAGCGATTCAGGATGGCCACCTGCCAGGGCCACTCCCCCTTCCTGGCTGCCCGTCCACCTATAATTTTAAGCATGTTGGACATGCTCCGACGACCTGTACCGCTCCGGACTATACCACAGCTCAGCTTTAGGGGCTTGTACTCCAGTCCCTGATAGCCCTTTCCGGTCATGATGTAGTTAAGGTCGTTGCTGGGCTCCTCCGGCTGTGCCGTGTGCATACGACGCATGGCGCTCACTGGAGAACTTGGTCCGGGTCTCGTCTCAAAGGCAGGAGTCTTCTGAAACTGGGTCTGCAGCCACTGCTGGCAGAAGCTGCCCTCCGTATAGCAGTAAGCTATTTCCCGGAGAACCTCCCTGCCACACTGGTCAATGTTCCGGCATTTTCTAAGAGATTAAATGATATTATTTCATATTCTTTGGTATCTGACACGACTTACTTGTATCTCCGAGTGGTGCACTTTGGTGAGCACTTGGTCCATCTACTCCACTTGGAGTAGATGCGTCTTCGCCGCAGAACCTGACCATCCTTGGGTGGCTGCACCCAGGTAACATTACGGTATTCAGGATCCGCCTCCTCTGAGTCCTGGTATTGTGTATCCGGCTCCAGATCAAAATCCTCGTATTGAAAGATGTCACCCTCCACACTGCTGTCGTCAATCATGTTTTTGGGCCTCAGCGACTTCCTTTCCCCAAAATCCACAAAGTCATCATCGTAGTAGTCCCTCGGCTTCGGATGCGGCCTCTGGGGTCTCTTTCTGCGGCTCTGCTGCCGTCTCCTATGACGATGTCGCTTGAGAACAAAGAAGTCACCACTCTCCCCAGAGTAGTAGGGATCTTCATCAGCGTCCACCACTCCATCAGACTCCTCGTCGCTGTAGATGTCCTTTTCGGGGTATCTTACAATCTCCACCGGCTTGGGAGGTGGAGGAGGACTAGGTGCTTGAGTTGGAGGTTGGGTGGGTGGAGGAGTTGGTGGATAGGTAGGTGGTGGCCTGTACTCGGTGATGTGGTGATCATAGTTCGGTCCACTGGAGGCAGCAGCCGCGGCATTGATGATTATAGCCGGAGGGTTGGGAGCCTGTGTGATGACTTTCTCGCGGAAATGACTTTCTTCCACAATTGTCGGAGGAGGAGCTGGATGCCAAGATACAGGAGGAGCAGGATGGCAGCTGTTGAAAATAACATGAACCATTTAAATACAAACTTGCTAAAAATATTCGAGTATTTAAGCTAGAACACTTTTGTAAATGTTTTTTCGAAGTCTGTGAAATGTGAAATGGGAGATGCTCCCCAAATTAGAACACTTTATGAATAAACAAACTAAAAAATACAATTTGGCCCAAAAAATAGTCGGCACAAAAGTGTTATTTATGTGAAGGAAAGCCAAAAATAGTGTTTATTTGCGGCAGACTGTGTGTAACAAGTACTATATGTTTTCAAATCCTAAATGTAAATTGCACCAGATCGATGACGTATTTAAAACATGTACGTAGTGTATATTCTAAATAAAGTTTAAATGCTTCAGAATGTGCTTGAATAGCATATAGACTTTAAAGACATGGATTTAATAAATTATCATTTATTTTATTACTCACTGTCTACATTTGCTTTGCTCCAAATGCTTGGTATGGCCACATTTCCGCTTCACCTTGCAGAAGCGCTCCCTCCGGCGGACGCACTCTCCGTCACAAGCCGACCACTGGGACCACCGACTGAACGGCTGGTGGTGGCTGATGGAGCGGCGTCGCCCACTCCACCTCTGGTGGGGCGGCATACGCAGGCGGTGCACCCGCCGACCGTCCATCCAACTGGAGCTGTGGTAGGAGTGGTGGTGTCGGGGATGATGAAGTACATCTCGTATCTCATTTATCGACCTCTTCGCCTCCTGGACATGGCCACTCTAGAGACAAAACCAAAGGTAATTATTTATATAATACATTTTATGGACTTCTATAAAATTTCTAGTTTTCAGACTAAAACTCTTCAAGTTTTATTTTCTTTCGGTGTATAAGAAGCAGTCTTGGGCAGAAGTTAAAGATCAGATCTTGGGTTTCCCTTTTTATGAGGTCGAGAGTGTGAAATGCGATCTGCGCCCTACGATTTTCGTTTCCAAGGAGCCCACACTCGCTTCCCGACTTTCCGTCCTCCCGGCTTTCCAGCTTCCCCGCTTCATCCATCCACTATAAATCAGACATGTCGCCGCTTTTTATTTGAAGTGTCATTGCTCTCGACAGTTTCGTGTCTGTATTTGCCTAGTGGATGGCCTATACCCGAGAAGGAAACAACTTGGGAAAAGGAGAAGGAGGAGGAGTGTACTCTTGGTCCCAGCTCCAGTTCCAAATGCAATGTCGGGCGACGCGACGCCGCCTCCTATAAATAACTCACGCTTTTCGCCGACCGATCCGGCGGATCCCTGCATCCGTCTCAGCCCAAAATAGGCTTCGACATCGGACGAGGACCAGTCAATTGCCATAATCTCACTTCAGTCCGCCCTCCAGCCTGGCGTCGTCCATAAAATTGGTCATTTTTAGAACTGAGTATATCCTGCTTGTTCCAAGGTTGGTCCCTCAAGCAATGATCATGAATAATTAACCTGATCTTGAACTAATTGGTGCTATTTCCACTGCTTACTGATAAGTCTAGTAAATGCCAATACTGTTAATGAATGAATTCGAAATGAGTCAATAGTGATTAATTTATAAGGTTACCCATACATACACTCGAAAACATATTCAACTTTTATGAATTAAAATAGTTTCTAGATAAACAAAAACAAGAGTATTAATCCATTCATATAATTCGAATTTAATAGACTAAAAGTATATTACTTCAAGCTGTGAGCTACTATAAACATTTAGGGTATCCAATTAAATCAGAAAATGAATCAGCAAAGTCTTTAAATAAAACTCAATTATATAAACAATGTTATAAATAATCTATCTATAATTTTGATCTTTAACTCAAATAGTAGAATATTTTTAGCTCTAATTAATTTATAGCAATAAATTAAAAGGATTATTTAAAATTTTCTAAACTATATTTAAATAAAAGTACCTGTTTTAGCTGCTCAGAATACTTTTTGACCTTACAGAGAACTAATTTAATGACTTATTCCAGAGTTTTATTAGTTCAACGACACGTTCTACACCTCCAGATGGAAGATTCTAGACCTGCCCATAACCGGTAGTTGGATTTTTATAGTCCCCAACCAAAATAGTTCATTTATGATGCTACCAAATTAATTAACTTAATCTTCTCACCATTTGTAAAAAACATATCAGATAAAAAGCCGGAAGAAATTATCATATTATCGACACGAGCAAGATTTCAGCCTAATGGCTGCATTAATTAGGTATCTGTATTAGTTTAATTTGTGGCATTATTTTGAACTAGAATTAGTTTCAAATAAATCAAATGAGGTGCTAATAATGGAAATCAGACGTAGGTCATGGCAATCGGAAAATTCAAAAATGGAAAACCGAAACATTCCCATCAAATCATGCGGAAATACACACGAACCGCATAAGTACAATGCCCGTCTGCTCTGCACCTCAAGCTCAAGGAGACCCACATCGTTCCGGACCCGATTTCGTTTATATATATGTACGAGAATCCCCCCAAACAATGTACAGAAAAAAAACGAGAGTGCGACTAATTTGGTTGCGGTAATTGACCTTGCAATTTTAAATAGTTCACAATTCCCAATCGAATGGTTTCGGGTTGACGTAATGCCGATCGGGACAAGTGGGTGGGAACTAGAAACTACAAACTTTTGGATATTTGTATCTACCATATGAACTCACCTGAGTTTCGACCAGCAGTTGTACCACAGTCAGGAATTCCAAAATCCAGCAAATCACTTTCATGCTCAATTGCTTACGGTCCCTCGTTCAAAATCCGTTCAATTCAAAAACACGGCGACCACCGTAGCGAATCCGTGAATCCAAAGACCCTGACCAATGCACTGTGAATAGACAAAGAGTTGTTTGGCTAAGAAGCGTGATTTTAACATTTTAATCTAATACTAAAGTCATGTTAAGTGTGTGCTAAAAATCTTTGAAATTTGGCCATTAAATTTCAAGAAAATTTATGATCAGTATGCATAGTTTTATAAAAAGCAAGCGACATTTTATTGCACACTTTAAGACACCGCAGTTTATGGCTTTTTAATGTCTAGATCATAGGCACGAAGAATTATTTTTAAAAATATTCTAAACAATGTGAACAAAATAGGTTCCGTAAACTATCAGAAGGATAATAAAAAGTAATACTTCATGAGATATTTTTAAGAGTTTTTACTATAGTTTTATTAGTGCTTCTCTCAATATAGTTGAGATATATCCTCAGTTAAACATCTGATATTCGAAAGTCTCACAATTTCTGATGTGAATTACGCAATATTTTGCAACAACAATAAAACAGCCTCTTTATTTTCTGGGTTAGCCTAATTAAATTATATAACTCGCCCACAAACTGGCGTACTTGAACCTGTACTTGTTTTAAACGAGCCCGTCTGTCGTGCATTTAGGTGCCTAATTTCCCCTGACTAAGCGGCTCATTTGCGTCAAAGTAAAATCATCAAAAAATTAAAGAAAAAACAAAAAAAAAATTACAAAGAGGTGCCCCCCACGCACTGCACAATTAAACCATGCCAATGTCGATGGTGGATTTGTATCTGTATCTGTATCTGTAAAGTATTCCGGACTCCCTATCTCAGCGGCCGCCTTTGCCTTTTGCCAACTACAAAGCAAATATTTGAACTTGCCTGAGACCTTAGCCCAATGCGATCAAAAGAGCAAAAACAAAAATAAATCTTTAAGAAAAAAAAATAAAGTGAAAATTAATTAGCAACATACCCGTTCAAATGTAATTACAAACAGCAGAGAATTAAAATTGAAAACATAATAAGATAAACTGTATATTTTGTTTGGATTTTTTTGTGATGCCGAGAGTGCTTTTGATGATGCCACAAGTATGCTGCCACATAAGTGAGCTGTAGAACTTAAATAAAGAAATAGTACTATGTACTGGCCCCGAACTCAAGCTGCAATGAGGAATTTTAAGTAGAGCCAGAACACAAGTACGCGTACTTTGAACTTACGTCAACGGTTGGGATCTTGGCCACATCCAGATACTACACTCTCAGGCGATCATATAAGGTCAGATGCGCTGGAACCAGCTGCCAGTTAAAGACTGCCAGTACCGGCAGCACGAACTGCACTGCGCAATCCCACATTCGCAATTCTGGTTATTCCAAATGACCAAATTCGATGCCCCACCATCCTGACCAGGTTTTCGTAAATTGGCCATTTATATGCCGCGCTAAATTTCAATAAATGGTACCTCCAATGGATGCAACCGTAAAGACCAAACAATAACAAAACCCAATTCCCCAGGCACACACACCAACAATCGATCTGCCTGATTTATTTACAGTCTGAGTTCAACGAGTTAAACAAACATGCGGATATATTCAATTTTTATAAGCATCCATCTGATCCGATCGACTATGCTCAGTGACGATTGAGTATATTGGGTAACCCGTGGTGCGTGAAGAATGTTTTCGCCGGTTTTGATGGAAATAAAATTCCACACACAACAAACAAGCCACTAGAAACTATTTTAACACACCTGACGACACATGATTTATATGCATTAGGGCGGACATTTCTTCACCAAATCTTTGTGACATCATCTGTTAGTAAACAAAAAAATGATTTATACAAAAGTTTCCAAGAATTATGTTTGAAGAGAGCTATATTCCTGTTAAGATAACCCAATTTTAAGATCAAGCAGAGCATCATATGACAGCAAAATGCACTGTAATACATGTAATAGTTTCAGATATAAGTTTTCAAGAGATCTTTTAAAAGAATTTACCTCACCTATATTTTCAAAAGCAAGGTTTTCGAACTTCAAAATCACAAAATATTAGTACTTATTTTTAAGAGAAAATAATTTTTGAATAAAACAAACCTAATATAATAACATTTTTATTTGATTATTCGTGTTAATGAATAATCTTTTTCTTAATGATTATTTTTTCCTGAAATTTGATATTATTAGTCATCCAATTTAATTGATCTCCTCCGATTTTTTGACAAATTTCCTGTTCACAATTTTTGCCTGATGATAGAGCTAAACGATGGGGTTTTGAAAAACTACCGAAATGTCCACCCCAGTGCTCAAACCAAATATTTATGTACATTTGTGTGTACTTCGGGCGACGCTGACTTCTTAATTTAGAACGCGATGCGTCCGCATAGCAAACAGAGCAGCAACAACCTCCGGCTTTGCTTTTTTTTTTTTTAATTTTTTTGTTGTCTCGGCTCCCCGCTCCCTGGTTTGTGTAAACAAAACCAAAGACGTTGCCCCGCCCACCGCCTACGCGGTATATATCGCCAGCTTCACCTTGACAAAGTACGATTAAAAATCAACTATGACGGGGTCGAGAGTCGCCGTCATAACAAAAGTGTTCGTATCGCAAAAATACTATAACAAACTACATACATCCCAGATGGCGGGAGTGAGTAAATTTTATGAAATTCCTAAAGGTGAGTAGGGTACTCATAAATGTGTGTTTACTAGTTCCGCACATAATGTGCCGATCGCCCACTGACACCACCCCACCCACCACAAACCGCCACCCACTGCCCACGCAGACTCGGCATGGGGTCGATCGTATGTTTTATTCCGATTTTTTTTCCTTTTGGGCCTAAATTGCCGCTGCTTAGAGTCTGCGATTTTTTTATGAATGAAAATGTACAAATTTGGTTTTGGGCAGTAGATGCTAAAAAAAAAAAACACTAATGTTTGTTACACAGAACCAAAATATTAGAGAATTATGAAGGATATTATATAGAAATTAAAAAAAAAAAGGTATCTTAAATATGACTTCCAAAAATCTATAAAAGACTATCAAAAACAAGTATTCCAATCAAAGATAACAAACTAATAAAAGACGTATTTATGATTGATCTAATTATGATCAAACCTCATTAACCTTTTTATGGAAATAAACAAAATATAAATTTTCCTATCGAACCCATATTGTTTGTTATTTTTTCAGTGCATCCGTTGACTGATTTATTTTTTTTAGCTTTTTGGCCCGGCCGGGTAGCCACAATGTCTGCTGTGGCCAATCAACTGTCGTTCTCAGTGTGTGTGTGCTTGTGTGTGTTGCATGTCCCCAGGCCCGTTTAACCAAATGCAATTTTAATGACGTTACCAGCTACTACCCAAAAAAAAAAATCAAATAAAAATTCAGAAAACCAAATCAATGCCTTTGGCTTTTGTTTTTGTTTGCCGACTACTAAGTGGGCAGTTCGTGGGCAGCATTTTGGGAAATTTGGGCATTTCGGTATTGTCTACGGATTCGGGCTAACTTAATTTATTAGTCAGACGCTAGTCTCTGTGATCTGTCTTTTGTAATCCGTCTACGCATTAAATTCGTTCTGCGACATCCACATGGACCACATGGGTATTAGCGGAAGTGTTGGAAATAATTCATGAATGCGAAACAATTCACGCATGCTCTCAATAATAAAGTCGCACGCAGATGCATCTACACATCGCGATGGCATCGCCAAAGGCACCGACGAGTTGCCTCCTCCGGGCACTCCCCATCATCCCTAGCATCTCATCTCTCTGTATCCGATCATCAGTGCATCCCCATCCATTCCCCCCACTGCTCAGACGAGGAACCTTATTTTCCGCATATGAATTAAATTCTTTTTAAACACTTTGGAATACAGTTTGGGCAAAAAATATAGGATTAGAGAATGTTATTCCTTTTTTATTTTAATAAAAACTATATTTTTTTAAAAAGAGAACACTTGAAAGAAATGAATATTTTTATTAGGATTTAAATTGCTTTTCAAATATGAAAAGATTAAAATTTCCTATCAAAGAAAACCTTCTTTTAAAGGAAATTACTTGTCATTCTTAAAAAAGGATCTAAGTTGCTTTCAAGAGTAAATAAAATTTTGAAACGGTTTTTAAAAACATGTTTTTATAAAAAACATTTATATTGAACATTCATGTAAACTCATACTTTAAAAAAACCGGAAAAAGGCTCAACATTTTAGAATCAAAATTTGAAAGAACATTTTGAAAATATATTTTCTTCAAATCACTCTATAAAACAGATAACTTTAGAAAATTCACATCTTTTGTCGTTCAAAACGGATAAAAATTAACATTTTGTAAAAAATCTTTAAGTTTCTGAAAACCATTTGAAAAATGCTATAACTTTGAATGCATCTGTAAGATGGCATATGTAAACTCAGACTGTTTTCATGAATGAAACATTTTTTTATTCCATTTATCACTTGGCACCACCTCTCCTTCAGCTGCACTTCGATTAGTCGAGGAGGAGAACTTGGCCATAAAATCTGACGCACTTTGCATATAAACACGGATAACAGGCACATTTGTTTAGTTTAAATGGCATTAATTTTTTTTTTAATGAATTTTGTGCCACCGTTTAGAATAACTTGGCACAACGTTTACCTGGGTCACAGCACGGCTACTTGTCTCATTCGAGGCTTTTGGCCATTAACCGAAAAATTGTTTCAAAAGCAGTTTCGCGCATACATATTGGAGCAATTTTATTTTTACATTGGAGAACCAGACGCACAGAAGCATAAACCAGCGACGACAACAACACGTACATTTATATTTCCCATCCGTCGGATGTCGCCCTCGCCAAGCCAACTCCACTGCTCCAATACGATCACCGCCGCGAAAAACAACCTATCCGGTACGTTACGTTCCGATCCGATCCGATCCGACCCGTTACGATCTGTTATTCCGTATACCGATCCGATCCAGTCGACGTCTTCTCGAGAAGTGAGCGCCAAACGCTCCGGCGGCGAACTGAAAAACGTCGCCGCTTGCCGTTGACTTTTTCCACACATATGTTGGCCGTGCACAGTGGTCTGGAACCGGGTGAAAAGTATACGGATTTTGGGTGCGAAAAACCCCGTTTAAAAGGCACAAACGTTTGCAGTAATTCTGCGAATTCCGAAAAGGTCAAGAGAATCTACGTACACCTGGAAAAAATTGTTCACTTATAAGATAAAATCTTTCTCAAGATATTTTGAAGAAGTTGAAGTATCTAGACTTTACATTAAAGATAAAAATAGGAAAAATATCGGAACCTTATGAATAATAGGCTATAGTTGTAGATTCAGTTACATTAAATTGTAATTATTATAACCCTAACCCATGGGTTATGATATCCCTATAATATTATCTATTTTTCTTGAGATATCCCAAACAAATGAAGTTAGTAATCATACACCTTGTTTTATTTTAGATATATTTTTTTTTAATTTTTATTGTTTTTCAAACTGTATTTCTATATTTGCCGACTACTCCGATTACAGACCGCGGCAGTGGGCAGTAAAATCAATTGTTACACGCCGTCGACGCTGAAATGAGCCAAACTTTCCCAAAGAAGCGTTTTACAATCGGCAATTAAATTTAATATTTTTTAACGATCGAAAAGAAAATACTTGTACACACGTTTAGTGGCATGTGTGCTTTTGCACAGACGCACAAAGGAATTTGGATTTAAATTGGCTAAAAGTAGGTGCTATTTACATTGGCTGGGAGGCAGGGAGGGATTAATGGTAGCAGTGCCAGGCGGCAACTCGCTGGCCAGGCGGGGATTCCCTGATGAGACGCATCTGCTCGGAGCCCGTGTCGCCCGCCTGGTCGCCGCCGATTAGAACCGTGCCCAGGACCAGCTTTTTGCCCATCTTCTTGGTGGCCAACGTAATTCGGACAGTGATATCCTCGAGCTGATCGAGTCTCTGGAGCGGAATGTCGATGGTGCCCTCGCCGGATCCATCGTCCCACTTGGTGGAGAGTGAGGGAAAGAAAACGGACGACTTCCAGGCATCTATGTAGATGCCATGCTCGAAGGCTGTGGTTTTCACATAGACCCCCGAGCTGGCTGTGGCCTCCAGTTCGTCCTTGACCTTGTTGGAACACCGCATCCGTGTGGTAGTCACCCGGAGGAGGTATCGCCCTGAATCGGAGTTACCAGCATTGCTAAGGCCCATCTTTCGCTTTACTTCCGCAGTCATACGTTGCCAGTTGTTGGTGGAAGCTGTTGGTTGAAAGGGATTTGGAGCTGGAGATGGAGGAGGTGTTGCAGGTGACATCGTGGCATCAACAGGTGCCTCACACTCCTGGAGATCGCGCACTTCAAGGGCCAGCTCTACCACGCCCTTGGCGGAATTAACAAGCTAAAAGTTAAACGAAATAATGATTTTGGTTTATAAAGATTTTTTGAAAATTATTTCCCAAGTTCTTTATGGCAATATCTATAAATTTTACCTTAATCTCCTAATGATATATACATTTTATCGACAAGGGCTCGATATGTTGCTCATTTTGGCTCAAATACCCACAATTTCCTAAGTAATGTCAACAAATTGGAATCGCATCGACTTGATAAGATAACTAATGAATTGACCCATTCTGAAAATTAGCTCAAACACATTAATTGTACAAATACTCGTACCGTGAGTCCCTTTTATTGACAAACCCCAGAAGGTAAATGCTTGCCCAGTTGACACTACTTCAACAGTTAGTTTTTAAAATGTATCAGCATTGCAATTAAAAAATTTTGCTTTCATTTAAATTTTCTGGTTAATTTTTGTTGTTGTTTTGAAAACCGCCCCAATGGCAGGAAGCTTTCACTTTGCACAATTAAAGCAAACATCTCCATTACATTTGAAAACACTCGGAGCTGGGAGCTCGGAGCTCGGAACTCGGAGGTAAAGAGCCCAGCGCCATGTCGCAGTGTTTTGTAACACCGGGTTCGGGTGAACTTGTTTAGCAATCCAAGTACATACTGTGGGTCAGGTGCAAATGTTTTTCCTACTCACATTGTTATTGCTGGGCGACGACTTGGCCACCGTTGTGGTGATATCTTTGATAGGCAGCCACAGCTCTTCCGTTGCATAGCTCCCCGTTCGACTGTTGCGCTGGAAGAGCTTCGGCTCCAGATAGCAGGTGACGGAACCTATCAAGGGAAAGGGTTACAAAATTATATATAAAAGATACAACCAACACCGATAGATATTACCTATATTTCTTCGCGATTCACTTATCGTTAATGGCGGCATGGCATCCCTCGCACTCTCGGTCTTTTTCTTGGGCTTATCCTGGCCATTTTGCTTGCCGGCTCCGTTTTCCGTTTTGGCCTCGTTGGGAGCCCCCGAAGTGGGGTCCACAAAACGCTGGACAAAACTGGTACTCTTGTCCTTCAGCGAGCGGTATGTCTTGTTAAAACGATTGAAGTTCTGGTAAAGAAGCAATTTACCAAAGGTTAAGATCATTCTTTTACCCAACTTACTGAGGCCGGAAGTTCCAAGAGAGCATAGACCGTAAAGACCACAAACTGTCCGGTGAACAGGTTTTCCGGCTCCGGTTCGGAACTAGTCATTTGTGAACCATTTGTGCCACCCCGCCGAGCCACATGCTTCATCGAGGATCTATTAAAATAGAATTTTATAAACACTGGACTACAGGGTATTAAGTGGAACATACTTGATATCTGGTACCAGCGGGAACTTGAAGTTTTCATTGAACTTTGGCCACGTGTTGGTCTGAATACTGCTGTCCAGGCGTTTCGTTCCGGGAAATAGCTTTACCTGATAGGTGGTGGGGGGAGAGATCACAGGCATAATGAAATAATAAATAAATTTTAATATGTTTTCAAGGTGCTTAAGAAAATTACAAAAACTATAAATAAAACTCAGAAAGGTGCGAAAATATATGACTTAAGAAATATTAATAGTTTATTAGAAATTTCGCATCTAAGAAGATCTCTAAGATATGTTTATTTAAAAGATCAATTAAAAATCTTTAAGAAATCTTTAGAGAAAACCCAAAACTCTTATGTATATTAAAGATTATTTATATTATTTTATTCAGCTCTCTTAGTTAGTTATTCTTGATTGATGAGTAGATCTCTCTCTCTAATTAGATTATAAATTTTATTCTAGACAAGGCAGAGCAAAAAATCCCAATTAGTCAGACGCACATGTTTATAAAAGACTATTTATTAGTATTCTTTTAATAATATTTCATAAGAAACGAAAACTAAAAGCCATATTTTAACGACAAAAAATCCCAGGAACGAACTTGCTTTATTTTGCTTGAGATATTTTCGTATCATGACTAATTAGCACTAAATTACCTTTATCAAATAGCCCTGAACGATCTTGAAGCCGAAGAGGGACGGCAGATGCCGGGCGGCAATGAGATGTACATTGAGTTCGGGCACTCCCGAGGCATTTTTGCCCCCAATCAAGTCCGGCTCTGAGTTCTTGGGGGTGTCGATGGTGATCTGGAAACCGATCTCCGGCTCCAGAGCCACGGAATGGCGGGAGGCGCCATTTCCCGACGACTGTTGACCGGGCAATAGGGCCCTCAGCTTGTTCATTGTTCGATCTGTCCGGTTACAGCTCCACTCCGGAATGCAACGCACCTACTTTCCCATTCGAAGAAGCGATAAATTGTGTAAATGACTTAACACCCGCCGCCGACTTTTCTTATCTGTGACTCTGGCTGATAAAACTTGCCCCACACCGGCGCTCGGCCGCCCGCTCTCCCACCTGGAAAGTGAGCTCCACCACAGTGAGCCCCAAAGCTTCCACACAGCTGTTCACTGGAAGGTGTGCACTGGAAAGCTCTCTCACGGGGCGGCAAACCGCTAGCAAACTAGAGAGCGGCAAACTTGTAAATGTATCTTTGGCTTACAAAATCTTAAGATCATTTGCTAAACAGATTAAGATACACTTCACAACTTTACAGCACTTTGCATTTCAAAATCCGAAAACTTTAATTAGAACTTTTGCTGAGTTCGGAGCAATGTCATGCTTATGTTCTCGTATTTCGCAACTTGCACTGTTCGGTTGGATGTCAAAAAGTGTTTGGGGTCAGCACACAAAGCGGAGCACTTAGCGCGACAATTAACGACTTAAATCGAGAACGAGAATGAGTCTGAAGAATCCGACAGGCGGCCGTCGTTCGCGATCTGGACGCACAACGCGTTCTCCAGCTGTCCCGGCACTCAACTGAAAAGCTAACTTGGAAATTACTTCGTATGCGGCCATAATAATAAGCGTACAATCATAATGCCGACACACAATCGCGCCGCACACACCCACAGCTACAACCAAGATAATAGTATTGACAAAAAAACACATATAAGTTGTAGTTGAAAGAAATCTATTACTTATTCAATTCCTATATCACTGGGTAGACAAAGATCTCTTAAGAAATGAATTAAAATATATAATCTAAAAGTTGTTTCATTGTAAAAATCAAATATATGTATATTATTTCTTTGAAAGTCCTATTGTTTTGCCGCCAACTGTTGTCAAGAGTGTCAATAAAAAACAAACACACTTCAAGCCCAAGAACCTTTGTTCTCTTCTGGCTGTAGACTGTAGAATGCACTGAGATTCTCTTGACGCTGTTGTGTCACCGTTACAAAGAAAAGTATCTACAAGTATGATGGAACTAACTGTGATCGGTGTCGTGGCTCTGCTTCTTGCCTAAAGCTCACCGTGAAATTAACAATTTAGCGGCAACACTGTAATTGGGTCTTCTTGGGGGGGATATCCGCTTCCGAACGCCACCTCTCCATGCCAAAGCACAACCACCACCCACTGGGGCACATGGTTCACACATGTAGTTTGGTGCATGCAAATGCATCTGAAGAGGAATAAGGTCTATGAAGAGAAATATATAATACAAGAGATTAAAAAAAAACAAAAAAGTTATAGATTTAAATGAAAAAAGTGCAATCTTCATACATTTTGAAGAAAATAATACCATTGTTACAAACTTTAATATTTAAAGATTATTTTTATGGATATATTTTTTTATAATATAACTTGAAATCTTAATATTATGTATTAAGATTAGAAAAATAAATGGCCAAACAAACATGTTTACCTCTTTTTAAGATTTTCAAAAATGTCGTCCTCGCCGAAAAGTATGCTATATAAAATTTAATAAAATTTCAAACAAAAACTCCCATCCCCCATAAGTGTGATAAACCCATTACAATTACCCATTAACCCTCCAAGTAAACCCATTAAATTAAATAAAAATTCATAATTTAAGCTCTCAAAAGTAAGTATATACATATATTTAAATAGACATTCATTTAACATAACGTAACGCATGGATGGAATATACAACTGGGAAACTCAACATCAGATCCATATAGTGGTGCTTCGGTAAACTGAGATTGTGCGGGAAAATGGCGGAGAAACCATCATCCCGGACGAGTATCCACCTTGGTAGTTATATAATTTAGTGTTGATGCTTTTTAAATAGGTACGAAGTGTGCATGCCCGCGCGTCGTATCGCCTGTCTCAATGGTATCCTGATCTATCCTAGCTTAGCCTACGGGAACGTGATGGGTTAAATGGGGGAGCCTAGTCCACCTCCAGCTTCCTAAAGCTGCCAACGACTCCGGCATCGATATCGCCGATATCGTTTCCAGCAAAGTTGGCCGCATCCTTGGTGATCTCGATGCGCATGTCGTCCAGGGCGAGGATGGCCGCCCGCCGCTTGAGGAGCTTCTGCTTGAACTCGGCGATCATGTCGGCGATGGGCACAGTACCACCGTACTCCTTGGGCAGAATAGCAGGATCGATCTTTGTCTTAAGGATATCCACATTTTTATGGACCTACAAGAATTTATTGATAAGTAACTCTTCCAAGAAGAAACTGCCAATTGACTTACAATGATGCGCTTCTTCAGCTTGTCGCTGAGCATGGAGACTCCCAGTTCAATGATCCGGTTGGCGTAGTGCGGGATGTTGACAAAGTGGGTCTCCTTGTGGCGCATTGGGGTGGAGTTCTGGATGCACTTGACAATGCTGCGCAGGTCGGTCAGGGACCACAAGCTAACAAAGCCCATGTTCATGCCGCTCTCGTCGTTGATGTAAACATATCCGGCCACTTGGGAGTCCTCATCGTCCAGAAGAGCCTCGCAGATCAGACTATGCACACGGGCCATTTGCACCGAAGTAAACTATAAGAAGTAATGTTTAGTAAAAAATAACAAATTAAATCGAAGAAATAACTAACCTTGTAGGGATCGAACTTCGCGGCCACTGAGAAGAGAACCTGACGTCCCGTAGAATCACGCTGTGGCAACGGGAACAGATAACCATTTTCAAAGATCTCATTGATGGCCGGATCGTTGATGTCCAGCTGCTGGAACCACTGGGGGAATAGCTGGCGGATTGTGAGGTATCTTTCCAGCATTTCGCAGGCAGCCGGTACGGAGAACTTCTTGGTGCGAAGGAAACGCAGCAGGAAGACGGCATCGGTGCGGCACTTCCGGATGTGCGGATGCTTCTCGATCCATTCGCGGAACTGGGCCAGAGCCTGTCGCCGGATGTTCTCGTCCTCGTGCAGCTCCTCCTTGGCCACCTGCTTCATGGCCGGACTCAGTCCACACACATACGGATAGTCGTAGTCGCCGCCGGAACTGGTGGCCGGTCCGTTAAGCTTCGGTTGTTGCAGCACCTCGGTCTCAAGCACTGCAAAACACGCAAAAAATAAAGATATTTCCAAATTAAAAACACAAGCCGAAATTATGGAAGCAGAACTTATGTAAAATTTAAAACTTCATAAATGCATAATTATTATTTTGTTGCATATTTTACGATCTGCCAAATGGATTTGGAAATTTCCACAAACCGGATATTTTTGGCAAAAACTGTCGGCTTAAAATAAGTTTATAAATGATGTTGTTTTGAGAAAAAAAGAAAAATAAGGCCATTGGAAATGATACATGAGGCCTGATGCTTTACTTTGTAAGTAAATGGTTGAGGCTATGAGTTCCTGTCATATAAATATCAAACTTATTAGTCGAACTTTTAAAAACAAATAATATAAAGTGTAGTAATACTTGGTAGATTCTGTCATAGCTTTAAAATGATAACCCAAAAAACTATGGCTATTTAATCTCTTAAAAACCCAGGTGTACTTTAGTAACTCCACCCCTAAATCTTAAATATCAATTAACTAAATTGAAAACAACATTTTTGCTCTGATTGGGATACAAAACACAGTCAGATCTGGCCACTGCCAGTGCCAGATTTCTTCACAGCTGCCAAGACACCACCAGCGATTATAATTGGCCGGTTGCCCTTGGTCAGTAACCGAGGTGGTGGCGCTTGCGCAACCCGAAATGTTAAAATTCATCGAACTCTCAAGGGTCACCGCAGTTTACTGGACCAAATCAACAAGACCTTATATGAATGTGCATACCAATTAATCCCTCTTGACTTTTGGCTGCACAATGTCAGGGGTCCGGACCGGATTACTGACTACAGATCGTAGACCGGAGACTGGAGTGCAATGGCTTGCGTGGGTCTCTGCGTCTCACAGAAGCTGCCCACAGTGGTTTTGCATATTATATGGAAATATTGAGAGATATATGTGATGACTCCACCACCGCCTTTATGTTGGCCAATCTGGGCAAAAGATGTTAGTGCCATTTCCGCGCTAAACCAGCAGCTGATTTGCTTGGAAAAAAAAAAAACGATCTTACAGAGGTCCAATGACCGTGACCCAAAATCTGCCGGCTAACTGATTTGCATATGAATCGAATGTTTGGTCGGTTTTGTCATTTCGGGGCGACCATTTAAATTTCTACTCGTAAAAACCCAGACGAAGGTCGAGAGAAAGATGAGCCAAGTAACTGCCCTGTAATTGCGGATCGGATCGGTTCGGCTGGGACTGGGACTGCTATTTTTGGTCAACAAACTGTTTATGACCAGTTGGTTCACTTTCGTGGCCTTCACACAGTTTTTTCAACGCAATCGATCCATCTACTATCCACTATATATACACTATATACAATACCCCCCCAACCATACATACATGATGTAAAAATTGAACGTGTGCTATATAATGGGCAGCCCTCCCTGGTCCCTGCTTTGAATATGTCCAATTTAATATCGGAATACCGAAAGCTGGGCTTTGGTAACTCGTTCATTTATGGGCCCTGCCATTAAGCCGATGAAGATGGCTGTCCACAGAAACATGCGATTTGTAATTTCGTTATCGTGTCTTTTGCGTTCGCTTTCCGCTCTGCCAATTAGCCCGTCTGGTTACATCACATCTGCCACAAAAGCTGCCAAACTGAAAAAGTGTAGTAGTAGTACGTCTTACAGGCCCCCGGGGGCGGCCAATAAAGTCGCCGCCAAGATTTTGGTAAGAGTAAGAGTGAAGAGTGCAGGCTCGAGAAATGCTCAAAACGGGTTTTTTTTTCGCCGTTGCCCCCCAACCCACTACTTGGCCCAATCCACTCCCAATGCACAGGAGAAAATCTATATTTTGAACTTGAATTTCTTAACTTTTTGTATTAATGAAAGCCAAAAAATAATTCAAAATCTAATAAAATTTTCTAAACTGAACTATTTTTTTTTTTTTATACTTCATGGAAACTGTAATAACCATTAAATTTCGTTCAGTGCACTTGCCCAATCCCACCCCATGACCGTGCACATTGGCAGTATTCGCTTCTGCTCAATTTTGAATTTCGAATAGACGAACTTACGGGTTTACGATCCGTAAGATTTGCATCTGCCTTTCCGGATTATCATGCAGATTGCATTTTGCCACAATTACGGCAAAGTTCGCTAATGTTCCCCGGATGAGTCGCACTTTATATTCATGTGTCAGAATCTAATGGCGTTGTAATCAGCGTTCAGTGAAATTCATTAACTAATCCCGACACGTTCGTTAGCCAAGGCTCTTTGACGTTGGTCAAGGCGGATCGGGCCAAAAAAATAAACAACCCATTAGTTGCAGCACCTAGCTTTGAAGCTTTGGAGGGGAATTTTTATGCCGCCCTGGCCCAGAATACAACAGTCGAGGTCGTCGTTATTATTATTATTGGTCAAAGGAAATCGTCACGTCAATAGCTATGGATGGGCTACGGTGGCGTCCCTGGCAATTGCACAATTGCTTGCCACTTGCCATGAATATTTATATGCGAACCACGCCACACAAATTGCATTATACGAGTACGGTTTTCCAACCACTTTTCGGCTTTTATGGCGAAGTTGGCCAACATCGGGGCGAGAAGACCTTGCAGGCCTCTGTGGCTCCAAGCACCATGGCAATTAAGCCAGCTAAAGCAAACAGAATTACAAAACTCTCAACACTCTCGGCCGTTAAATAATTGACTGGGGCGCAACCCTCGCAGTGGGTCAATAATGCTTGATTATTAGCCAAGTTAAGTCGGTAGTGATTTTTAATTGTGGAAACTCAAAGCATATGAAAAACTAGCTAAAAATGTTTTCTAGTCTTTTGTTTCCTTAACTATTCTAATTACTATTAAAACTTTCAAAGGGCCTTTTTCCTTCAAAGGGAAACCCAACTATTTTTTACGTTTCTCAATTTCTATTATTACGTCTTCTTTTTTATTTCATCTTCAATTTTATCCGTCAACCCGATCTATAAGTATTTCCCCGTTTAATCAAAGCCGAAGCCAACTAATCGCAGACAACAGTCTGCAAGTGTCGCTGCGCATGCGCAACTGCTGCAAAGAGCTGTACTGGTGAAAGCGAAAGTTTTTCTCGGCCACAAGCTTTTCTCGACCATTTACATAATGCAACCAATTTCATCCTTCTTTTTTTGTATATATTTTTTTCTTATATCAGGATTCGTATCATATCAGGTTATGATGTATTTTCGTTGGAATTCTCAGCTCAACTCACTTTTGGTTTTTGATTTTGGGCACTGGCACTGGGGGATTTCACAAGCTGATAATCTTATATAACAATATTTGTACGCTGCCTGATCCACGGGCTCTAATTGTTGGCCGGAATATCCGTGTGAGTTCCGCTGGCGACTGGCGACGACGATGTGAACGTGGGTACGCTTTGAGCGAAACTGACGATTTCGGGTAGACTGAAAATTTATTTAAACCTCGCTTTCGGATCATCGGGTTTCCACTCCGCCACACTCAGCCAACTGAGTATACCATATGCAGGTATGAGTATGAGTATTTGAGCTTGAGTGAGAGCAGCCGAGTGGAGCAACAGAGACTTGGAGATAGCCGGATAACATGGAAAGTGGTTTGCCAATCTTTTTGGCCTTTGTAATATTTTATTCTTGGCCTGGGTCAAGGTGGCGCATGCCAGAGATCTTCCCCCTAATTGCCGGCTCGTGCGACATGAAACCGTGGCAGGGATCGCTGTCGTGCTTCCTAGACGCGGCCAGGTCAGGGGCCAAACGATGCGTTTTAATCTGTATTATTTTTTAGCATCTGAAAGCGTTTTCGCTATGACGTCATCTGGACAAACTGAGTTGGCTTTTACAAAGGTCACTGGCTGCGATTACTCCAAATGGGCCGAGCAATCCAAAAATAATTAGACATCCGGGCGTAATCGGGAGTATCACTAATAGCCCTAATATTTTCATGCTTCATTTCTGAAGTTGGCGAGACTAATAACTTCCGGTAGATATATTTGGCCGAAATATAAGAATTCCAGATCCAGAGATAGCACAAAATAAGTCAATAACTATGTACTAGAAAGTATTATTGTTAAAATGTGCTAGCTAGTATTTATTATATGCTTTTCTATTGAATTTTTTTAAGTCGCTAGATCTTGACACATTATTAATGGCTAGAAACTGACGTTGTAAACGCCCTTGTCGTTGTTCGTCTTAACTCGTTAAAGTATTTTAGCACATAGAACTATAATTTTTATTTTTACAATTTTTAAACATCACTAAAAAGATGTTTGAGAACTTTATTGCCAAAAATACTTTACATTTTTATTCCTTCTGTTTATGAGAATTCTACGGACCTATGCCAACATTTTCACCTTCTCGGAATACGATGTCAAACGTGCTGACACAAAGATTCAATGCTCCCGTACATCTTTTTTTTTTAGAAACTAACCTTTCTTTAGAGGTGAATAGAAGCCAATGACCCGGATAAGAATTAAATGTACAAACATTAAGCTTTTTAAATGTTGTCACACTCTTGTCGTATAACAAATTCATTTATTATTTTTGTATCTACATTACTACATAAATTTTACCAGGACAGTTTTCATCTGGCTTAAAATTCAATGGCAAAGGGATAGTACTTGTGGTTCAGGCCCTTGATCAAATTTAATGGAACAACACGTTCACCAGTGTGGTATCCATCAAGCACGGCGCTCTCCTCGGCAGTCAGCTCAAAATCAAAGATATTGAAGTTTTCGGAAATTCGGTTGGTATTCGATGACTTGGGAATTGGAATGACTCCAAGACCCACCTATAAGATAGTAGACATAACAAATTAATATACTGTAGTAGATATAAGATTCATTTTAATTACCAAATAGCGCAGCACTACTTGGGGTGTAGTCTTTCCGTATTTTTTGGCTATGGCCGTCACCTCTGGGGAATAAATAAAGTCGGGCTTTTGAACATCTGGCTTTGGTTTACCCAACGGAGTGTAGCCCGTCAGAGTCACGTCGTTCTTCTTGCAAAAGGCCGTCAAAGCCTTCTGGTTGAGAGCCGGCGAGCACTCCACTTGGTTAGTGACAGGTTTGATTTCACAGTTGGACAAAACCCGAGCCAGTTGCTCGCTATTAAAGTTCGACACCCCAATACTGCGGACCAGCCCCAGTTTCACTAACTTCTCCATGGCCTTGTAGGTGTCCAAATAGTCGACATCACTAAGTTGCAGCACATCATTCTCGTCCTTTGGCATAAGGGTGGTATCGTCAACATATTTGTAGCCCACTGGCATGTGCATCAGATATAAATCGATGTACTCCAGACCAAAGTTACTCAACTGCTTGCGGCAAATTCCCTCAACGAGTGCTGGATCGTGGAATATATTCCAAAGCTGAAAGTAAAATCTAGTCATTTCTTTCCTTGGGATATATCCTCTTTTAGTTACCTTGGTAACGAGGAAAATATCCTCCCGCTTGACAACTCCTTCGGCTATTTTATCGCGGATTGCCTTTCCAACTTCAGCCTCGTTCTGGTAGAAATAGGCCGTGTCAATGTGACGATAGCCAACATCAATGGCATGTTTTATAGCAGCTTCTCCTTCATTGTCCTTGGACTGAAAGTAAAAAGTACCTTATACACACTTTCTTTTTCAGATAGAAGCGATGTGTTTTTTTATTGGACAAATATGGAAGTCAATAGTCCGGAAACTACGCGCTCCTGAAGTACGTTTTAGCGAAACAACAATGAGATTGGCTGAGTGGCGGGAACGGACTAACCGAAACGACATCCAGATGTATTTGCACGAGCAACAACGGCTTCAAAGGGATAGATATAAAAGGCTTCTGATGGCCCGAAAACGGGGACAAAGACTTTTGTAAAATCTTTAAACAACTTGATATGTATATTTTAATAACTATAACTAGGATTATTATAAAATAATTCTAATAAGGATAATGCGGATGATTCTTGGCTTTCTCAAACTTCCAGAGTCGTTCCCCACGATTAAAAGTCAACAGTTGTTGTAGCTCTTCGGGACTTAGGAGGAAATCGAAGACATCGAGGTTCTCATTTAGATGTTCCTCTTGGGAGGCCTTTGGGATAGGCACTGTGCCAATATCGATCTGCAAATCGCACATATTTTTTACCAGATAAAGAATTTTGTTGTTTGTTTTGTACCAAATATCTGAGTATCACTTGAGCTGGAGTTTTCCCATATTTGGCCGCCAATGCCACGACACTGGGATCCTTGAGGTATTCGGGTGTGGGACGGCCGGGAGTCGGGCGACCCAGTGGCGAATATGCCACAACGGTTATGTCGTGCCTTTTGCAGAGCTCAATCAGGGGCACTTGCACCAAACCAGGATGGCATTCAATTTGAAGAGCCACAGGTTTTATCTGACAACTTTTTAGCAATCTCTCCAACTGGGCAGCGTTAAAATTAGACAATCCCAGGCTGCGTACTTGGCCCAGTTCCACAAGATGTTCCATGGCCCTGTAGGTGTCCACATAATCTACATCGCTACGGCCATTCTAACAGATTAGTTTCTGGGTGGAAGGAATTTCGGGGTCCAACACTCACTTTGTCCATAGCTCTCCTTCTACATGTGGCATTAGATCCTCATCCGAGATATAGTATACTCCCACAGGTGAATGCATTAGATAGAGATCTATATAGTCCACTCCTAGAGCTTTCCGTTGCAAGTTGCAGGCATACTGTACTTTCTCCGGATTGTGATATATGTCCCACAGCTAAGTATTGATTTCTTATATGTACGTTCTTGTATAAACATTCCATTGAGTTCCTCCTGACTCACCTTTGTGACCAGGAACACCTGCTCCCGTTTCAATTTCTGCTGGCAAACAAACTCACCCAGTACTTTTCCTATCAAACCCTCATTCCGGTACAAATATGCTGTGTCTATATGTCTATATCCCGATTCTAGGGCGTGCCGCACTGCAGCCTCACATCGAGATTTTTTCAACTGTGATAACATTTATATATGTAATCAGAATTTCACAATATTCAGAAAAGTATGTGAAAAGTTCTAGCAACATATCGTAGATATGATTTTTCGACATAATGATAATAATTCTTCTATGTGTATTTGTTGCTTACATTGTAAGTTCCCAGGCCCAGTATTGGCATCTCATAACCATTGTTCAGCTTGACAGTCGGAGCGAGCTTCATCTTGAAAGGAAATTAATAGATTAATTCAAAAGAATAAAAATTGGCAAGCCGCTTATAAAGATAGTGTGACAGCACACGGTACCGCGCCAAAACCCAAAGCTTTTCACAACAGGTGTTTCCGATAACAGTACCGATTGTAATTATAAAAATAAATATAAATCATAACAGTTTAACTTTTATGTATTTTAATTTTATATTTACCATTGAACCTTTGGAATAAAAAGATAATACAAATTATTAATAAGTGTAAAGCAGAGTGTAAAAAAATGTATGTATTTTACATGTAAAAAATGCAAAATACATTGATAAGGATTTTGGCATTTTACAGCACTGTTTTAGTAATTGTACCAAAAACAGGTGTTACAACAAAAAATTTTCCTCTCTAAGCTAAACAAAAGTTTATTATTAAATATGGAAGTAACTTATTGTAAAAACAAGTATAGTTAATATGGATTGATTAACTGTCCACCACGTAAAACGTTGGATCTCACCCAAAAACGAATTGATATAATTCCAAAGATAAGTCGAGTGAAAAAAGGCATGTAAACAAATCAATTTTAGAAGTGAAGATGATTAACATTCATCCTCTAGGCAATAATGAGTCACATAGGCCTAAACGATGCACAACAGTCTCAGGATGCCACTCCAGACTTGGAATCTTTTACGGGTTTCGGTAACTCCGCCGCCGAGGCTTTCATACAGAGTCTAGCTGGAATGGTGAATCAGGGTGATGTGGAAAACATGATAAGGGCACAAAAGCAAATGCAAGTCAAAATAAATATTTTAATTTGAAACTGAATTAATTTTTAAATTTCTTATAGGCTTCAGCGTTTTGAGAAAACCAATGAAATGCTGCTTAACTGCAACGCCCTCTCCCAGAGTCGACTGAAAAACGCTACCGAGGATTTCAAGCGACATGTTAAGTGTCTTAATGAGATGAAAAAGGATCTAGACTACATATTCCGCAAGATTCGAGTCATCAAGCAGAAGTTGCAGCAGCAATATCCCACTATTTACGCTGAAGTTCAACCACAAAGAAGCAGCTTGGCCGAGGAGGCGGAAGAAGAGGCTTGCGCTCGGAAACCAGCCGAGAATCCAAAACCCACTGCTGCTTCAGGGACAAAGAAGAATGCAGCCACTATTGAATACGTGCAAATGGAGGAGGCTGTGGATAATGGAACTGTGGAGATCGAAAATGAACTCATAAAGCGAGTGTGCTCCGTGGAAACGGCCAATCCCAATGACTCCTCCGACTGTACATCCGAGGATACAGGTTAATCAATACATACGTCTTTAAATAGTTTTACTTTTAGCATAAACAATAAATTATTGGCTTAAAATATAATCTGGTACTTGTACTGCTTTGGTACTTTCGAGATAAGGACGCGTCCGTCGTAGCTGAGCGATGCGAAAATCCACGGATCCACATTACTCCACTCTGCACAGTAAACAGAGTCCTCGTGCTGGTCGAAAGTTTGTAGGAGACCATCGGGCAACAATTTGTGGCGCTCCTCTGCCTCAGTACCACTAAAATTCGTGTCGTCAAGCCCGGTTTGCGCCTGAGTCTCAGAGCTGACAGATCCGGCACAAGTGAGAAGCACCTTGCAATCGCTGGAGCTGGAAAGCAAGAGCTGGTCGTGGAATGTATTAAATCGCACTGACCAAACCCAGTGCGAGTGGTCGCTGCGCTCAAACACCGGCGACTTGGGCATCCTGCAGTCCCAAATCCGCAAGTAGCCGTCATCGCCACCGGTGACTAGGTGACACTGTTTGTTGGGATTGCAGTCCAGATCGCGAACCATCTGTCCGTGAGCGTCGCTGATGCTCCAGGCGCAGTGCTGGGTGTCTCGCACGTCGTAAGCACTTAAGTTACCTTCGTGCAGGGCCAGGAACTGATGACCCTGATGGTGGTGCGACCACTTGCCGTTGGTAAAGTTCAGCGAGTGCTTGCTTGCCGAACCACTTGTTGGAACTTCGGCCACCACTCGAGTGGAGGATTCGGCTCGCTGCATCACAGCCAGCTTGTTGTCCACCACACAGGCAAGAGTTTGATCCTGGCTTGGATGAAACTCAACCGTTTTAACCCTCTCTCCAAGAGATTCCGTATTCAGTTGTTCCACGTTCTCCCATGGCAGATACTCCGATTTGAGCTGCTCGGCATCCGTGGGATTAAGATTCTCTGGAAGCGTTAGCAGTGCTGCTTGAGTCAACACCTGAGCTCCTTTTTGTACATTGTAAACGGATGTCAGCAAACGAGAATTGTGGGGACAGCTGTTCAGTTTCCAAACTTCTCCAAGGGCATGCTCGAAAACCTAAAAGATAATCCTTTTACAATCATCTTCCTTAGTTTTTATTATTACCTTAGATTGCACTGTTCCCTGCTCCTCTTCGAACTGAATTAGGTGCACCTGATTCGTTGGCTTCAAGGAGTTTGTTGCTATGAAGAAGCATACGTCATTACTCTCACCGTATTGGGGAGTTAGAGCACGGGCTTGCAGCTCTAGCCCATATATAAGGCTGTTTTCATCCATTTTTGTAAGATTACTTTATTGTTTTGATGGAAATAAATACATAGGTACGTGTTAAGAAAAGTACAAATACGAATGGTACCTAACAGTGTTGAAAAACATCAAACAAAACATAATAATTTAAATAAAATATGAGTATTATTAATGCATTTTTATTATGAATCTTGTATAATGAACATAATGTATTATTTATTTTATAAATAATGAATATACTTATATATATGACAACAATTCTTACAATGAATTAAATCGAAATGCACTTGATTTGATGAGGATTTATAAAATACGCCATCATTTTTACCTTTTTTTTATGAAGTTGTAACAAATTTACATTTTTAAACCTCATAAATCTTCGCTTCAATGTAAACTCAGTATTTTGTGATGAAATTTTTAAAATAGTAACCGTTTTAACGGTCGTTTCGTTCTGAAAAGTCAAAAATTTATCGATAGTTTCAGTTTCTGACTGGCACTGCCAAATACAACCTTGTGCACGCCCAAAGCAACATTTTTTCTCCTTCCATTTTGTTTTCGAATAAAAAAGTAAAGCGTAGCCAAGCACACACACAAAAGTGAAAAAATAGATTCGTAGGAGTAACAGACGCGATTTCCGATTTACAACTTCCGACCACAACAAAATTGCCACTCAACAGTGTATAGTGAATTTCTCAAGAGGAAAAGGCACCAAATTTGCAGAGCACCTTGCCATTGAATCAAATACGAGTCGAATTCCAGGACGCCATGGCTCAGAACATTAGCCCCGAGCAGAGCGGAACGGGGGGCGGTGGCAGCAAGCACAGTGATGACTCGCTGCCGGTGAAAGACAATCACGCCGTGAGCAAAAGGTGAGACCAAGCCCGGATGTCGCAAAGCCAGCCAGCACCAACTAACAATGTACGTTTCTCCACAGACTGCACAAAGAACTTATGAATCTGATGATGGCCAATGAGAAGGGTATCTCAGCATTCCCGGACGGCGAGAACATCTTCAAGTGGGTGGGAACCATTGCAGGGCCAAGGAATACGGTCTACGCCGGCCAGACATATCGGTTGTCGCTGGACTTTCCCAACTCCTATCCATATGCGGCACCTGTGGTCAAGTTCCTGACGTCCTGCTTCCATCCGAACGTGGATCTGCAGGGCGCCATTTGTCTGGATATCCTAAAGGACAAGTGGTCGGCGCTGTACGATGTTCGCACCATTCTGCTGTCCATCCAGTCACTGCTAGGCGAGCCAAACAACGAGAGTCCCCTGAATGCGCAGGCCGCGATGATGTGGAACGACCAAAAGGAGTACAAAAAGTATCTAGACGCCTTCTATGAGAAACACAAGGATACTTAGACGACAGAACACCTACCCATATGCATCCTATGCTCATATTGCGGCGTATTTATTTACATATAGTGCAAGCAACTCCACCCAACCGCCACAGAACTCCCCTCACTCATCATTCGCACATCTCTCCAACATAGTTTATGCTGATTTATGGCAACCGTGCATTTCTTATAGAGACGGATTATCTGGTTTTATTCTCAATTCTCCAAACAATAACAAAAATTAATTATATGATATATGAATGTATTGGTAATGTAATTTTAAAACAGTCCGTTCTTTAAGCTTAAGCATAAATTTTAGTTAATTGTTTTTATATACATGATGATTTGAAATGTGAACGGGTAGACGTCGCCGCCGCCACCCGCCTTTTGTACTGATGATTTGTAAGCGACTGTGCTGCGCCGGCCATTATGTGAATGTTAGCTAATTTTAGAGTAGCCTCACCGAATCAACCTCCACCACATTCATCGTCAATCCAATCATGCTGCATTTCCCCATCAAAAGGTTTAACAAATTCAAAGTAATTCAAATCATTGTAACAGTTGAGTTAGCTTGATGTTATTGAAACCACATAAATAAAAAAAAAAACGAATTATTGAACTACATTATCTAGCTTCTTGTGCTTTTTCAAGTGTTCTTTGAGCTCCAACCAGCTCTTGAAGATCCGACCGCACTTCCGGCACCTCAGCAGGCCATGGACTCCGTGCAGTCGCTTTTGGTGATCCAGCATGTTCTCCTTCGTGTAGAATCGTTTACTACAAAATTCACAACCATATTTCAGCTCATCCTGGCTGGAGTGAGTCCATTTGTGACGAGTGAGGTGAGCCTTTCGTCCAAAAGATTTTCCACATTTCTCACAGATGTGCTGAATGGATACTTCCTTTTTGTCGACTACCTCGTGTTGTTGTTTAAAATGATATTTGAGACTCCGGTAGGCAGTGTACACTTTATCACAGCTGGAACAGGGATAGGTTTCCTGCTCAGCAGTACTACTGTGCCTCTTTTGCAGGTGCTCTTCCAGAAGATTGGCTCTCGCATAACTCTTACCACAGTGGACGCAGGTATAGGGATTTATGCCCTCGTGCTGTTTCATGTGGGCCTCCAGCAGGGACGTCTTGTAGAAGCCCCGTTGGCACTCCTTGCACTCAAGGGTGTTTCTCGCTCGACGTTTCCTTTGTCCTGTGGAACTGCGTTGTGATAATGAAGGTATCTTTTCCTGTGTAAGGTCCTGCTTGGTATTATCATCCTCCATTATGTAGACTTCCTCCTATAGGGGGGGAAATAAGATACATTAGCAAAGGTTTCCATTAGTGGTCTTCCGGTTTAGGTCCCTTTGACTCAATCTATTATGAAATAATTTTCCAGATATTACCAGATATTTTGGAAATTATTAAAAATACCCATTTTATACCCAAATAAATTACGCGCCCGTATGCGAAGACGCGCCTCCTTTTCTAATACTATCGCAGCCAACTCTTGATATAGCCGCAAACAAAAATAGTTGTATACAAACAAAAGCATACGGGTGTTTATTTTTCGACGGCGTGTGGGAAAGTATTGTCTTTGCTGCTGCTAGGCAACAAATTTGAGCACCGGCCGTGATTAGATTATGGCGTAGGGGAATAAACCACACGAGCACCTCTCTGCCCATTAACTTACAATGTTTTTGGGGCCGAGTGTGTCCATTTGGGGCTTCTGATTAGTGGAATCATTGCTATCCGATGGCGTATCTAAATCCGGCAAGGAGACTCCAACATCCTGCTCCTCGATGCAGTGGTAGTCGATGTCCAGCAACAGTTTCTCAAAGTTGCGTGAGGATTCTTCGCACATGCGTTGAAAGTCGTGAAACTTTTGCACCAAGTGGTAGCAGCACTCGCAGATGCTTTTAAGGACCAGTTGCGGCTGCTGGAGCTCATCCTCCTCGTTCTGTTGGAGCCTCAGCATCTTTCCGGCATCGCCGCCAATACAGCCAAAATATTTTTCAGCCAAATCCTGCTCCCTGACGAGATTATATGAGACATCCTCGGGACCGAGAAGGACCAGGCATGCCCGACATATCAGGGTTCTCGTGACGTCCGTTACTTCCATCACAGCCGTTGTGGTTGAATCTGCGATGGCACTGTGCGCGCACAGCCTCAGATTTGAATTGAACATCGCTGGAAAAGGGTGCCTCCACTTTACCGGCATGGAATAAATTGAACTCAATTACCACAATTTATGGTAGTGCTGCAGTTCCGCGTCCAGCGCCGACCCACACACACGGCCGTAGTGCCCGCCGAGAGAGATATCACAACCACCACCGCCACCAGCAGTCACCGGGGCTTTCACTCAACGGGATATTGAAAGCTGATGCCGCAAAGCTTTGTGGGATTCGGAAAAGCTTCCCGAACTTGACGAATTTTTTAAAAGAATTTTTGTTTAATATGATTTTTATTAAATATACATTATAGTTTATTTTTTATAAATGAAAACATTTAAGTTCTTATTTATTTTTTAATTAGAGTCGCAGTTAGGGTTATTTTAAGGTTATTGAATGAGAGTGGTAAACGTTGTCACAAAATATTTAAAAAAATATACATATTAAAAATGAATGATTTAATCTAAATAGTAAAAACCAATGAAAAGTTAGTTAAAAAAAACGTTTAGTCCCATGTTGAAAAAGAATATTTAATTACTTTATATTTTCTTGCCAAAAATAAGTCTTATGAACATAAAATTTGTTAAATATGTACCTTATTTTATGTTACTACAGTTTTGTAGTATTTAATCTTGTTTCTTAAAGTTTAAGGTTTTTTATATGGTTTTGGTCTATACACTATCACCTGTCATAATGGATCCCAGAGTCACGGATGTGGCCACGGACGACAAGGTCTCCATGGAGACATTAAACTTTTTCTTAAACGCCTGCAGGGTATCCAGGTGATAGATCTTCTGCGAGCCATTGCACGGCCTTTGATCGATTGCAATGGCATAGAGATTTATGTCTCCACTATTCGCCAGCAGAGTGGACATGTAGTGTGGCAAGTAAACTCGTTGCAACTCGGAAGATTCTGAGGACTCCGAGGTATTGTCTCCGTTGGCCAACTCCTTGCTGAATGATCGGTGTAAGCGGATGATCTGCACGCTCTGGTAGTGGGCGACGAATAGGAACGGCTCCCGGTAAACAAAACCCGTAGGGGCATACACCCAATTAAGATCGCAGGGCCTCGAACGGCAGCCAAACTCGTCCACAAAAACGCCGCACTCTGCAAAGCAAAGCAGATACTCTTGCCGGGAAATCCGCACAACTGTGATGGGCTGACACTTGGCCGTGTTCTGCATGGACTTATCAGCTAGATCCACAAACTCCTCGGCCGCAAAGTTGTCCAAATCAATTTCGTAGAACTTATCGGAAGTAACAATAGCCGAGTGTCGGGTGAAGAATATTGAGCTAACCGGAGTGGCAGTGTCCAGTGCTCGAACAGGCTTGAACATATGCAGCTTGAGGTCGTATTTGAGGATTACAATCCGGGTGGAGGTAGCAGCTATAGCCACCGAATCCAATGCGTTCTCCGTCTCGTTGGAAATCAGCACTAGTTTCCATTTTTCCGAAGGAGTTCGATTGGCAAATGGCAGTTCGATGGCAGAGGTCTCCAGCACAGGCTTGTGGCAGGCGCTGGAACTCTGGCAGCGCGATTCCAGCTGCCGGTAGTCGCACTGGTACATCTTTTCTCCAACCGTTCCCACCATGATCGCTTTGGCCAATCGTGTCGAGATTGACATGCAGTACACCGATTCGATGCCGGTGATGTGCACCAATCTCTGAGACTCCAAATGATAAGCATACAGTCCAGTATTGCAGCCCAACAGAAGAATTTGCTGTTCGGCCACCTCAAAAGCACAGTTTACTTCGATATCCTTTTTGACGGCCTGATCCTCCGATCCGTCTGAGCTGTACACCAGAGTTCCAATGTATTCGCTAGATCCTGCTTCACTTGCGGTCTCGACCTGATCTAAATTCACACTCGAAACAGATGGAATACTACTCAGATCATCGGCTGATGGAGCAGTTGGAGTGGTTCCACAATATCCCTGGACATTGGCTCGACACTTGCGGTGAGTCACGTCCTTGCATTCTTTGCATTTCCAGAACGGTGAGCCAGCGAGGATGACCTGGCCACATACTGTGCACTCCGATGCGTCCTTCTTGGATTCCTGCAGCGCCAGCTCGAAGCGATGGTGCGATGCCTGTTCAGGAGCTTGAACCAAAGGTTTCTCCGATGTCTTCAGCTCAACCTGACTTTTGGTGCGCTTCAAGGTGGCCTTATCCTTTTGTGGGGAACGTGGCACAGCCGCTATACTAACTGGCCTCTGCTTGGGGGCATCTGAGTCTTCGTTGACCATCGTGGATTTCCGTGGTGAACGTAAGGTGGCGGTTCCTAAAACAATTCAAAACTGTTACCATCAAAAATACATAATTTCTTTGTACAACCCACCATTCAACTGTGCCACTTGCTCCTTCAGCATGCTAGATACTTTCTGTTCCCGTTTCAACTCCTCCTTTAGGGCACGATAGAGAATAGAGGACTCCACATCATTGGGTGATACGTTCTCCTTATTGGTGTGACTGGAGCCGAACAGTTTGTCCGCCAGCGTTTTCTTTTTCTTCGACGACAAATCTTCCACTTTGAGCTGAAAATAAATGAATCTATTAGTAAACAAGAAAGGTTACCAATCGTATATGGTATCCCTCTTGACTATAAAATAATTACTAGAGAAGATAAAGCCTTCGCAATAAAAGGGATCCTCCAGAAAATTTGAGAAAAAATCTAAAAAATATTTTGTTCTGAGATTTGGATGCAGATTGGTAGAGAATCGATCTACAAATCGTTTAAGATACTCCGCTCAAGGATCGGATGAGAATTGCCAAAGATATGGCCTTCACTGTGGGCCATATTGGGCTACCCATGCATTTTCGGTATTTCGGAAGGGGATCCTCCAGAAAATTTGACAAAAAATCTAAAAAATATTTAGTTCTGAGATTTTGATACAGATTTATGGAGAATCGATCTACAAATCGTTTAAGATACTCCGCTCAAGAATCGGATAAGAATTGCCAAAGATATGGCCTTCACTGTGGGCCATATTGGGCTCCCATGCATTTTCGGTATTTCGGAAGGGGATCCTCCAGAAAATTTGACAAAAAATCTAAAAAATATTTTGTTCTGAGATTTTGATGCAGATTGGTAGAGAATCGATCTACAAATCGTTTAAGATGCTCCGCTCAAGGATGGGATGAGAATTGCCAAAGATATGGCTTTCACTGTGGGCCATATTGTGCTACCCATGCATTTTCGGTATTTCTGAAGGGGATCCTCCAGAAAATTTGACAAAAAATCTAAAAAATATTTTGTTCTGGGATTTTGATGCAGATTTGTGGAGAATCGATCTACAAATCGTTTAAGATACTCCGCTCAAGGATCGGATGAGAATTGCCAAAGATATGGCCTTCACTTTGAGCCATATTGGGCTCCCAAGCATTATCGGTATTTCTGAAGGGGTTCCTCCTTGGGACGCCCCTTTACTCGGGGACATATTGTCATCCCCATACATTCAGGAAAATTAATGAAGAAAAGGGAGCTTACCTGGAGATAGTCAATCAGTTTCTTGTGCTGAGCCAGAGTAGCCATGGATTTGATGTCCCTCTGGACATAGAACTGCTCCTTTTCGGCCAGTGTATCCTGCAGGGAATCGATCTCCGCATTCAGATCAGATTGAGCGGCCTCTAGATCTCTGATTTGCGCCTGGAGGATAGCCACCTCCTCCTTCCTGTGGAAGAGCTCGCTCAGGATCCGCGCATTCTCTTCCTTGAGGCTGATCAGTTCTCGCTCAGAGTCCGCGCTCTGAACCTGGTAATTGGCATTCTGACCATCCAGCAGCTCAGCTCGCTCCTGAGTTGCAAACAAGGCATTCGTTTGCTCCACCAACTGGTCCTGTTGAGCAATCATCCTCTTCTGCTGATCCTTGAGGTTCTCCCTAAGCTCTTCGATTTCCGATGCGAGCACTTGGGCCCGCTGCTCCGACAGACGCTTCTCCGACTCGATTGCCGATAGTTCCTTGCGAAGTTCGGTTAGTTGGTCATTCCTTTCTCTCAACTTCAGGTGCACTGCATCCAGTTGAGATTTCTGGGACTTGTTACGTTCCTGCTCAGACTTGAGCATGGTTTCCACCTCGGTCAGTTGGTTATCGGTAATGCTGCAGGCATACTTCAGTCGCTGGAAGTTATCCTTGAGCTGCTTAAGTTCCTTTTGCAGAGCCAAGGTGGTGTCATTGGTTGCCAAGCTTCGGGAACGCTCCTCTTGTAGTTCCCTCTGAATGCTCTTATTTTCCAAAGTGACGCCATCAAATCTAGTTTGGATTTGTTTCAATTTCTGCTTGAGCTCCGTTTCCTGCTGCTCCAGTTTGTGGACGTTGGCCAAGTGCTCGATTATCTCCGATTTGCACTTCATGCGCTCCTGCTCGGCCTTTTCCCACTGCCGGTGCTCCTTGAGAACCTCACGCTTCGCAGCTGCCAGCTCCTGTTTCAACTCCTCGATCTTCGAATCCCTCTGGCGGGTCTCCTCCTGCGCTGTTTTCAACATCCGCTGCGATTCCTCGTTGGCATTTTGAGCCTTTTTAATCCGATCTTCAGTGAGTTCCATGCGTCGAGCGAGCATCTTCTTCTCGGAAAGAGCTTCTTCGAGTTGCTTCTCTACTTTCCAAAGCGATAGATTGGCGGTCCGAGCGGCTTGGCGCTCCACGATCATCTGCTCCCGCACGGCCGCCAGCTTGTCTTCCAGTTTTTCGTTCTGCCGCTCCAGAATGTCCCCAACGGTTTCTGTTCCCGGCTTTCGAGTGGAGTGGCCTTTAGTTGGCGAAAGGCTCTGCTCGTTGAAACGCTCCAGCATCTGCTCCAGCTTGGTCACCAGAGCTTGGAGCTGATCGGCACGTCCCTTCTGATGGGTTTCACCCTCTTTGGCGGCCACCAAATCGGCGCGCAGCTGGTCTTCAATGGCGTTTAGTTCGGTTAAAGATCCAGGGGCAGTTTCATAGGGAGATGCATGAGAAGCAAGTGAAGACTCAGCCAACTGGCAACGACATTCAACAAGCTGCAGAAGTAATAGAAATTAAAAGATAATCAGTGATTTTGTGTGGATTTGAAGGTTAAACAATTCGATTGTTTTGATTTATAAACTATCGACTTTCGATTAGTGATTATATAAATGAAAATCTGTCAAAACTCACCTGCAATTCCCTCTCGAGACGTTGGCACTCAGCCCTAGCCTCTTGTGTTTCATTTTCCCTCAGCTGCAGTTTTGTTTCCAACTTGACCTTCTCCGCATGAAGGTCATTGTTGGAGGCAATCTCCTGGTTCAGTCGCTTTAATATTTCTTCAATATTTCGTTCTGTGGCCATTTTAGCTTCTTGTGTGGACTTACTAGAACAGAGAGACTCATCCAGTTCGGTACGAATTTCTTTAATCTCCATTGTCATACGGCGATGAGTGTCTTGGGAGTCACGAACCTTTTTTCGAAGGTCGGTAAGTTTCTGTTCGTACGATTCTGCCATCTGGCGTTTCTGTTCCTCATTGTTGGCTTCGTTTCGAAGATTCTGTTCCTTTAGCTGCTTCAACATGTCCTTGTAGTTTTGTAATTTGTCCGACAAATGCTTGCATTCTTCGCTCTTGAAGTTGAACTCCATTTCGCGAGCATCCAACTTCTCCAACGTGGAGGCAAGTTCTTGCTTTTTATCGGCCAATTGTTTCTCATAGCGTTGCTCGGAAGCTATCTTGGCTTCTTCGTATTTCTGTCGATTTAGTCGCAACAGATCTGTAATGGTGGCTTCCTTCTTGGACCACATTTCCTCGTCAATTTTGGCAGAGCTTTGGAGTGTCTTTATTTGGGTCTTGCAGTTGGCCAACTCCATTGTCTTTTCTTTAATAATTTGCTGCAGCTTTTTTATTTCCATTTTGGCGTCGACCACCACTTGGGACTTGTTATCGGTTTTCTTCAATGACTGTTGGGCTCGCATGAGATCTTGTTTAAGCATGGAGATTTCGTTCTCTCTGGTCTTAAGTTTATGCTGCAGCTCTTTCAGCTTTTCTTGCAGTTTTTCATCAGAGGACCCGGTTAGAGCCGACTTCTCCATGTGCACAAAACTGTATCCAATAAAGGGGAGGTCCTTGCCACTAAAATCATGCGATTTCATGTTGGTCGTCAATGACTTTTTAGCCACTCCCGGATCTCTACGAGACTTGTGCCGAGTACCGTCCTCGAAGTTGGACGTATCGTCGTCTGATTTAATGGTCGGGATAATAGGTGGCACCTGAGAGCGTATCGAACCCCACTGTATCTCATCAAAGAAAGGATGCTTCTTTATACGTTCGTAGGACAAACGTCTTGATGGATTCGTCACTAGCGACTCTATAAGATTTCTGTAGTTATGGGAAACCTTCAGATCGCTAGGGAAACTGATCAGTTCTTTTAGATGACTCTCCTCACAGTGTGAAAGGATCTTGGAATATGTCTCATGTACATTCTCCTCATGGAAGGGCGTAGTCTCGCAGATGAGCTCGTATCCAATAATCCCCATAGACCAGTAATCGCAGCTGACCTGAAATAAGTGTATTTACATCATTATTGTACTTATTTTCTCTTTAAGTATTCTGGGCACTCTGCGATCGTACAGTTCTACTCACATCGTGCATCGATTTTGATAGTTTGTAGGTGGATATGGTTTGCAGTAGCTCCGGAGCTATATAATCAGGAGTGCCAACTGGCGACAAGCTAAGCACATGACCATCTCGATCCAGAGCAGCTGCATTACCAAAATCAGCTAGCTTGATGTGTCCAAAGCGGTCAATCAAGATGTTCTCTGGTTTAATGTCCCGATGAACATAGCCCATTTCGTGGAGTGTGTGAAGAGCCACAGTGAGTTCTGCCAGATAGAAGCGGGCCAAGTCCTCGTCGAAAGGACCATGACGAGACATGAGACTTAGCAGATCCCCACCCGGCATGTATTCCATGATCAAGTACAAGTTATCATTGTCCTAGAAATTATGACTCAATAAAAATAACTACTCAGGAGGAGAATATGTAAGACTCTTACTTGAAAAGCATACTGGAGGTTAATAAGCCACTCTGAGTGGCGTGTGGACATGATATCCCGCTCCTCCTTGACCTGCGATGTGGTCACCACCGACTTCTTGATCTTCTTCATGGCATAAATGTCATTGGTTTGTCGCTCCACCACCAAGTGGACATTGCCAAAGTATCCCTGACCAATAAGTGCTTTGATAAGAAAATCATCTGCATTTACTCGCAGTTTTCGAGTCTCCTCCACGATGGGTCGAACTATGTAAAATAAGGCATATTGGTATTTAAATGCTTCCGGAAAGGGACAGGTCTGACTCACATTTGTTGACAAACTCGGCAATGTTGCGATCGCGTTTTTTCAGCGAGTCCTTGTCGCATTCATTGTACAGCAAACAAAAGGCGTCCAAAAGTCCTTCCCGGCATACAGTCTCTGCTAAAGCTGCGCTGGTCGTGCTCACTGGCACAATGCTCCTTCGTGAAGAGGCTCCAGTGGCGGGCTTCGCACTGACGCCTACTCCTTTTCCCAGGATTATGTTATTTAAGCGCGCAGTGCGCACGCTTATGGGATCCAACTGTGGCGGCATGTTTATATTATATTCACAATTTTTTGTTATTTTATTTAAGATATTAAATCAGTTGAACACAAAATGCCAGCGCATTTTCAGTTGGCGATTACTTTGAATGGCTGGAAAATGAAGCGCCGAGGGAAGCCAATAAACCAGGGATGCAGACGCTCTCGTCAGAGTTGCATCTGCTGTTTTAGAGTTTTAAATTTCAAGTAATAACAAATATTTTAATTAATGAAAAGCAAAACTAGCATTTAAATTGCAATCTTTTTCTTAATTTAATTTTTATATTCTTAATATTCAGCACTTGGTATAAAAAGAATAAATGGACCGATAGTTTTGTAAGGTTCATCGAGATCATGTACTAATTGGTTGTCAAGTTAATTAATTTTTACTAATTGATTTTTTTTGGGGAAATATTCATAAGCTTATGTCTAACAAGCTCTTGCTCTTGGAATAATTAAATTTTGAAATAGGAATCTTATCTATCGAAAAATGTGTTGCAAAAATGCAGCCATCTCCTCGCGCACCTTGCAACACTGCAAGAGCACTCGCTCGAATCGTCCATTTTCGACGGGTAGGTTTTCGCAGGCGGACGGTGAAAAGATTTTCTGCATCGAAAATTGCAATTTGAACATCCAAGGCAGTGAGTGCTGCTCAACAGACATTTGGAAAGAGTTAAGCACACTTGTGCGAAAACGCAGGCCTAAAAGGTGAAGGCGAGCGATAAGCATTTAGCCGTAAAAACGCCCTGAAAGTTGAAAGTAATTGCGTGCTTAGCAAGTGAGAAAAAAAGAAGAGAGGAGCTGAGGAGGTTGAAACCGTCGAGAAATCGTTGTCGTCGCGCTCGCTATAATTGTTTGCTTTTGGCAGAAAACGTCAACGCGCTGTTGGCAAACATTCACACAATAATAGTTGGTGAAAATCGTAAATTTTTTATATTCCGGAGTGCCTGTGAAGTACAGTTAAGATGAGTACGGGATTGCCGGAGTTGGGCTCTAAAATCAGCCTGATTTCTAAGGCGGACATCAGGTATGAAGGCCGCCTCTACACCGTGGATCCGCAGGAGTGCACCATTGCGCTCTCTAGTGGTAAGTAACCAGCGGCCAAAGTGCCCCACAATCTCCCACGTAATTGCTTTACCGCCCCCTCACCCACAGCTTTTACCGTATATATATAGGTATATGTATAAATATATATATATATGTGTATATATGCCGTAATCTGCGCCAAAAATCGCTGTAAAAAACGGTTCAGCGAAGTCGGTGGGCGACGAAAGAAAAGAAAATGGATTCTTTCAATTTCTCTTGGCTCCCTTGTTCACATTTTTCGTTGCTTTTGTTAGTTTTTACAGTAATTTCATACGCAGAGAGTGCAATTGCCGCTACCGTCGGCGCTCTCTCTTTCTCTATCTCCCGCTCTCTCCGGTCCCTGCACACTCTCTCTCGCTTATGCTTTTTGTTTGTCATGTTGGCTTTGGCCTGTTTTTGTCTCGCTTGTTGTTGTACAGCGTTGGTTTTGCACTTCACCTACACAAATGCAATTTGTTTGGAAAGTCTATTTGCAAAAACATTTTCGATTTGGCGCCAGATAACGGTATGTGCGCCACATCCCGTTACGAGTGTCACTGCCCTGGGATGCAAAGGAGAGAAGCAAATGAAAAGGAGAACGCACAAATACCGGCAAAACATGCGTTTCTATGCCTATGTTGAGGTTATATAGGAACTACACCGGCCTAACCTTAAACTCAACTTTTACTTTTGAGGTGTAACCTATTGTTTTCTTTCTGTGTAGTGCGCTCCTTCGGTACGGAGGATCGAGACACCCAGTTCCAGATAGCGCCTCAGTCGCAGATCTACGACTACATCCTCTTCCGCGGCTCGGACATCAAGGACATTCGAGTGGTCAACAATCATACTCTGCCGCACCACAATGACCCGGCGATCATGCAAGCGCAGCTCCAGAACGCACCGCCCCAGGGTATGCCCCAGCACTTTCCCATGCCCAATGCAATGGGTGCTCCACCCCAGCAGCCGCAACAGGTGCCGCCGCAGCAGCAGCCACCACCCCACGGGGCCCCCTCTATGCCGGGTGGCGGCAACGGAGGCGGTGGCGCTCCCAGTGGTGCACCAGGATATGGCAATGGAAATCCCTTCGGCAACCTGGCCGCTGCCAACTTAGCCAATATGGTGGGTAACGCGAACGCCGGTTCCCTGGCTCCGGGTGCAGGTGCTCCTGGAAGTGGAGCCCCTTTCATGCACATCGGAAATCAGCAGCAGCAGAAGCCCCAACAGCAAAAACAGCCAAGTAAGTGAAGGTGTCTTACATCATTAGTTTCTGGATTAGTTTTAAAATTAAAAAATCAACAAATTTTAAATATTTCCTGCATGTGTTATGTGTGGTCCTCGTTGCGTCCGTCCTTTACATGTTCAGTTTCCGTTTTAGACATGCTGGCCGGAGCCTCCCGTTCCACAACGCCCATCAGCCTGATCATCAGTCCCACGGCAGAGCTTAACCAGCAGCATCAGCAGCAGCTGCAACAGAACACTGCCCAGGGTGGCAACGGGCGCGATGCAGGTCATAAGCGCCAGAACCACCAGCAGCAGCATTCGAATCAGCAGCAACAGGCGCAGCAGCAGCGAGGCGGCTCCAACAACAACATGCAGCAGCAGCGCGGAGGAAGCGGCAACGACTTCTACAACCAGCGGGATCGCCGTGACTCTGGTCGCCAGATGGATAACAACTACAACAGCAATAATCAGCGTAACCGTGGCGGCGGAGGCGGAGGCGGTGGCGGCAATGGAATGCAGCAACAGCGAGGAGGCGGCGGCGGCGGTGGCAATGGAGGTGGCGGCAACGGAGCCTGGAACATGCACCGCGGTGGCCAGAACTCAAACAACATGATGATGCGTAATCGCGGCATGGGATCACGAGGTCCCATGAGACCAAATCAGGTACATAGTGGTAGTTTTCCATTAAAAACATTGAATAATAATATTTTCATTATAGGGATATCGTCCGCAGTCGGCCAATCAGAACAAGCCTCGCAACAAGATCAAGTTCGAGGGCGACTTCGACTTCGAGCAGGCCAACAACAAGTTCGAGGAACTGCGCTCCCAACTGGCGAAGCTCAAGGTGGCCGATGATGCTGCCAAATCAACCGCCAACTCGACGGCAACCACAACTGCAACCAATGAGCAGGTGGGTGAAAAGGTTGAGGGCGCCCATACAGTAAGTAAACATCAAATTTTTATTATTTTTTACCACAAAACTACTTTATTTAAGTTGTAATAGATTCAGTTTCCATCAGAAAGGTGTTTCTTATAATCAAGTTCTTGACTTTGCAGCTTAATGGCGAGACGGACAAGAAGGATGACTCTGGAAACGAAACCGGTGCCGGGGAGCATGAGCCGGAGGAGGATGATGTCCATGTTTGCTATGACAAGACCAAGTCGTTCTTCGACAACATTTCGTGCGAAGCTGCCCAGGATCGCAGCAAGAACAAGAAGAACGATTGGCGCCAGGAGCGCAAGTTAAACACCGAGACCTTTGGCGTTTCCTCAACACGTCGTGGCAGGTAAGTGAAGAAGCATCTTCGGAAGCAAAGGATCTATAGATTATCAATAAACAGCTACCGTGGACGCAACCATTACTACAACAATGGAAACATGGGCGGCGGAGCGGGCAACGGAGGCATGAACTCTGGATATGGTGGAGCGCCCGGCTACAATCGCAACAACTATCGAATGGGTGGCGGCGGTGGAGGAAACTTCCGCAACCGAAGCAACAATCGAAACAATGGCGGCCGTGATGGAAACCGTGGTCAACCCAACATACCCAATGGTAATGGCAACCCCGCCGCTGCCCTAAAAGCAGCCAATAATGCTTCGGACGCGACTGCAACAACTGCGACGACGAAATCGACGTCCCTCTTGCCAGAGCAGACGCAACAGGTGGCGGCAGTTTGTAAGTACTAGCTCCGACTTGGTTATTATGATGGTTTCTAATGGCATACCGATTTCAGCTCAATAATGCCGCTTCGTCAGTGGAGAACCACTTTAAATAACAATTGATGAACGAAGAGTGAACCGAGAGAGTTGAAAAGTAAATATCCTATTCATTGCAAAAAGTTATTATTGGAAAGAACCCCCCAAATCCAATCAAGCGACCGACCGATCGACGACACACTGGCTCTTATTATCAGGAATTTCGAGTTACGGATCTAACGGATTAAATATATTTGTATAATTATACTTAGCGTTATAATTCTCACGACGTCCTGCGGGCTGCACCGTGCCCGCGATCTTTTGCAGGCGTGCGAACCGGCCATCTGTTAGGTTTTGTGTAAATGGCTGGTTCCAACGCTATGCGCTGAGCAGAAACAACAACAACAAACAAACAACATGGCACGCCTACATACATACATATATTTAGTAATAGATGCAAAGAACATAATATTAATCATAAGTATATATGAAAAGCTATAAAAAACAAAGCGAAAACCCTTTAACAGAAACACTCGTGGAGATGAAATGAAATTAATGGAGCGGAAACAATTAAATCCATGGAATTCCCGATCAAAAATAAAAGCTAATACCGCATGTTTTTATTTCGATGAGAAGATATATGAGAGATGGAGAGGAAACTGATTGTAATACTGTACTTTTCGTGGGCGTAAAACATCGACACAAATCGATACGTTTTACTAGCATTTAATTATATTATTTAAGAAAAATTTTAAATATGAAAATGAAATAAAATCAGCAGCAATGCTTGTTGGAAAAGCACAATTGTAAAAAGTCAATCCAGCCCAGCTGAAGAGTGAAACAGTCTCCAAATGAAAGTATCAAAAAAAACCTCGAAAAAATTATGAATATAAAATAGTTACAAGTTTGAAATTGTTTTAAATTACAATAGAGAATTCTCCCAAAAGTTAAGGATGTAGAAAGTTTTCATATCTGATAATTTCTGATCTCGGTTGGGCTACAGAAAGTGCAGTCTCTTTATATATTTTTTTTTTCTCGCCACGCCAGCTAAGATCTTTTAAGATCTGGTCTGGATTTCTAACAAAAAATATGTGTGTATGCATGGATATCTGTGTTTTCAGCTAAAAGTATTTTTGCGACGGCCTGACTTTTAGATATTTGTTAACCATGTAATCAGATATATAAATATTTATATTAAATTCAGCACAAAATGCAGAAGTAGAATCCAGTTTGGTTTTGGAGGGCTAAGTAGCTAACCCACTCACTTCCGGACACACACATTTCAATATAATTGTATAATCCATAAATTATGTATGTACTGTATGTAATATGTATATCTCCACATATGCTCACCCTTATTAGCTCTACATATGTATGTATGTATATAAATATGCAATTATCGATTTAAAAAAAAAACACAAGAAACGACGTCAAAATTGTAAAGACTACACATGGCAGTATGAAAATTAAAATTTAAAAACTTAAAACAATGTAATAAAATATAATGCAAGATGAATTCAAGTGTAAGCAACTATGGTTAACAAATCTTCATTATCCTCAAGTTTTGATTTTCGGATGATGTGAAGGACCTAGGAATTTGGTTTATTTTCATCCGCCCTCTTACATTAAACACTAATTTTAAAAATGAACTAACATTATCGATGAAATGTTTACTAAACCAAACGAAAACAAAGAGAAATCCTAACTTTAAAAAGCATGCAAAACAATGAATGTAGGAAATCAAAAGTGAAATAAAAAGTTAAGACTAAAAGATTCGGTTATGGTTTGATTCTATGTCCAGGTCCAGGTTCTCCGCATAAATAGGCCTTAATCGCATTATTAGGTGAAACGTTTATTGCTTTAAATTAACTTAGATTAGCCAGTCTAAAAGAATAAGACAAAGTCCAAATATCCAAACTCCAAACTACTCTACACTTGTCTTTTGTCGCAGGAAACTAGAATAAATAAGAGAAAACATAGTTCTCCTTCATGGATTAAATAGTTAGTTTACACATCGGAATCCTCAGGATCGCTGCATCATTTGTCCCAGAGACCCAGTTCGCGCATTTTGGTCTGGTAGTAGCGCTCCAGGGAGTTGGCACACCGATAATACTCAGTGTCGGGAGAGTTGTAGAACCGGCAGTTTAAAAATATACGTGCCATATCGGCCATGAACAGGCGGCGCGTTTGGTAATACCCCTTCTTCAAGCGTTCACCCATGGTTTTCAGGTCCATTGGATACTTGATATGGTCATAGTAGTCCGGCACTTCGGCAGCAGTCACGGGTCGCAGGAAAGGCCACGCTGTGGTGTGCTGGCGCACGGATTGCAATACGGATGCAAAAGAAGTGGCCAGCTTCTCGGGATCGGAGGATTCCTCCAGGGGCCGAGAAGATCTGGCTGGACGCACTTGCGGCTTCCAACCGATTTCCCGCAGCCCAGGAATCGACTCGACGGGAATCGATGGCAGACCCTCCTTGAAGCAAGTCAATCCCGGTCTGACCTTCTGGACTTCATTATGGCGCTGCGCTATGAGCTCCTTCAGAATCTCACTCTGATTGCGGATCACTGGAAGGGATTAGATCGGTAACGCATACTCCTCCTCACGGTTTGAAAGCAAAACCTTACCGGCGATGAACTGAGTGTTCACTATGCTCGGATGCAGTTCACAGTGCATCAGAGTGGCGCTGTCGTACTCCTTGATGTAGCCCGCATAGACTGGGCGGGCTAGCTTGATATCCTTGGAGAATCCCTGCTTCTTGAAGTACCCGATGGCATCGCAGTCGGCAAATGTCAACAGGTGCTTGATGCCTCGCTGGATGCTGTAGTCCTTCAGGTGGTTCATCAGATGCGTTCCATACCCCTTCACCTGCTCAGACATGGTCACGGCGCAGAATACGATCTCGGTGAAGCCCTGCGATGGAAAGGGGCGAAAGCAAATCCCACCGATGGGCTGATTCTCTTTGATGAGGGCCAGGGTCTTGTGCTTGGTGTCGAAGACCAGCTGACTGATGTACTCGCGAGGCATCTCGGGCAGTTGGTAGGCAAACACCAGTTGCAAGCCCAACAGCCAGAGCACCGTCTGCTTGTCCACCGGCTTGGTAAGCGAGTTGCCCACCACATGGAACTCAATGGCCCGCTTCTGCTCCTCGGCCTTCACGTTCTCGTCGCGGGACACATTCACCGGGAAGAGTATCTCCGACTTGTTGGTGGTCTTTGATTCGGATACTGACTTCATGGCACGCATAACCACATCCGTGGGCAGGTCATCCACACTCTCACTGCAGGCAGAAGCTTAATACAAAATATCGATAAGGATCAGGAACACATACCTTGTGGTGCTTCGCTCAAGTGGTTCCTTCTTTGGCCGCTTGTGGAGAGGTTCACCCACGCTGGAACGCTTGCTCGTTCCCAGCGAGACAGCACTTCCGCCGGCCACTGAGGGCGTCACCTCCTGGTGTCGTTTCCTCTGCTGGATGACAAAAGAATTTGGCGGGCGGTAGTTCGGATCCCAGATGGGGGAATCATCCTTGAGAAGTTCGGCCCGCAGTGCCTCCAAAAACTTGGGCATCTGGGTGATAATGGACCGTTTATCCTCTGGGAAGCGATCGCGCTCCGAGATGCACTTCTTCTTCAGCTGCTGGGACATGTACTGGTAAACGGTGCGCAGAAGGGTTCGTCCAAACACCAGCGAAGTCTCGAACTGGCGCAGAGAGTTACAGAAGGCGGGAACATGACAGAATACCAGCCACCGAGTGTAGTTGATCTTGTAGTTGGAGGCATCCTCGTGGGTAAGATCGCCGCGTCTCGTAGAAGGTGATTCAAAGTTGTAGTGATTCAGGAAGTTCAGGAAAGTCTTGGCCACCTCTGTCATGGTTTGGAGTTCCGTGGGACTGAGGTGGTTGTACTTGTAGAAGACCAGAGAGAGCACTGCCTTGGTAATGCAGGGCGACTCAAATGGTGGATCTCCCAGAGGTCCTCGAATGACCGCCTGTTGGCGGGTTAGGACGCACTGGCGAAGCAACCGAAAGAGATACAAGTACACTTTCTTGGTGTCCTCGTCCTCAACGCGCTGCATCGACATGAACAGGTTCTCCATATCGATAATGGCTCCCAACAGCTCATCCATACTGGAACTTGAAATATTATCCAAATGGGCAATATGGGACCGCAAGGAATGGCGGCAACTGGAGTTCCTGCACTCCTCGTTAAACTCGGGGCAGTACGATGACTCTACGTCGCGGTGGCGGTTTTCCTGGGGCGTCTTCCAGCCAGTGCAGCGACATCCTTCGGCCTGGCAAGCGGAGTACATCGACAGCTTAGCCAGCTTCTGGGGCACGGGTAGGTTGAACACCTTTTGCTTCCTCTGCTGGATTCGCTGCAAGCTGTTCTGGCGGGTTCCCTCGGCTGGAGCATTGCTGGCTCCCGCCCCCGTACCTGCACCAGTTCCACTCCCATTTGGAGTGCTAGAAGAACCAGATCCCGATGCGCCATTTGCTGCTGCTTGCTGTTGTGCCGCAGCATTCCCGGTGTTATTACCATCTATCGGCTGGCTTTTCAGCGTTATGGAGGGGCCACCAGACATTCCAAGCAAAGGATCCTTCGAAATTTCTCGGTAGTTTTGAACCAAAGTGTACTTTTTGTGAATTTCACAAGCTGTGAAAAACGACTCGAGAGGTGACACTTATTCGGGGATGCCACTTAACGGTGATGAAATAAATATTTTAGCAAGTTTCACAACCTTTCAAGGTACCGGCAACACCGCCAAGTCTAGGACGTTTTCCAACACCTATTGTCGCGGGATAAATAAAAATATAATTTTCCTCAAATAATTTAATTGAAATGTCTCTAAATGGATCTATATTTGATGTCGAGGAGCGCCTGGACAACTTTATCGTCCGCAAGAACTCCAAGAAGAGAGACTTTTCAAAGACAGGACCAACCGTTCATGAGAATGTTCCCCTGACTTTAGGACATCTACAACGAGTTACAAATTGTCCAGAAAGAGAAAAGGTCTTCCTAACTGCGAACAAACGTGTTGATGAAATTCATTTTAGCACCTGCATCGTCTATGCTCTTGTGGTTGGACATGGTACTCACAATAATGCATTCTACAAGTACATCATTGACGATGGCACGGGCTCCCTGGAGGCAAGTTTTCCCAAAAACACCGCAAAGCGAACGGCCATGGCCGGTCTGGCCAATGAGGCTCAATCAGTCGGATCTTACGATAAATACAAGGATATTTCGTCATGCTTGCTCCGGATCTTGGGAGCCGTAAATGACTACACCGATCCCACTCAGATAAAAAGAGGTGACTACGTCTGCCTTCGGGGAAAACCGAACATATTCAGAGGGTCTGTGGGATTGGATGTGTTTTCCTTTGTCATAGACCAAAACAAATGTCGGGAACTGGAGATCGGGTTCGCCGATCACTTGATTGAATGGCACGATAAGGTTAAACCAAATAGCTAGTAATATAAGTTTTTTCTTGTATTGAAATTTTACAATTAATAAAAAATCAAGCTTTAAATATATATAGAGAATTTAGGTAGTTTTTGCTCGAATGGCGGCACGCTTGCCGGTGACAGCCTGGAAACCTGACTTGATGCTGGCCACGGAGCAGCGGGAGCCGCAGGACTCGCATTGCAGGAAGAACAGACGTGTGTCCTTTTGCAGTATCGTCTCGGGGGAACGGCAGGTGTGACAGGTGACGTACTCCTTAATGTAGCGACGCAACACGTTCTCGATCTGCTTGGGCTGAAAACGGCCCTTGATGATCAGCTGTTGGTTGCCGTCCATGGAGCCACTGGTACCCAACTCAGCCAGCAGGAAATCGAGCAGATGCTTGGGCAGGCGATGCAGCGTTTTAGCAATGTCCATGAAGTTGGCGAAGGAGGTCTTCTTGGTGCCCACGCGCAGCACTTGAGGCGGACGCATCACAAACTTGGGCTTTCGACCCGCTGCCATGTCCGGGTTCTTGTCGAGAATGATTTCGAAGACGCGCTTAAGCAACTCGTCATATGTGTAGTCGCGATCGGAACCAGCCCAAGTAGAACTATTATCTTCTACTGTAAGAAAACAATTCAATTATGAAATTAAATTTAAAAATAAATTACAAATTTGCATCAGCTACCCACCATTCTCTTTGTCGTCTGTCTTGTCGTCGTCAAGTTTGTCGGCAAACAGCTCATCTAGGTCCTTCTTTTGTCGCTTCTTCTTCTTTTTCGCCATGGAAAAGTCCATGTCCAAGTTGATTTCCTCCTCCTCTGGCTCCTCGGCGGCAGCCGCATCATCGCCACCAAAACTGGGAACAGCAGCCTCGATCTCGTCCATGTTGAAGGGCTTCTTCTTCTTTTTCTTTTTCTTGCCAAAGCTCTCCAGGTCGAGAGTGTCCTCTAGTTCGGCAGCACCAGTCTCAGCAGCTCCCTCGATCTTGGTCTCGTCCTTCTTGCTATCATCTTCCAGCCCCAAAGCAGCGTCCAGGTCGAAGGTGGTCTTCTTCTTCTTCTTCTTTTTCAGCAAAGTGGGATCGAAACCCTGTTGAAAAAGCAGAATATTTTTAAATTCAGCATTTGGGACGGGCCAACATAACCTCAACTCTTCTTAGCCAGTTGTAAATACACACACATACATACAAATACACCTTGGCACATGTACCGACATATGATGTATGCTTTTTGGCAGATTTACGTAGAGTTTGATGGTTTTTTGATGGCTTTTACAACTTACGTCCTCCTCCATTGTGATCTGCCTTAAATACTTGTTAGGATGTCGGAAATTTCTAATTTAAAAAGCGAAGGCAAATTTGCATCAGCCTTAGAGTTGGTGACGAGACAATTAGAGGTGGAGACTCAGCGGTTCAGTGTTGCAAAACTCGGTTTGCTTAAGACGTTAAACTATCGATAAACGTCACAACTTGACAGGCAATTTAAAAATGTTCCACAGTTTAAAATATAATAATTAAATGAAGTATTAGAATCAGATTGTTTAAAAAAAGGCATTAAATTTATTGGTAAAACACATTTTAGAACACATCTTTAGAACACAGAAGACAGTAAACAATTACAGTATAAATGCATTAGGCAAGTACAATTCACGTAAGTTATTGAGCACCTTAAAGTACAGAGATTTATTGCTCAAGACCTGTGTCAGATCGTTCCCTTGAGGTTGGGGCGTTTTCCATTAAAGATGGGCACTGCTTGGTTTCGCCAACTCCGGTCCGACTCCGCCGGCCAGTTTCTGGACTAGAATTCCTACTTCATAGGCAAGGTTATCCGTATCCTGAAACATAAACCATTAATTCAGATTCCCAAAGATATCAAGTACACTTACCTCCTTGGTAACAGCCTCTGCGTAGACTCGCACTACATCCTCGGTGCCTGAGGGCCGGACAAAGGCACGTCCCCGCTTATAGTTGGCCACCACCTTATTAATTTCCGCCTGCAGACCCTCAGGCTTAACACACACACGCTCCGCGTCCGTCGTCTCGATTACGTTCCGATCCTGTACCTTAACCTTCAGCTGTCGGTTAGGCAGGTCATTGTAGCTGGCAATCCAGTCTTTAACGTCCCATCCTTTATGGTTCAGTATCGTCTCAACTAGAAGCATGTCGGAGATGGCATCTCCTACGGTCTCGTTGATTAAATCAATGAGGAGCAGCAACGTCTTCGCACTGGGTTTCGACTCGGATGCCTTGGCAATTGTGGCTTTCGCGTTTTCGCTGAACACAATCGTTCCATGGCCATTGGCCTCGAAGTAAACCCCAATATCGTACTCCAAAGCCTTGTGATGAAGGTGCTTTACCCCTGTGGGAACACAAGAAACGGGGAACTTCAGCTCGTCCACTATGTAGTCCGTGGATGCTCCGTTTGCGTAGGCTGTTTGCACGAGTCCCAGCCTCAAATCGATTTCGGCTTGTGTGACCAGTTCCATTAGGAAACCAGCTACCAAAGTGGCGATGCGATCGCCATCCAAAAGCTGGAACTCCCCCTTGTCGTTGCTGAAGAAGTACACTACCCGGTCGGCATCGCCGTCCACGCTAACGCAGCGCGTGAAGGGTTCAACCTCTGGCATGGATTTCGGCGGCCGCTGCTGAACCTTGACGTAGTCCGCACCGCACTCGTCGTTGATCTTTCCGGGCCCGATGCCCTGGTTTATGACTGTCAGATTCAATGAATTTTTCATGCGCTTCAGGAATTGCAACATTTTACGGGCACCCACTCCATTGGCGCCGTCGAAGATAATGTTATTCTTATAGTTTCCATTCTCCAGTCGCCCGTTTCGCAACAATTCAAAGGCAGTGATTAGCTTTTCGTAGTAGCCCTCCTCCGTGGGCTTTCCGTAGGCCTCCTTTGTGTTTGCCGCCACCACGAAATAGTGCAGCATGGGCGTGGTCACGATTCCATACTCCTTGACGTTTCCTTTCAGGGCTATCACTCCATCGGCAACTGCTTTTAGCAATCGAGGACTGTGGTATCGGTTGTCCATGCCCACAAACACCTGGGAACTCGTCGTTACGTCGATGTTGTTCTCTTTGATAATCTTGGCCACCTGTTGCTCCAGTTCCTGATCACTGACATTGACTAGGTCGGTGGCTATTGACTCCCAGCTGGCCTCCAACATTTCACCCTTTGGGTCGACTAGCTTTACTCCGTTATCTGGCTCCGGATTGTGCGATGCTGTTATCATTACACCGATAACAGCTCCTCCGCGAAACCGAGAGCGCAAAGTGGCAAGGACTCCCATGCGGAACATGACGCTGTCCAGGAATTCGGCTCTAAAAATAAAATTATTTTAAAAATATTAATATTTTGTAACTATTTTTTATTCTGTTAAAGCCATTGCCAATATGCAGTTGCACCCCTTTTTTTATCTTTCCAATGATATAGCGAACTAGACAAAAATTTTTATAGATAAGAACCTTTACTAACAATGGTATGAACTTCTTGAAAGTTGAATGATTCACTTCAAAGGTTTATTTGCTCTGCAAACATTTTTATCATTTTATCTAAAATGTAGCAAGTGCTTTTAAATGAATACAAAAAAATTCCATTCAGTTCTCAAGTCTTATAATAACGAAAAATCTATATAATCTTATGATGAACTATTTTATTGACCCCTATTGTTTGCTGCAAGCGTGTGTGTCTGCAGGTTTCCTATGCACATGCAAGTCCCTTACATTCACATATTGCATACCCGAAAGAGAAGGGCATGCCCGTTGATAAAAGGTGAACAACATCTAAAAATAAACCAAATTCCTACAACATGGTGCATGCAATATCATTTTATAGGGACAGGCCGCCCAAACAAACAAACGGGGTTGGCCAACGTATGCAGTGGGTGTGGGTGGGTGTTACCATAATAATTAATTCGACTAATTAAGTCACTTACTTGCCGCGAAAACCAGCTGTTCCATATTGAACGTGTTCCGTAGAAACCTTGGGGTACATTTCCCGGGCAAAGGCGTAAACGGTGCGCAGATTGATCGACATTTTGCAAGACTTTTAGCGAGCGCCAATTGGTCCAAAATCAAGGTGGAGGTCCGGTTTTTCCGGAGCACTTTCGAAATTACGAATTCCACTGTGTGATAGTAAGTAGAGATGGACTATTATTAAATACCAATAAAACCGCGACATTTCTGGTATTATTCTAGTATTTTCATGTTTCATATCCCACTGTTCCGTTCTGAAAATAAATCACTGGAAAAAATTTACCAACACCAGCCGAGACCATCTGCCTCCCTTTTCCCGCGCATTTTCTGGCCCAGGTAGAAACCCAGGTCTCTTCCGGATGCTATTTGGTTTTCACTCCGCTAAAAACCATCTTAGAATCGCCATCGCCGCCAAACGTGCAATTACCTCCTGAAAAAACAAGCCAATCGTGCTGTTACATTTCGATTGTGAGTACCGGTGTGCCATAACCTTATATTTGTTTATTGACGTACGAACGCTTCCCCAGTTACCGAGCCTAAAACATCTAACAGCAACAAAAATGCCGCGACGAAAGGCTTTAAAAGACAACAGCAATGCCGCCGAAACTGAAGTCGTGCCAGCCAAACGGGCACGCATCGCTTTCCGCTTGGAGGTGCCGGAACGGCGGCAAACGGTGGGCAAGGTTCTGGTCTGCGGCACTGGAGACACCGGGCAGCTTGGTCTGGGTGAGGATGTCCTGGAGCGGAAGCGCCTCTCCGAGGTGCAGGGCATCCCGGATCCCGTTGACGTTTGTGCTGGCGGTATGCACAACCTCGTGCTTACCAAGAACGGCGAGATCTACTCATTCGGCTGCAACGACGAGGGCGCCTTGGGTCGCGACACCAGTGAGGAGGGCAGCGAAGCTCAGCCGGGCAAGATTGATTTACCAAAGAAGGCGGTTGCTGTGTCAGCCGGAGACTCGCACTCGGCTTGCTTGATGGAGGATGGCAGCGTCTATGCCTGGGGCTCTTTCAGGGACTCTCACGGCAACATGGGCTTGACCATGGATGGAAACAAGCGGACGCCCATTAACCTTCTTGAGGGCACCGTGTGCTCCAGTATTTCCTCTGGCGCCGATCACTTGGTAATCCTAACCAGTGCCGGAAAAGTGTTTACCGTAGGATGTGCCGAGCAGGGTCAGCTGGGCCGCATCTCGGAACGTTCCGTTTCAGGCGAGGGTGAGTCAGAATCAATGTTACAAGGTTGCAGAATTTTTATTAACAAAATGTTGTTTTTCAGGCCGCCGAGGTAAGCGTGACTTGCTTCGACCCGATCAGCTAGTACTTCGGACCAAGCCCTTCGACGCCATCTGGACGACCAACTATTGCACCTTCTTACGTGAGTCGCGTACAGAAATCATCTGGGCTTTTGGGCTGAACAACTACAAGCAGGTGGCACATCCGAAGGACATTGAGCGCGTTTTGACGCCGGTGAAAACCGACTTTAAGAATATTCTGCAGATTTCTGGTGGCTCCCACCATACCATACTGCTGGGTAAAGATCTTAAGTGCTCGGTGATTGGCCGGCATAACTACGGTCGCTTGGGCCTGGGCCAGTTGACGGCGGATGTGACCAAGCTGACGCCTCTGAGCAAGTTAAGCGACAAGATCGTCTATGTTGGTGGCGGCGAGTCGTGCTCTTATGCAGTAGCAGAAAACGGAAAGCTATACTCTTGGGGCATCGGTACCAGCAACCAGTTGGGAGTAGGCGATGGCGACGATGAGTGGGAACCGGTCGTGGTGTCCAGCAAAAATACACAGAACAGACGTGCTCTGTTAGCCACGGGCGGAGGTCAGCACGCAATCTTCTTGTTCCAGGATGAGCAGGATGCCAAGAAGGAGCAGAAGGAGAACGTGCCCGCGTCACCGGCTGGTGGCAGCGGTAAAAAGGAAAAGACTGTGTCACCCAAGGAGTCGGATGACAAGGAAAAGGACGACAAGCCGGAACCCAAAGCAGAAAAGAGCGGCAAGGCCAAGGCAGCTCCCAAAAAAGGCAAAAAAGCGTAAATAAGTTTAAGAAAAAACTTTAAAGTTGACCATGGATACTTTGTTTTTGGTAGCGCCCAGCTGCTTTCTACGCTTACTATAACATTTCTTAAGGAATTCTTCTTACTCATGTTCCAAATTCGTAAAATAAGTCCAAATATTGTTTACTTCCCATTAGTCTGGGATTTTTTGAACTGAGCTAGACGTTAGCTGACCGTCTGCAAAATATATTATGTTCATTATTAATTTTCGTTTATATCGTGCCTATAATGCTGGCCAAACCATGTAAATTTCTTATGTTTGAAGATAGTATTTTTATTTGAACACAAATCGAAACAATATCAGTTTATTTACAAACTAATCAACTTTAATCCGACAATGGTTTATACAAAAGACATATCCTACTCACACACAGTTTGTTTAACATAAATTCTTGGCTCAGGCGGGGAGGAATGCGGAGATTACCGACAACGAGCTACAAATATGGAGCTGGGATGAAGCGGAGCGAGCCATGAGCCATGAAACACGAAATCGTTAATTTACTATTGATCTGAAGACGTACATATATATGTATAAATATGTATATATATTTCAAGGGATGGGTCGATTTGGTTGAATAGTAATCTGGGTAGAATTCTAAGAAACGGTGGCGGATGCCAGCGTCTGCGATCTTAGAGTAAAATTCAGGTCAGAACTTCATACCCCATTTTCATAAGTACTTTAAAACTCCTGGCTTAAAATATTTGAAACTACAATTTCTTGCAAATCGACCCACCAGGTGTGGGTTTTGGCTTGATTACGTGTAGTAACATGGCTGACTACTGCCTCTGGCTCCTGAGTTGACTGTGGCTAGCGATGTGGTGGTGGTGGCGGTATTTCCGCCATAGTTGCTGCCCAGGTAGAAGCTTATGAACAAGATGCCGCACAACAATGACAACGAGAGGGCGAGACGCATTAGCTTCCTAGCGAAGGCGATCAAGCCGAGCAGATGGCCGCCGGCAGCGACGCCGCCCAGCTGCCGATCACCGCCACCAAGGCAGCTGCGACACAACTGCAGCTGCGCCTGGATGAGGGCCTCCAGGCACTCGCCATCACCATCCACCAGGTCGCACTCTAGCCCCAGATCCAGCAAGTCAAGGGCGCAGGCGCAATTCTCCAGCTCACGGCAGTCACGGTTGCTGAAGTGTTCCTTATGTTTGTCGTTGTTGTTGTCGAGCTCCACATCGTTCGGCTCCGGCCTGGTCATATTACACGGCGAAAGTAAATATTATTTTCGCTTGGGGCAGGAAAACGCCGCCGATTTGTGGCCATGGGAGCTGTGATGGCCACAAGTGGAGCCGTGAAGTCCAAGCTGTTGATACATCAGAAACCCAAAGCCGGCAAAGAGCAGTACGAGTAGGGCCAGCGTCACATACTGTAGGTTCTGGGTAAATGCCAGCTGTCGTGCCATTACCTCAGCCGGATCGTTTGACTTTTTGAGAAAGAGAAAATAATGGATTCATAAAACGATTTAATAGAAAATTTAAAGGAATACCCACCACACCGGATTTCTTGCAATCTACACTAGTTTTGCTGGCTTTGCCGGCGCAATCAGACTTCGCCACCTGCAACCCACTGCCTCCACCAGCGCCCTTTCCATCGAAACGACAAACGAGACGATGCTGCTCCACGTCTGCAGCACTGGAGGCTTTGTTGCGCCACAGATCTGCAACATCGGTACCGCCACACTCCGGTCCAGGAGCCACCATCGCCATCACCAGAAACTTATCCTTGTCGTCGGTGAGCTGGTGCTCCGATTTAAGCCAGATGTTGATAGACGCAGCCTGGTTTGGCTGTATAACGCCGCATCGTGGTCGCACCCTAAACTTCTCCGGCGACGTTGTCTGAATCTGAAAAGGAGACCGTCCCGTTAGTAAAAATACAGAACATCCTCATGATAAACTTACTTTGTATGTGATGGCTGAATTTGTTACAGACTTGAGGTTCAACGTGGCCTCTGCATTTTTGGAATTGAAGTTTACAAAATCCTTGGGATCCACGCGCAACATACCTAAGAAAAAGCAATACGAGCAGGACCCTTATTAGCAATAGGGGCTCTTTTTGTGTATTTTAAATTTTGGTGGAGACCAAATAATTTTGTTTTAACACAATATCTAAAACGACGCAACCTGCCGCTACAGTAAATATTTATGACATAATAGGCAAAGGATGTTGATGAAGTATACGTATACATTTTAGACAATTGATTAAGTTTAATCTTCCCCATGCCTGGGGGGGACTTACCCTCCGAGGGAGTGTGCATTTCGCCGATGTTGGACTCCTTGAGGACCATGGGAGCGGTATTGGCAAAGGTGACCTGGCGATAAGAGAGAAAACGTTCAAATGGCTGTCCAATGCTGATGACAATGGGAATGGGGGATGGCTTGCCCCGCCCACTTAATCAGACCCTTTGCCATGCCCCTTTCCGCCTTTTTTGTGACGAACGTGCTTATGTGTGTCATTTTTACGAGAGCCACCTCTATTCTTAGCACCCTTGAGTTCGAATTAGTGAAGGTTCCCCATCTAGTGGGGGGCGTTCTAAGAGTTGGGCCCGATTTTGCCCTCCGATGGATGCCAAATGTGCGGGTGTGACGAATCTACGTTTATTATCTGCGGCTTTTTCTTTATCCATTTTTTTTCTTCATTCAAGGAAATCGAATAACTCACGTAATTAGTACGTCCTGGCTCAGACATCAGTCACATTCGTTGCTTTATAGCAGCAGAGATGTCTGAATAGGCCTATTTTTATTTATTTCGCTTTTATGAATGGTTTTAGATTGGATTAATTCGGCAAGTTGTATTCCCAGGCCCTAAATATGAACACGAGTTGGCAGTCCCCTGAAGCCGGATTAAGGCCACCGCTTTAGGGAATTTTCAAGACGCGTTAGACTCTTTCAACGATTTGAACAGGTTTTAACGTCATCTTGACTTAATTCAAAAATTAATAATCTTGATTTTAGGTTTTTAATATAATTTTTTAGTTCATAAAATTAATCTTGGCTTAGCAACAGATGTTAAGTGCTGAATCATTTCTTAGGAACCAGCTCAAAAATGAACCATAAGTTAAGCCAGCAACGGCCAGAAATTTAAAACAATGCTTTATATGTATTTATTTAAACTGAATAAACAACAGACACCGCCACTGCATGGTGGAAATATGATAATTCTATACGATTCAGTTTTGTTTTGCTTTGTTTTGGACTACACGTAACGAACACATGATCTTTTACAGTGAACAAGGCGTATACTTGATGGAATTTGGATGCTTTTTAAAGAGACACATGATTTATTGGTTTATTTGAAATGAAGTCACATATAAGAATGTCTTGGAATTTAACATATATCTTTAACAAATTAATACATTAGCGAGAGTTCACGGCAGACATACACATACACACACACACCTACCCTAGGCATTTTAGACGAGAAATGAATATCAGTTCGTAGAGCAACAGAGCCGCTTCCGCTGAGCCGTTGGATTTCTCTTTATCTATTATTTCCTTCGCTTACAGCTATTTTTTAATAAAAATTACAGGCTGAATTTGTCCATAGAAATAACACATTAAACACAAATGAGGTTTCGGTCAAATATGAGATTTATGTGACTAGTTTCTTTCGGTTTTGTCGCGTTAATGTGGCTCTGTGTGGAAAGGAAATACAAATGAAAAAGCACTCTGAAAAGCTCTCCCGCAAAGCTCCCGCGACGGCTCTCTAAAAAACTCTCATCCGCTCTGTTGTCGATCAGCTTCTTCCAGCCGTTGATTCCACGCCACGCAAAATGAACTGAAACTGTAAATATGTAATGTAATGTAATGGGTGAAATGAAAAGTGCATTAAACAATTATAATATGTGGATATGTGGGTGTGTACTGGAATGCGTGTGGGAGTGTGTGGGAGTAGTATGTTCGTGGCCACATAATAACCGCCATGGGAATAATTTACACATAAGCAACACATACTTAAACAGCCTGGGAGCCAATCCATGCAAAATTGTGCGTTCTACTTTTTACAGGTCAACGCTTTTGGGTCCCTAGATGACCGCTAGCCCAGGCCAGGACCCTAAACTTTAGCAATATGTCAAATAAAGGACTATAAATAGCTTTTATAATGTTTTGCCCACAGACTGCTGCGGTAGCTACACTGAAGAAAACTATTTAATTATATTTAATATTTTTTGAAAGGATGAAGGATGACGTTGAAGGCTTACGTTGGAAAACTAACTAAATAAAATAGAGTCTCTGCCCGATTTTCGCCAAGTGCATTGGGACTGACCCCATATATCGGCTTAGTGTTCAGTTGGGGACAGAGACCGGGACAGGCAACTCACGCAGGACACGCAAGGAGCGCACCCTAAATCAATACGCCCCAAGAAGGTAAATCAATTATGGAGAGAGAGCTGTAAGGTGGCTCGCGTGTGGTTTTTGGAAAAAGCAATTAGACGACCGACGACTTTTTCCGGGAACACGCCCCACAACCGCTCGAGATTTGGACATGTCTGGTGTATTGTTGTCAGTGTTGTTGGGCCACTAAACGCCACTACGATAGATACTCCTTCCGGCTGGCTCACTTACCTTTCTGTCCGCGAACTGGTCATCATCCGTGGCATTGGCAATTGCCGGCGACTTGGCTGGCAATTTTTTTACCTCCGGCTCAAAGCTGAACTCGTAGCTGTCATCGCCACCCCAGCTGACCAGGCAGTTGGGCTTGGGTATATACTGGTTGATTTCCTTTTTCGATATCATTTTCAGGATTTCAACGGCTTTTGGCGGCAGCAGGGCCTTGATTACCTTAAAGGCGGCTAAAAAAAAGGGTAGAGACACGATGTCATGGTCACGGTTAATGTACAGGTTAAAGTTCAAAGGTTCGGCACCATTCGACATGAAAATGGGATACTAAAATCAACAAAGTATTTTCGAATACAGCACTGCTTTAAGTGATTAATTCTGAGTAATCCAATGACTCTAATACAACAGTTAATAATTTTAAAAGAATTTATTTTTAACTTACCATTTAAAACCCAGGCCAGCTCAAAAACCAAAATGTAATTCAGAGTATTAGGATAGTATTGTTTAAAGGTCTCCACAATGCGCTTGACAAAGTCCAAGTCCATAGTGGCCAGGCCAGTTCCAGCCATGTCAAAGAAGATGGTTAACTGGGTCATGTGCTGCTCCCTCTGGGTTCTCTCTACCCAGTAGACCACGATGCGGATCAGTTCGTCCAGGTTCTTGGTCTTCTTGTGAAGATTTACGCGGAAAACCAGCAACGGCTTGCCATCTCCGTCAGAGCTGTGTACGAATATCGATCCTTCTTTTAAGTATTCCTGGTTCAGTTTGCTTTCATCGAGATCATTGGCCCCATAGGACTGCCGCCAGATGCAGGTCTCCCACAGCTTGGTAAAGGATGCATCCATGTCCAGGTCGTGCATCTCCAGGAACCTTTGCAGCCAAATATGATCATTCCGAATACGATCGATATCAACGGGATGGAAGGGCTCTATAAGGTGCAGTCGGGAATGTGAAACGATTATTGGAATCTTATCGGAGCTGATACGAGGGGTATGGGGTAAACACACATAGTTTAGAGATTACTGGTGTAATTGAAAAAAGATTAACCCTCTACCTTTTTGACTTAATAAAAAAAATTGTCAAGTTTTATTGGTTTCTTATATAAATCTATAAATATAAAAAAACCCACTTAATTGAATATTTTTATGGCTGAGCTTTTTATGGATCGATATGTAGAAACCTCTACTCAGTTTATTCCTATTGCTTGAGTATTGCTTATACTTTGACCCTAGTGGTACTTAACCCTTTACCAGATACTGACTAACCAGCTTATATTTATAGTTGTTAAGGCAGGTATAGTTTGGGTTTCAAGTTCAAAGCTTTCGTTTAAGTGCACTCTGAACAGCTAATTCGTATTTTTTTTATTTATTCATCGTCTCAAAGTCGAATTTGCTTTAAAACCTAGCACAGCGGTATAAACAAACGATTAACAGAACACTGAAAGTTTTTTCCATTTATCAAAGAATCAATAACTGCCCACTATGCGTATACTTGATGCACATTCGCTGTCGCTGTTGTCCCACCAATTATCTCACCTGGTGGCGGTGACGAGGCGTACTTGCTATTAAACCTCTCGCGCAGCTCCTCGATCTGCTCCGGGGTCGTTTCCTTGACCTTGATACCCATGCCGACGGCTGACGACTAGTTTCCGCACTCGAACGCAACCACGACTATCGAGAGACTAAACATTGAACCCTGAATCCGATTGGGGGGGCACCTGGTGTTCGCACTCCTCGATTTTCTAATCAGTAATCCACTTTCACTGCGATTAGATTTGGGCCGCAAATCAATTGCTTGTCAGTAACAAGAGAAGGTACAAGTGGTAGGTAGCTACTCGGCAGGTATTATGCAGAGAGGAGCTATCCAAGTGCGTTCCACGAGCGCGTCCAGTCAACTGAATAATCTGGCTAACGGTTGCGCCGATCGTGGCGATCGTTTGCATTCGGCTGGCGTGAGGGGAATATGTGGAGCACCAATATACACCCAATGGGTCGAGGCTTTCAGACCGAGCGGGACGAGAGGCGTGGAGGGGCCGTGGGCGCCTCCCATAAAGGGCTGCAATCGAACGTGATCGCGTGGGCGGCATGCCACTTGCAATACCAATTACCCGCCAACACAAAACCCAAAGCTCCACCAGCTCTGCCGAGCTTTTAGACTTTTGTTTTTTATGAAAAAAACAACGGCGAATTCCAGTCAATAAATATCGTATTATTTACACTACAATACAGAGTTGGGATGGGCAAGGTCTTTAGGCAAATTTGTACTCGTAATCATCGTTGCCGCCCCACAATTTCAGGCAGTTGTCCTTATCCACATACTGATCAATGTCCTTCTTGGTGGTGACACGCAGGATCCTGAGAGCCTCTTCGGGCAAGAAGGTCTTTACAATTTTGAAGGCAGCTAAAAATGAACCAGGTTAGGTAAACCCATAGAATCCAAGAGGATTGAAGAACTCACCATTCAAGAGGAAGGGCAGCTCATGAACTATAATGTAGTTCGGCACATAAGGATACTTGGTCTCAAAAATCCCTATGTTCGCCTTGATAAAATCTATGTCCATGTTGCTCAAGCCCGAGCCAGTCATGTCCATGAAGAGAGTAATCTTATCCAGGTTTGTTTCCTGCTGCAGCCGCTCCACCCAGTAGACGATGATGCGTATGAGATCGTCTAGGTTGCGGCTCTTTGAGTGCTTCTTCATGCTGATGATAAGCAGGGGTTTTCCGTCCCTATCCTTGTTGTGGGCATAGATGGAACCATCATTTAGGAACTCCTGGTTCAAACTATTAACGGTAATATCGTTGACCCCGAAGCTCTGGCGCCAGATCAGGTTGTCCCACAGCCTGGTGTTGGTCTTCTCCAGGTCGAATTCATAGATTTTTAGTAGTTTGCTGATCCAGAGATCAGAGTCCTTCAACCGCTTTAGATCATTGGGGTGGAAGGGTTCTAAGTAGCATAGGGGAGGCACAATGTAGGGGATTTTCTCTTATCTGGGTTGAAGATAGCACTAACCTGCTGGTGGTTCGGCTTCCAATTTCTTGAGTATGGCGGTCCTAACTTCGGCGATTTGCTCGGCGGTGGGCTCTTGGTCTGTGGGCATGTTGCTTCTTGGGTTTTCTTCAGCCGTCTAATCCAACCCCTGGACTGTGCCTGGTATTTATATTAGTTCTTTATCTCCTTATTTTGGAGTGCTCTGCCTTTGGAGTTGTATATTGCTTTGGATCTGAGGGCGGGATGTGTGGATGTCTGGCCAGCGAGCGGGCTAATCAACGACTGACAGCTCGCGGAGAAAATGCCTCAATGCTGGCCGTTCCGCTCGCCGGGAGCGTCGCTGCGTTTGTTCTCCAATTGTGCTCTGTTTTCGAGGCGATCATGTAAATGACTCAATGCGGGTGGGGGGCCACGCCGCTGACAACCACACTGCCTCCCGCCTGTTCTTTAATCAATACACAAATACAACAATAACAAAAAAAGACAAAAAAAAAAACACACACACATTACCCGCAGGTGGAGGAGGAGGAGGAGGCAAGGGGGCTAAAGTCAATTGCGATAAGCGGAGCAAGTTGGGGACTGGGGGAAACTGGTACTGTTTATGGTTCCCGGGCAGGCCAGTTCCTCGGGAATTGGTTTTTATTACTCTGGCTGTGGTTTCTCTGAACTATAACGCACATATACCATGTATGACTGTGCCAGGCCCCCGTATTCCATACATCTTCGATAAATACTGCTTTGTGGTTTCAGCTGGAAAAACTAAATCGATTCGATACAGCTAGCTAGGTCTACTGAGAGCTCATTTTAAATCAGATTTTCAATTTTTGCGGTGCGGGATATCTAATAGGCGGTGCAATATTGTCTATTATAGGAATTTCAAGTGTCATTTATGACTGGGGATCAGTAAACGAAGGCGTGGGACTTCATCACTAAAGGGTCATTATAATACAGTTCAAAACACACATATTTAATTCAATTTTAAATCTATAATTGTTTCACTAATTTAATTTTCATTTTTAATCTTATCAGTCAACTAAAATTAGTCCTATTCTATATATATATATAGTACCTATAGCTCAGATAGGTAAGTTTAAAGGTTGTTGAAAGCAATCAAATGATTTATGGAGCTTGCTGACTTGCTTTTTTTTAGAACCGTTACTAATTACCGTATACATTAAATAGTTTTTTTTTTTTGTTAAGTTTCAGGTTTTTTTTTGCAAACTCAATGCATCACGTTAATATTCGTAATTTATGGATTTTTAATAAGTGTGTCGCGTTAGATAATTTAATCAAATCTAATCAATTTTTGAACCCAATATGTGTTGCGCTCTTTTGTTATTGTTGACATTGAAAACGGATGAGAGGAATGAGCAGACAATAACAAAACCGAAGCCATTTACATATTGAAAGCTCTTCAGTGGCCATACATAGTCACCCCCCAACACCCACCATCCATTTCGCTGCCGCCATTTGGACCAATATCCAAGAACTTTCGCTGGCTGGCGTTGGCCCAGTTGTGATGTTTACGTGAAAACGTGCGTTTGGTGCGACCACGTCCTCGCCGTTCAGCCGGATGCGGATGCAGTTCAGCCAGTTGTGAGTCCCTCCCAGTCCTCAAAATGAAGTTCGCCGAGCATCTGACCGCCCACATAACGCCCGAGTGGCGAAAGCAGTACATTAACTATGAGGTAAGTCCCTCAAATCGCCGGATTCAAGGCATTGCGTTCGCCCCCTTGCTGCGGAAAAATCTGTATCTTTTTTGTAGTGTGCTTTTCCCGCTGTCACTTGGTCAGCTGTGACGTCATGTGACCGAACTGTCAAAATGGGGGAGCTTTTTCCGTTCGTAGGGAAAATGGCGCATGCGCCTTCCTATCGGCTCTTCTGTTTTGCTTATCCTAAACGTAAACAAAGTTTTTAGGGTGGTGGGGCCGGTTGAAAACAAGAAAAAGAAAGCATTAAAGGAGAGAAGAAATGGATGAAGGACAGTGAAGGCCAAAAGTATAAGGTCACTTGAGTATATTAATAAATATTATTAATTTAATTATTATTTAATTTAATTATTATTTATATTTTAACATCACTCTCCTTTAGGAAATGAAAGCCATGTTATATGCGGCCATCGAACAATCCCCATCCGCTGAGCTCGTAGAGCGGGAAATGGTCACGCGATACTTTGCCAAATTCGATGAGGAATTCTTCCATTACTGTGACAAAGAGCTGGCCAAGATCAACACATTCTACTCGGAGAAGATGGCCGAAGCCACTCGAAAGTACGGAAGCCTGCGCAGCGAACTGACCGAGGCCCTGGAAATGGGGCATCCGAAGAAACTGCCGGCCTGGAAGCGGCGGACTCCGCTGGGCAAGAAGAACGTACCGGCACGAAAGATTCAAGATCTCAAGTTGGCATTTAGTGAATTTTATCTGGGACTTATACTGCTACAGAACTATCAGAATCTCAACTTCACGGGTTTCCGGAAGATACTTAAGAAACACGATAAGCTGCTTAGCGTGGATTACGGTGCCCGGTGGCGCATGGATCACGTGGAGGCGGCCCATTTCTACACAAATAAGGACATCGATCGGCTGATTCAGGAAACCGAGCAGGCCGTCACGCAGGACATCGAAGGCGGGGATCGTCAGAGGGCCATGAAGCGGTTGAGGGTACCGCCACTGGGGGAGCAACAGAGTCCATGGACCACCTTTAAAGTTGGCCTCTTCTCCGGCGCCTTTGTCGTGCTCTTCATTACGGTTGTGATTGCGGCCATGTTTTACGGATTTGGTGAGAACTGGCGGGCTGGCATGCGGATGTTTCGGGCCCCTTTCCTCATCATCGAATGCCTCTTCCTCTGGGGCGTCAATGTCTATGGATGGCGGTCGTCGGGAGTGAATCATGTCCTCATCTTCGAGCTGGATCCCCGCAATCATCTGTCCGAGCAGAACATCATGGAAGTGGCCTCGGTGTTTGGCGTCATTTGGGCCTGCTGCGTCCTTAGCTATATATTCTGCGATCCTCTAGGTATTCCACAGTATGCGGCTCCCTTGTGCCTGTACACATTGATGGCTGCATTTCTGTTGAATCCCACCAAGACCTTTCACCACGAGGCCAGATATTGGGCCTTGAGAGTTCTCATCCGAGTGATCATGGCTCCGTTTTGCTTTGTCAACTTTGCCGACTTCTGGCTGGCAGATCAGCTCAATAGCATGGTGCCTGCCTTCCTGGACATACCATTCTTGATTTGCTTTTTTGGCAAGAGTCCAACGTGGCACAAGGCCGGAAAGGGTGAGTTTTTCCAGAAAACAACTGAATGTAAACACGCATGTTTTTCAAAACAATTATCCTTTAAATTGGCTTTTCGAATTAATGAACCTTATTGTTTCGTTTCATCGGAAGCTGCCAGCCATTGTGTTGAATACGTGTCCCTGCTGCATCCCATTGTGGCCATCTTGCCCGCCTACTTCCGGTTCGCTCAGTGCATTCGTCGATACCGCGACACAAAGGAGTCATTTCCGCATCTGGTCAACGCAGCGAAGTATGCAACATCATTCTTTGTGGTGATATTCGCCCACAAATACCACACGACCACGGGTAAGTGATTTAATTTGGCCAGGCCATGGCCGACCAACTGCAAATACACACATTATGCGAGTTGTTTACGGCCCAGAGCCAATTAGTGGCCATCCCCCATAAACATTTTATTTGGCATCTCAGCACGTAGTTGGACTCATACCTTAATACTCATGCTGTTTACAGATACCTATCCGCTGTCCAAGGAGAATCCCTGGTTCTATTGCTGGATAACGGCGGCCATCTTTTCGTCCTGTTACGCCTACACATGGGACATCAAAATGGACTGGGGTCTCTTCGACTCGAAGGCGGGCGACAATCGATTCTTGCGTGAGGAAATCGTTTATTCATCGACGGTAAGTCGCCGAGCTGGAGGGATTGGGTTTGGGGGAAAGGGGACTGCTGCCTCCTGTCCGAAAATAATGGCAACGATAAATATTTGACCAAACGGCACGTAAGACAATCTTTCAAGGCATTCATTATCTCTCTCACTCTATGCCCGCAGTGGTTCTACTACTTTGGCATAATTGAGGACTTGATACTGCGCTTCAGTTGGACCTTGTCCATGAGCCTAATTGAAGCTGGCTACATCGAGGGCGACGTAATGATGACCATTCTCAGTCCCCTGGAGGTTTTCCGGCGATTTATCTGGAATTATTTCCGATTGGAGAACGAGCACCTCAACAATGTGGGTAAATTCAGGGCTGTGCGTGATATATCAGTGGCTCCAATGGATTGCTCAGATCAGGTGAGAAATTATAGCTTTGATTCTAAGCAGGATTGACTTTGAGGAATATTAGTTTTATTTTATTTCTTACCACTTTATTGAAACTTTTTAAGTAAAAACTTTCTCCAGCCTTCGGTTTTATATTTCAAGGAAATACATCATAAAATTGAACCCCATAACCATCTTATATACTTTTTCGATACTTTCAGACCACAATTCTACGGATGATGGATGAATCGGATGGCGTGGTGAATCGACGACGCGGTAAGGCCGCTGGCGGCAAATCCGCAAACAAGAAAAACAAACAGGAGCAGAGGCTACTCCTGCAGGGGGAGTCCATCGAGGACCTGTGCGGCTAGCACGGATATCCAATAAACATTTCTGTAAATGGCACAAATTTTTAGTTAAAGTCAAAAATAAAGCACTGTGGTTGCATTTTCACACAATGAATTTTCGACAAATATGTGTATTGATTTTTTTGGCCACATTTTTTTTTTCGCACCCTAACCAATTTTTGGCATCATCTGTATTTGGTATGTCGGGATGGCGATGATGAGAATTGATGATGGGCCAAAGTTCAATTTGCGTGACAGTTGAACAATAAAGTTTGCGGGGGATTGTCAGCATTTGTTCCGGTTTACGTTTTTGCCTAAAAATACATGTGCCGTGCCATGTTATCCACTTGATTGTTGTGGTTGTCATGGAAAAGGTATGTAAATGTTGGCATATGTAATTACTGCTGACACAACAAATGTGTTGATTCGACTGGTATTGGGATATGTTTTATGAAAATCCAGAAATCATTAAAATGAACACCCACAGATTAGAGAGAAACATGTGTTCTATGATTGAATTGGAACTTTAAAGGACTTGTTTACATAACTTGCTCCAACAAATTTGAAAGATATTCCACCCGGACATGCCATTGACAAAGGAATTTGATGTATTTTGCTTTTAATTCCCGCTGGGAGCTGGTGCTGTTCGCAGCTGCTCAATATTGATTGATTGATGGGAATTTTCCAGCTTTATCCTTACCTCAATTCTCCTCAATAATTATTAAATCAAACTCTGCAGGGTATTCGCTTCCTGTTGATTATTTTTCTATCATAACCACCGTGGTTGTCGGAAATTAAAATTGTGTAAGCCTTTAGGG